AGGCCATCAGGAGATTGCCGCCCTGCTCTTAGACAAGGGAGCAGATATTAATGCCCAGGGCGGCGAGTACGGCGACGCTCTCTATGCCGCTTCATCTGGAGGCCATCAGGAGATTGTCACACTGCTCCAAAGAATTGGCTCTATTACATCTTCAAAGCGGCCCGGCTCTATGGCTCCAAGCATCGCGGCGAAGAAATTATGTGTCATGCACCCTGAGCCTTCTGATCAAACTCAATAATCGTTGAGCTCTACTACGGTGTCCACTTTTTGCCCAGCTTTAAACCTCGTCACTCTTCCCACTTCGCAGATTCTAGGCGTGGCTAGTTAAAGCCATGACAACCTGGGCTGCGGTTTCTATTATGGTATTTCAATATCCTTATAGGGTCTGGGGAGAGCGATTATTCTATATATCTCTGTTTTGCCACTGACAGTATACTTGGAATAGTGTATATCGATGGGAGGGTGGTTATTATGGGCATCTAGTCGGGAAATGGAGGTGCATGGAAATAGATTTGTCACCGTGGATCATTCGACCTATTACGGCACTGTAGCTGGATGCACACAACATACACGTAGCCAAAGATATTCTAGATCAAGCTAAAGAAGAGAACAAGAAGGGGAAGTCTTCTTGTTTACATCGAAGAAGGTTGGACTCTGAATCAACCCTTCACCTACCTAGTGAGGCTTGGGCTCAGCCCTAGCCAACCAGGAGTTTCAACCTATAACACGACCTACGACTTACAGCGTTATATTTTTTCTAAATATTGATTGAGTTGGGGTTTGGGGGGCAGGTTTCTTAAGTACGAAATGGAATCGGTGATAGATAACTCTGGATGGTTCTAGAAGAGTTGTCTCATTCTCCACCACACAGGAGTGGGGGGTTGTCTTACGCCTACACGCTAGATTGAATCACACTTTCCAACTTAGCTCGCTCTTTGCTTTTAGGACTCAATCATTCTGAGGCTAAGAGCGGTTCTGCACCCAGGAGAATCCGGTGTGCTCCAGAAGTAGTTAGGCTTCACCAGCCACAGATCCCAGACTTGGCAATGGAACTAGTAATAACTTGATGCAGGCCAAGGCATGAGCTCTAGGAGCCTCAGGCTACAAACTGCATTAATACATGAACGATCTCGATTCAGGCCAAAAATCAATGACAGAATCCTCAGGCTATTTGGTCGAGGACCATACCAATTAGGTATAGCGCGGTTCGTTGCCTCAGGCACGACCATAATGGCCTGAGCTTGCTGAGGTAAAAGGCGACGCGAAGGCAGCATTGCTAGATTCAGGTGGAAAGTGATGTACTGATAGATTTCGTATTAAAAACATAATAACGTACTCCACAAGAGAGTGGTCAATACAATCGAGCTGTCAAACCTAACCACGAAACTCCCGTGAGCCAGGACATGGAGTTGAAAAAACATGTCCTCTAAGTCGTCCAGTTACTACAGATTAGTGTTTTTCTATCGGAATTTCATATAATTAGGGCGTTGTAGAGATATCTGTAATTGAAGTGGTTTGGTTTGGCTGGGGCTGACTGCTCGCTTGTGGAGTACGATATACAGTAGAATCCCGATATAACGATAGGATACCAGCCACCCTTTTTCTATCGTTATATCGAAATATCGTTCAAACGATGATTACAGCAGCCAACTATCTAATCTACTTTGGGTATAGCTTGATGTGAGGTCGAGCTGAAGCTGACGCTCCAATCGATTGAGACATCGAATATCACCTTATGTTGAAGTCTCGCTATGTTTTTGATAGTATTGTAGAGCCCGTAAAGCCTTGCGAGCCTTTTGCTTTGATGGAATTGGAGATAATGGTATCTCCTCCTCCTCCTCCTCCTCCTCCTCCCCCTCTGTCCTAATAGCCTGCGTGATAATAGCTTGCAGCGAAACCTCCTCTGCAAGTCAGAGATACCCTTACGAGGCATCGTGTATAACGATATTGGTGGGGAAAGGTTAACGATTAATCGAATATCGGGATCAGGGGAAATTTGTATGAGGAAAAATCGGAATGGCATATTTGTATCGCTATATCGGGATTATCGCTATTCCGGGAATCGCCATAACGAGATTCTACTGTATATCTAACTTATAGTTACAATTAATAGAATGCTAAAAAATCTTGTTGATTAAATTCGTTTGTTTCCCTTGGGAGACTTGGAGGTTTAGACCTCAGTTTTGGGATCTGTTTAGTTTTTTTTTTGGCATAGAGCGTGTTAAGCTTTCTTAGCTCGGTGAAATAACTCCACTTGAGCACCAAGGCGGCCAAATAGCTCAGACTCCATTCTCGCCGCTGCCCTTGGACCGTGGAGTATATCACCAACAATATCAGAACCAGGCGGGAAGTCATGCTCAAAGATCGGCTCTCCAGCACCCCTCATATTGGCTAAAACTGCCTGCCTAAAGTGCCAGCGTAAAACAGAATCAAGAGGTGCATCAGGACGAGCAAAATACCCTGGATCAAGGTGATGGCTACCAATGCCTCGCGCGTTAGGCCTGAAGGCCATGACCTTGTAATTGTCCTGCGATAACACTTTAGCCACAATTTCCATAAATAGGTATTAAACGTACGTCTGGGTTGATTGAAATGAAGTAGTTATCAAAAAGCTGGTGCATGACGGAATCAAGCAAGATTCCATTCTGAACCGAGTTGATAGTGCCTCCACGAGGCGGCTCAATCGAAACCCATCGACCGTAATCATTGTTAATCCAATGACTTTCGTAGGCTAATGGGAAAATATGCGAGGCTTCGAAGCCGTCCCAGATATCAATTCCGCCAAGTGTGATGATGTTTAGCCCGGATATAACGCATTTACGATCTCGCGAACGGACGGACTCGCAGAAACTCGCGACACGAGTTCCGGTAGCATGAGAAATCGTTCGGACGAGGAATGCTTCATCGGTCACATTAAACGACCCTGCCCACATGTTAGCACTACAACTATACGTCAAGAGATGACTACAACAACTAACCAGCCGAAACAATAAAGTATTTCCCAGGTTGAAGAGGACCGTCATCTTTTTCGACTTTTGTTCCTCCCTCATATTGTAGACTAAAGGTGTTTGTGAATATGACAAGAATCTCCACCATTAAGTAGAGGTTGGCATTTGTAACTCCGGGAGTAAGAACCAGGCCACCAAGTGCGACATTAGTGTTGTTGGCGTCATGAATATGGACATCGCGTCCAACTGAACGGTCGAGTCGAGGCATAGAACTTTGTGACGAAATCGGAGGGCCAGAGTTGGCAGAGCGAGAGCCTAGCGACCTGGGAGACGACGACGACGGCGACATGATGGACATTTGGGGTGTGAAGTTTACGTGAGGGTACGAGATAGTAGGCGCAGGCTTGCAGCGAGCAGAGATGGAGGATGGAAATGTAGGTGCGATCGAGCAATGACGTTGCAGGTACAAGAACCGAGAATCTGCCGGTTCAACTTCTGTGGTAACTTTTACTAATTACTAGGCGTTTTGGTGAAGAAGAATCGCACTCACGTGACGCACGTGACCAACATACTTCTGGAATGCTTGAGTATTGCGCGTGCCAAGAAGGATCCTGATCTGGCTCCTTCACAAAATCAAAGACTGCAGATTTCTGCGGTCCTTGATGCTAGATCGACCCGAATAAAGGCAGATGAGATCAACCTAGGCGAACATACCCAGCAAGTTCTCCTGTGGGTTAAACCCCCTTACCAACCCAGCTCCATTCCCTTTGCGCAATATTACGATTTGCCGCCAGACAAGAGTAGAAGAATAATAAAAGCATATCAGTTTCTCGGGGCATTCCTTATATATAAGAGGCAAGAACTTGTGGCCGGGTTAAACTGGCCGTCGTCCTAAACAGGCCTTTCACCTAAATGGGCTCCTCATCCCATGCTGACCGAGCCCAATCACAGATCACTTTGGTTGAGTAGTCTGCACCTAACCTCTTCTGGTTTAGTCACCGGTCCCTACCAAGATCCTAGGTATTGGCTAGCCTTAATTGGTTAGCGCAGCTTCGCTGATCACGACCAACATCTATCCTCCGAACCATCATACTTTCCATCAGCTCAGAAACATCTTGTAAGTACTTGCTAAACTGCAAGCCTGCACCTGACGCCTACTGTCTACCCTCTACTCGTCCTTATGCATCCTCTGCAACTCAATATTCCACCATGTCGTCCTCGCCGTCCCCGAAAACGTCAGCTTCTCCCTCCGCCCTCAATCTTCTGAATCAGCAGCAAAGATGCACTATGCATCCAATCAATCGCTCAGCTGGGCGAACTGTCCATATCTACAATACCAATGACCCTGATACCGTGCTCGGTGGTCTGGTACTCACTCCTGGCGTTACAAACTCCAACTTCTACGCTATGGTGAAGATTCTGTTCATATTTTCAGGCCCGTTCTACCTACGAGTGGAGAACGGAGCAAGGATTGAGAAGGATGATAACCCGCTTCGTCCTGGAAGGTATCATATTATTTCCGACGGTCAGTTTGGCAACACTTCATTTCTTGATGAAGTAACATAGTTAATTTGTTAGCAGCTTCTTTTGATGTCAATAACGAGCCATGGCTCGTCCGAACGATCAGCTGTGCTTCTGGATCTCGTGCCGCCGCCTTTACCGAAGCCGTTCGTTCTCGAGATCGTCGATGTATTATTTCTGGGGCCAATGTGTATACATTTGATGGCGTTGATTTCTGGAACGGCTTTGAAGCGGCGCATGTTTTTCCGCTAGCCTATGAAGGCTACTGGGTCGAGCGCGGCTACGGCAGGTGGATTACAATGCAACCAACAATAGGAGGATCTATCAACTCAGTGCAAAACGGAATGTTGCTTGCTTCTGATATACACCAACTCTTTGATGCTTATGACTTCTCGATCAACCCAGATGTATGTTTCTCTCATCTAATATTAGAGATTCTGGCTAATTTCTATCTTAGGACAACTATAAAGTTGTGGTCTTCAGACCTAACTCAAGAGTTGTTGGTGACCAACATCTCGATCCAACGTATTTTTCTCGCCCAGATGCACCCGTCGATTCACTTCTACGATGGCACTACAGACAGGCCGTCTTGGCCAACATGAGGGGTGCTGGGGAGCCGGTCTTTGAACATGACTTTCCACCTGGCTCAGACATTGTTGGCGTCATACTCCATGGCCCGAAAGCTGCTGAAAGGATGGAATTCGAACTGTTTAGCCGCTTCGGTGCTCAAATGGAGTTGTTCTCGTAGTCAAGCAAACATGAGTGTTTGTTCTAAGATAGAGAGAATCGAAAGTCTCAAACATGTCCACATCCCCAGGACGTCAACCCTTCCTGCGCCTCACCATCTAACCCGCTCCAACCTTCCGAGTCCGTAGCAAAGTTCTATCATGGTACGCACAGCCGCTTATTCGACTGGCTTGGCCATATCTTCGATGTCAACGACCCTGATACCGGGTATGGTGGTCTAATCTTCACTCCGGGCTCTATAAATCCCAATTTCTTCTTAAAGGGAGAAGATTTCATATATCTCTTCAAGGTTCTTCTATATAAATGATGATAGAATGGGGTTGTGCAATAGCGGCGGCCCGCTGGCTAGTCGCACGTGGCCTACTGCTACAGTTCCAGTTCGCTAGCAAGATCGAAGAAGAGGGCCGTTCAGGATTCGCGCCGTTCCAAGGGATTAGGGAAGAATAGGAGGAGAATGAGAGGAATGGGGTATGGCTGTGTAACGGAGGCGGTTCGCAAGATATCCGCGAGAGCGGAAGCAGTGGTTCCCAGCAGTGAACAACAATTGAAGATAAAAATAGGTCTGTGGTGCATAAAGGCAACCTTTCTGTCACCGCCACAGGCCTGGAACCATAACAGGTATAGTTTCTTAATAAGACACGTTTCGATCCAACACCTAGTGTCCTCACAAGTCACAACCATCCTGCCGCGCTATGTTGAATCTTGCCGCGCTTCACACTTCCATACTCCACGACCGCTATATTTGTGTGAGCTTCGTATATACGCCTAGGTCGCTTAGCATCCACGACTGCTTACTTTTTCAGATGCTCAATCGGTGTGATCTGCCGAGGATTAGTATAGATACACAGAAGGCTATAATTAAACCGCACCTTTATACTTATGGTCACAGTTTTCACAAGCCTTCCCACTTTCACCTATATGAGCCTGGCAGGTGCAGCCTTGGATGAAGCATTGTCCTCCACCAAAATTGACCAGCTGGGGTCGGTCTCCTGACGCCATATGAATCTCGTATGTTGTGTGTTGAAGGGGTATATTCTAAGAGTAATGCTTAGACAAGAGTACGGTAATAGAGTAGAGGCGTACAGAATGTAAAGGATAGTACTCATAGCAGTATATATACATTAGAAAGTTAACCGTCGTTTTCCGAAACGCGCGTAGATATAATAATAAGAATCAATTTAACGTACTATCTGGATCCCTTTCGGGTCTATGAGCACGGCATTCTATCTGGTCTGACGCGGGCAAAAGTTTCCCCGTAGTCCTGAGGCTGCGGGTACATAAAACCCCGCCTCCTCCCTTTAGTAGACTATCTCAAACGTTTATCATCTATCCGTACGAGTCGGTGTTTCCGCCTACGCGGAGAGCTTATTCTGGCACGTCGTGGAGGAGCTGGAACGGTTTCCAGTCCTCTATTACCTCCTCCTCAACTTCCTTGGCCACCCGGTATTGCTCTAGGCCTCCCGCATCGATCAGCCACCTTGCTGCGTGGCGCACCTTGTCCCTGTCATGCAATATCCTCTTAAAGTCCGTTGTTCCAGCTCGTTGGAGGAGCGCGATCCTCTGGTCGGTCCGCTGCGGGCAAAATGCAAGGAGATGGTAGAGAGACTGTCGGGGGGCACCGCACTCACACGCTGGGTGGATTCCAGGGACACCAATTTTTGCGAGCCATCCTTTAACCCCAACTACCTCAGTCCGTAGTGCCATGAGCGCCGAGGCCTCGTGTTTCTGAAGGCCGTCGTACCGGTTAAGGCACTGGGTTTCCCACGGGTCCTTCCATGTCCTTGCTCTCCTTCCTGGTCTGGCCGCTTCGGCTTGCCATCTCTCCCTCCATTTCGCTCGATACTCGTCCTGGATCAACCGGTGCGGGCCTTTTCGCTGTTGTGTCTGCTATCCCCTAACTGGTTCGGGCCGGGAATTAGTTGATTATAATTGAATGAAGTGGGAAGAATCGATTACGATCATAATCTCAGCTAATTTCCAAGTTGTGGGCTGTTTTGCAGAAAAATGTTCAGCCGTTCCGCGCGTAGATATTGTGTCGCATAATAAGAACGTAGCTAATCAGCGATATCGACGCCGCCCATGAAATGGTTATAGTCGTCAATAAAGATAGGAATAGGAAGCTCTTTTCGTACGTCGTTTCCAAAGACCTTACGCACAAGGGGTCCATTGGTAGACGTAATCGCAGGGCGTCGTCGGTCTCGTATAATTGTCTGTTCTTCACCGGCCCTGTGGACTGTGGAGCAGGCTAAAACAGTATTGTTATCTTGCCACGCAAAGCAGAGAATGCCTGGGTCAAGTAGATCCTCCTCTTCCTCCTCCTCCTGCTGCTGCTGTGTACTTTGAGACGGCTTACACGACGTCTCCCTTTTAATCTTCTTCCGCGCGACAATAGCAGCAGTTGTGCTCCATTGTAGATGCTTTGAGCAATGCTCTATTAGCTCGACTAGGAGTTGAGGAAGCTCAGGGTGCCTTCGCGTCGTACCACAGGCTCCAATTCCAACCTCACGCAGCCTGCGAAGAATAGGTATCCCAGTAAAGAGACTGTCCATGTAGATAATATGAGGAACACCCTCTGGGAGCGACTTGGCGAGCCGTAGTACTAGTGACTCGGTCATAGTAAGATCTTTCTGCTTAACTATTTCACCGTAGCTCTCTGTTTTCGACGACCAGGTGAAAAAGTAGGTATATCCAGCCTCGCAGAGCGCGAAGATCTTATAGCCTTCTTTAATTGGCTTGTATGGGGCCTTGAATGTATGCTTACTTCGGCCAAAGAACCTAACCATCATCTCGTCGAAGGGATACGGTAGGGGAGCGCCGTCACGGCGGTTTTTCGACGCCCAAGTGAAATGACGGCTGCCGCTGCGTTTCAGCCTTTCATCGCTCTTTCTTTCCCTTACTTTGATGAATGAAAGAACACGTACCTCTTGCCTAATATCAAAAAGCTAGGATGCAGAGAACGAGCGAGTTCCACGGCGCGATCGATGGCCACATTGTCATTCCAGCTCCGCATAGCAGGCCAGGCGGGAGGACGAACTTCAACTTCGGTTATCCGCCAAGATAAGGTGGATACGCTCCCTAGTTAGGAGTTTTAGCTAACTAAATAGTCCCTCCGATTCATCGTTATGGCAGGGATAGATGTAGATCCCCACATGGCTCTTGAAGATACGAAGCGTAAACCATTATCTTTCAGGGAACAAATATCTCTGGGTCGACAATCTTATATGCTACAAGTATCAATCCAAACCCAATCGTATCCATCTCCTACTGCTTGGTCACAAGCCCCTCTCAATTTGGCGAAACCTTCTCGTGTATAGGCAAGCCCGGTCTTGAAATCATCCAAGGTTACCTCCTGGCCTCTCGATGTATGGAAAAGAATGGCGTATTCGGGGATATCTTGTCCATTAAATTCCTGCAAAGTGAGTTTTCGGGTGTGAAGAAGTCGCATTTTCTCTTTATCGGTTCGGTTCAGTTCATAGAGCTATAAACAAAGGAAGGATCTCGGCCCAAAGGGACCAAGGCTCGCAGATGTTATCAAATCCAGAATGTAAGCAAGGCTAGCAAAGGCTTTGGAAATTGGACGGTGTGTCGAGGACCAAGTCTGGTGATGCTTGCGCAGTTTCGAAGCCGGGAATAGGCGGTCGTATCGATTCGAAAACATGCAAGGCGACGCAAGGGACAGCAATTCATTCGGTGGAAAACCGTATTAACTGATTGCTACAGAGTACTGCACCCCAAGAATATATTATTAAATACCGGCCAAAATATTTTCCGTGTTCCGGAGTCCTGGGCTGGCTGGCTCCTTGGGAAAAAATTAAAGACCGCAGGTTTTCGAGGTTCTTTGATGCTAGGTTGACCCGAATAGATGCAACAAGTGTCTATCCACGTCCACGTATATCCAAGCTCTTTGACACCCTCGCAGCATTTCTTGATCTTTTCCAAGCCTGGTTTTGTTTGAATTGCATCAATCTTCCTTTGTGACACGGGTTCTCCGTCTCGGAAGTCCGTGAGAGACACCATCTCCTAGTAACTCACTTCCTCCTTGTCCCGCCATATGTGCGATAGGGTGACGTAGTCTGGTATGCTGGACCCTTCGAATAGTTCGAAGTCGAGCATGTCGACATTTAGGAGACGCATGCTGGACCCCGTCGAATCAAGATCGATGATTGGGTCTCACTCACACAAGGGCCCGAGGTTAATGATAACCATCCACAGCACGAATGCTGGAGTGTGGTTTCACGCTTGTGCACAGGCTATATACTGTAGGAATGGGGTTCGGAAGATGTGAATACCGTAATTCAGGTCAATTACCAACTACCTGCATGTATACCTGTGTGGTGCAAACTGGGAGAATTGTGGCGAGATCTGAAGGAGTTTGAGATGATTCGCTGAAAGAGAGGTAGGGGACAGCAGCCATACGCTGCGCCACCCTAACTAAGGTGGTGTTCTAAGTTAGTTAGTTAGTGGATGAACAGAATTACCTCGTTAACTTAAAATATCTCCCACTTCATCGAACCGTCATGGACTGACGGATAGATCGATGGCTCCTGGATTTAACAGTATGTACTCCGTATATATAAAACGAATATAGACAATAATAAAGAAGGGGGATGCTGATTAGTGAAAGTGCGGATCATTTTATACTGCTCCCAGCTGAGCAGGCCACAGGGGTTGCAGCCTCAGGCCGCGAGTTCAGGGTTCAACACGTGAAACGACCAGCTTCAATCTCCTACCAGAGCTTCCATGACGAAGCTCTCTTGCAACGCGTCCTTTATAAAAGAAGCCACTCAAAACCACATCCTCCAGCTCCCCCGTGTATACCCTTCGGCTTCCACCGAGCTGTCACAATGGCCGCTATGATGCCCAGCTCATCAGGAGGCGGATCCAACCCGCCATTCCGCTACGACAACGACGCCGTCGAGCAAGACCTAATCGACCCCGACGATGGTAAGTCCAGATCCATCCGTTTGCTTTGCGCCAGCCTCGCAGAACCCTTCCTCCTCTCCGCTCCATAATACCAATATACCCCCAATCCTAACTCCATCCAGCCAACCTGGACGACCTCGACGACCCCCTCCAATCCACCTCCGACCGCGCCCCCCTAACCGGCTCCATCCAATCCCGCCCCGGCAACCCCTCCACCCAATCCTACCTCACCTCCCAAATCCCCGGCGAAGACCGCCGCGCCACCACGAGCACTATCGACGAGTCCGTCTGGGACACCCTCCGCCGCGACCTCCTCGGCGTCTGGGAGAAGATGCGCCAGGTGCTGTACCCGAAATACCTGTTGGGCGGGATGCTGGCGCGGTCAGGAGGGGTCGGCGCGGAGGAGAGGGGCGAGGCAGGTGTGGGGAGCGGAGCAGGGGCACGGTTTGAGGCGCTGAGAGGGGTGGTGGGACGGTGGCCGGATGCGGAGACGGTGTTGGAAGGGGGGATGAGTGAGGGATTGAGAGATTGGGATCTGTGGGGTCCGTTGCTGTTTTGTTTGCTGCTGGCGTTCTTGCTGTCGAGGGGCGCGCAGGATGAGCAGAAGAGTTTGGTATTCTCGGGGGTGTTTGCAATGGTGTGGATTGGAGAGGCGGTCGTGACGTTGCAGATTAAGTTGCTGGGAGGAAACATGTGAGTACCCCAAACCTATACCCGCTTCGGTATTCCCGCTAACAAAACCCTAGATCATTTTTCCAGTCAATATGTATCATCGGATACACCCTCTTCCCTCTCGTCATTGCCTCGCTCCTCTCCGCTCTCAACACACCCATTATTGTGCGGATTCCAGTTTACATCGTCCTTGTTGCGTGGTCGCTAGCAGCCGGTGTCAGCATCCTCGGTGGGTCAGGGGTCGTGCGAAACCGTGTGGGCATTGCGGTTTATCCGCTCTTTGTGTTTTATATCGGCTTGGGATGTCTCTGCTTTATTACTTAATAGGGCAAGCTGAAAATATCATCGAAGGTCGAGCTTCGAAGATCGCTCGCCACTGCGCTGGGAAATATGTACGGTATTTGTAGAGATGCATAGTTAGGAGTTTGGGGGCGAACGACAGTATCTCAGACCTTTTTTAATTCGTAAACCACCTATCCAGGTATTGTTGTGAGGGATGACGTTCCTACGTCTGTCTACTATCTTCACAGCCGCCGGTCGCCATATTTCAGCAGAACAGCGCTAAAGACGGTTTCGACTTCGCAGTGAACTGCTGCATTTTCAGTGACCATCAATAGACCCCTCGAGCCTATTAAACCGTTATGAAGACCTCCTTCAGCCGATATATGAAGTGTTGGCGGTGATAGCCGTACACCTGTGGGCATCCATCCTCCCGTCCTGTGGATCTGAATATCTTCGTTCCAGTTTTAGCAACCTACTACATTTATTTTCTTAACATCACACGTATTGAATTGGTTTCCGTATATAGTATAGACTACATTCTCGTCTCTTTTCTTAATTTTTCAGGTCCCAGTATTGCGATCGACGGGTTGTTTCTTCAAGAGTCATTCGAATAGCTGGATTTGGCATAAGCATCAATCTCTTCTATCCACGCCAGTCCAAGTCTCCAAGAGCTGGGAAAACATATAAACATCAATTCCGCCGTTCAACTCTTCTCAAAATGTCCCAACCCCTCCAACACACCGACCTCATCTTCCCCGAACTCGCCACCGACTTCAACAAAACCCTCGGCTCCCTCAAATCCCACACCCTCTCCATCCCCAACCGCCTCCGCTCCATCCTCACCGACGCCTCCTTCGTCACCTCCGTCGCTCACGCCTACCACCTCCCCCTCGTCGCCAACGAGCGCTGCGGCTCCTGGTACATCCCTCCCTCCCTCAAATCCGCCTCCGCCTACTTCAAGTCTACCGACGGCCACTTCGCCCAATGGTCCTTCTCCCTCCGCCGCCTCAACCTCCCGCTCCTCGGCCTCCTGCCCCACCACGGCGGCGCTATTATCGTCGATTCCACCCGCCGCGGGAAGAAGATCCCCGACGCCCTCAGCAAGACCGTTCCCATCTGGTGCGCCGTCTGGAATCGTCTGCTTCGCCCGGACGACCCGGAGTGTCACGCACTGGCGACCCCCCCGTCCGCTGTATCCCGCTCCGAGCACGCGCAGATCGCCGCTCGTCTAGACCAGTTCATCGCGCAGGCGAAGGTGCTCGACCTGGACCTCGAGCCGCTCCGCCAGGAGCTAAAGAAACCGCTCCGTCCTCTCTGGGTGACCACGGATTCCATCCTCCCCGATTCCTCTCCGCAGTTCGACGAGTTCTACCCCATTGTCTGCTGTACGTCGTCGCGCGCCGTCGGAGGCGCAGAGATGTCGGAAGGGGGGTATATCCAGGGGGCGGGGGATGATGCCGAAGGATGGAGTCGCGGGCTCACGGCGCCGGTGTTCTGGGCGAATAAGGAGGCGTTGCTGGGGGCGCCGGAAGGGGATTTGCCGGAGATTATTGAGGGGTTGATGGCGCGGGAGGAGGGTGAGAGGCGGGGTGGGGAGAAGGGAGAGGCAGCGCTGGTGAAGCCGACGAGGGGACTTTATCTTGGGAGGGTTGGGGCGGTGGATGGTGGGCCATTCGGGGTTGTGGTGCAGTGTGGGGCGGAGGCGGATGAAGTGGTGCAGAAACGGTTGGGGAAGAGATATCTATATCTGAATCCTGGAGAAAAGAAGGTAGGAGGTCGATATCTTCGGCACCTACTTCCGCGCGTGAAGTTTTTTATCGAAGGCCTGGAAAAGGACGACGAGGCGAAAGAGACGGGGAAGGCGGTAGATGACGATGTGAAGGTTCTGATATGCGATGACGAGGGGAAAGACATCGCAGTGGGAGTGGCGTTGGTCGTATGTTGTCTGTTCTATTCTGATGACGGTAAGTTGCGTTCAATCGCGTCTGAAGATTCTTCACGCATCCGCTTCAAACCAGCTGGATTGTTACATTGGCGAATATTGTCTAATATTCCATTAGGGACATTCAGCACGCAAGCAAGAACAACCAGGATCGACAAGGACTTCATACGCCGACGGCTAGGCTGGATAGTCTCCTCGTCCTCAACCGCGAATCCATCGAGGGCGACGTTGAGATCCGTGAATGAGTTTCTGATGAGCCAACGGTATGGTGGGTAAAGCTGGCTAGATGTCGGTACTTGCAAGTACATCTGACTCGGACCCGTACTCGTTGGAATCATGCATATCTATGTTGGGTATGGTATGGTACGGTATATCTGTATTACTCGATTCCCTTGGTGCCTGACTGACTGATCTGACAGATGAGCCACCTACATGATGACCACGGCCGTATCCAAAAGTAAAAACTTTCTCATCCAGGTATGCCTCAACCAAACATTCGCATACGTCCAAAGTATGGGAACAACGCCGGTCCTGAATGCCATCCGATGCGCCTCTTGCTGGTGCAAATCATAGCACATACTCACCGGCCCCCTTCAGCTGTCCTCCCATCTCACCAATCCGGCCTCACCGATTCGACCTCACCCCCTCCGCACTCTCCCCAACCCGAAACGTCAACATCCCTGCCGCAACCGCACACAACCCCCCAAACCTCAACGCCCACGCCACGCTCGTATCTCCCGGCGTCCCCCGCGGCTTCTGCAGCAACTTGAAGATCAAACTACAAATCAGTGTCGCTAGTACCTGCGGCGCCGACACCGCAACGTTGTGAATCCCGAGAATCACCCCCGCCTGATCGACCGCGCCATCCTCGCCGGATGCTAGCAGGTTCCCCTCCACGGTCGGCGGCGGTTTGATCAGGCCCCGGCGGATCGCGTCGCGCTTCGAGACCTCAGAGGCGATCAGCGCGAACGGCGCCCACATGGTGACGGCCCAGGGGATTCCGACGGCGCCGATGATGATCTTGGCAAAGGTGACGTTGCGGGCGAGGATGGTGAGCCACATGAGGGCGGCGTAGACGAAGTGGGAGAGAAGCCAGGTGCGGCGGAGGGTGAGGCTGTCGATTTGGATGCGCGTCTCCCAGGTGTTGAGGACCCGGCGGACGGCACTCCATTTCTTGGATTGCGGTTTTAGGTGGCCGGATCCAGATATGCTAGTGGTGGGGGTGAGCGCGGTGCTGGCGCGGCCGTTGCCGGAGGGGTCGGGCGTGATGAAGGCGGGCGCAATGATGAAGGGGAGGAAGATGCTTGCGAGGAGTGTCATCAGGGCGAAGACGAGGAGTGCGTCGGTCCCGACGCGGGTGCCGCGGACCCACAGCTCCTCGACCTTCTCCGGGTCCATGTGCGGATCGGCTTGGAGGTACGGCTCGACGTAGATCTCGCCGATGTAGGTGGTCACGTAGAAGAGGAACGGGAACCAGGCGAGCCAGGCCATGAATTGCACGAGGCAGATCTTCTCGATCTGCGGAGGGAGTCGGCGGAACGCGCGGAACAGGTCGGCGAGGATGTGGAGAAGGCCGTCTTCCCGGTCGGGTGGCTCGCCGTCCAGACGAGGATCGCGCTCGTGCACGGTGGCGCAGCTTAGGATGTTGGTTAACGCAATGACGAGCGCTGCGATGGCGCAAAGGACTTGGAACTGGGTCTTTCCTAGGAAGGGGAAGATCTTGGGGAGATCGGCTCCGCCGGCAAGGAAACAAGCGATGTTGCCGACGCCGTTCAGTCGTGATGCCCAGGCATTGGCGGTATCCTGCTGGTGCGTCGGAGCGCAGTCGACGATATACGCTCGAAGTCCCGCTTGTACTGGGGAGTGGTCAGCTATCAGCATTCGAGGCATCGCATGGGTACTTACAAGTATTGATCGCAAAGTCGAGAACATAAACAAAAATCACTGCAAACACTGCGACCGAGGTCTTGACACCCGACGACTCTCGATCCGCGCCAAATAGTCCAAGAAATCCCCCGACGATCTCCCTGGACCATGAGAGTGACAGGAGCGACAATACCGTCGCGATGCAACCTCCGACAATGAATGGTCTCCGCTTGCCCCATCTCATCCTACATCGGTCACTCTTGATACCGACATATGGCTGGACGATGACGCCCGATAATGGTCCGGCAAGCCATACTAAGGACAAGAGCGATTTGCTGATCCCGAGGGAGAGAAGAAATGGCTAGACCGGCGTTAGTAGAGATGCGCAATAATGGGATTCCATAACCGTCAAGCCGTACCGACCCATAGGAAGTTTCCACACCCCATCCAATCTGCAGTCTATATTCCGTTAGTGTACCATCGTCCAAACCCCATTAGAAGCAATACTACTCACCCAATCTGCCCAACCGTCAACAGGATCAAATACCCCAACGTCTTCGTCTCCTCGCCCTTGTGAAGCTGCCATTCATCGCTTCCCAGCGGAGAGTTCACGTCGGCCTCACTGTCATCCTCCGAGTCACTGGGATGAAGCAATGGAGACTGCTCATTCCGGTCCTCCTCTTCTACCACACGTCTCTGGCTATTCGTCGAGTTCCGCGGCGAGTTGGACGGCTTCGTCGGCGCATTCGCGCGTCGTTTGGATGACCCGGGATCTTCATGCGCCGACCGTGGTGAGGAGGATTTACCGGACATAATCGCGCTGTTCTATACTCGTATACGGTACCTGTATAGTACTCCGGGCGGCTGGCTATTCGCGGAGATGGAGGTCGAGGCAGAGTCGATTGTGGAGATGGGTCGCATCGCTCCGGGAATTCCAAAGGGCAGACAAGGCCTAGAGGATCCTAGGTGTACGGACTAGCTACTATAAAGGAGAAAAGCAAAGTCGGCACATTTGTACAGCTGCAAGAGAGCGTGTGATACAGAGAATCGGGGGTGTCGGAGGTCAAGTGGTCAGGGACCTCCGAATACGTACGACGATGTCATTCCAGAGGGATGCCTCAGGCGATAAGGCGATCATGCCTATTGTTCACCATCCGCCGAAAGCTCCGATATCTAACTTCATCTCCGCATGCATCCACCAACACTTTTTATATCTCACCGTCTGTCCACTATTCCCGTTGGGTATTGGGAGAAGCAGGACCGGTGCTACCCAAAATGCTCTCCGGCATCATAATATTCAACCAGAAGGGCGAAACCCTCATCTTTCGAGGTTTCCGACAGGACTGCCGCCCCCGCCTCGCCGACATCTTTCGCATCCAGGTCATCTCCAATGCCCACGTCCGCTCGCCCATCCTCACCCTCGGCTCCACCACATTCAGCCATGTCAAGCACGAGAACATCTACATCGCCGCCGTTACGAAGAGCAATGCCAATGCCGCGCTCGTCTTCGAGTTCCTGTACCGGTTTGTCAGCTTGGGGAAGAGCTACTTCACCAAGCTCGACGAGGAGGCTGTGAAGAATAACTTCGTGCTGGTGTACGAGCTGCTCGATGAGATTGTGGATTTCGGATATCCGCAGAACACCGAGACCGAGACGTTGAAGATGTACATCACCACCGAAGGCGTGAAATCCGAGCGGACCATGCAGGACACCAGCAAGATCACCATGCAAGCCACCGGCGCCTTGTCATGGCGCCGATCCGACATCAAGTACCGCAAAAACGAAGCCTTCGTCGACGTCATCGAGGATGTCAACCTCTTGGTCTCCGCCACCGGCATGACCCTCCGCGCCGACGTCAGCGGCCAGATCATCATGCGCGCCTACCTCTCCGGCACCCCCGAGTGCAAATTCGGCCTCAACGACCGCCTCACCCTCGGCGAAGACACCATCGACGGCCCCACCGGCAACAAAGCCGGCACCAAAGCCACGCGCGCCGCCGCCGGCACCGTCAACCTCGAGGACTGCCAGTTCCACCAGTGCGTCAAGCTCGGCAAGTTCGACACCGACCGCATCATCTCGTTCGTGCCACCCGATGGCGAGTTCGAGTTGATGCGCTACCGCGCGACCGAGAACATCAACCTGCCGTTCAAGGTGCACGCCATCGTCAACGAGGTCAACAAGACTAAGGTCGAGTACAGCATCGCAATTCGCGCGAACTATGGGAGCAAGCTGTTCGCGACGAATGTCGTGGTGCGGATTCCGACGCCACTGAATACCGCGGACGTGACCCCCCGCACGAGTCAGGGGAAGGCGAAGTATGAGCCGGAGCAGAATAACATCGTGTGGAAGATCGCGAGGTTTACGGGGCAGAGTGAATACGTGCTAAGCGCCGACGCAACGTTAACGAGCATGACGAACCAAAAGGCGTGGAGTCGGCCGCCGTTGAATTTGAGTTTCAGCTTGTTGATGTTTACGAGCTCAGGGCTGTTGGTGCGGTATTTGAAGGTGTTTGAGAAAAGTAGTTATAGCAGTGTGAAGTGGGTGCGGTATATGACGAGGGCGGGAAATTATGAGATACGGTAAGTTCTAATTTGTGGCACATTGGAGGATATCACTAACGATTCCAGATTCTAAGCGTTGGATGGGCTTCAAAACGATACCATGGCCGGGTAAAGTTGATCCTGCATCGTATGGAGTCCGGAGTTAAAACCACAAGCAATTTTTGGTGCCAGTCGTCGGCATTGGAATAACTAGTTGCCATGCGTCGTCGGACGTCGTTGGATTGATTTTATATTCATCTCATCTATACGCTGCATCCAGACTGCGGACGGTGGAAAACGCTGTTCGATTTTGGAGATCGATAACATCTGCTGTTGTGAATTCGATTAACTTGAAGATAATATGCAGCTATTGTATGCTTCTCCTTTGTAGCATTGTACCTTTTTTATACTCCAACTCCAGCACCTCGACGGGTTTGCCTTTGTGTGGCACACTCCCGTACGGGCCAGCATGATCAATCCCCTATCTCAAACCACCTCGCTCTGATCGAGTTATCCTCCCCTAGTCACCAAACTACGGGATTTGCAACAAGGAGGAATATCCGATGTCGCGGGGGGTCGACATGGGGTGAAGGTCGAGTCTTTTCCAATCCCCCTTTAGGATCCCGTTCGGCATTCAGGAGTGTCCGGGCCATATAAATCGAATATATCCAGAAACGATGGCTGCCCTTGCGATGCCATCTCTCAACTTAGGATTCGATTCCTGCGTCTCCTTCGAACATCCACCGGTCATCATCAATCGATGCGATCTTCGCTTGCAAGCTGGCGTGCAGTGCAGCCTTCAGTTCCGCTACACATCGTCAGCATTCTAGACCAATTTCTCAAACCCACAAGACATCCAATCCACGCCAGAAATTCGGGAGCCTCAAGGAAATCCAGCGACAAGCACTTCTCATAAAAACGTACCATTTGGTTCCACATCCTTATGCATTCGATACGACTCAATCACCTGATTCTGCGCCTCTATCATCCCCAATCATTAGCACTCTCCATATCAACCCAACCATCGTCCTCGCTCACTCACCTTGCTCCTCCCCCTCCTCATCCCTGGGCACCGCCATCCCCGCCGGCCGATCCACCCTCACAACCCCCCTCTCATCCCTCACCAAGATCTCCAGCTCCTCCCCACCCCCTTCCTCCATTCCTCCCCTCCCTCCCCCTCCTACATCAAACGCCCCATCCAACCCTCCTATCCCACCACCCCTCCCCGCCGCTGCCGCCACCCCGCCCGGCGGATGAAGATGCAGATGCTGGTCCGCGACGCCGGGGGCGAAGGAGTGGTGCGGTGGTGGACGGCGGGAGAGGTTGGAGGCGAAGAGGTTGCGGGCGCGGGTGCTGGTTGACGGTGCGGTGTTGGAAGGGGGGATGGTGGTGGAGGTGGAGGACGGGGCGGTGGTGCGAGAACCGTGGGATGTGGAGCGGGAGGTGGTGGAGAGGAGGGAGGGGGCGGGATGGTTGGGGTTGCTGGGGGGCGGCATTTTGGATGAAGTGTGCGCGTGGTGGTGGTTGGTTGGTGTGATGGAAGAGAATTGGAGAAGGGACAAATGTTCGGTTCGCTATTGGAGGCGCTGATCTTTCTTTTTGGCGGTTGTTCGGTGTCCACGGTGAAAGAAATGCCTATTCAAGAATGTCTCTAGGTCTTTGTCCGTGCTCTTTCTATTCAAACTAGGCGGATCACGGTCCGCAGATCATCATGTGCCTGACCCTTGTAGATGGATAGGGGAATGTAGGTGCATATATTTTTAAAGTCCGGATATATTGGACGCCAGCTGAACCTTCATTCAAGAAACGTCGGTGTATGGGGGTTCCGCAGAAGGGGAGATGATGAATAGTCTGGGAAAATACAGGAGGAACGAAGTCGCTCAGGGAGTGGTACGACGCTTCCGTTTCCTGTCAGGAACATGCTACAGGTACTTGGTTAGCTCCATGATCGTCCAACCCATAATACATCAAACCCAATATTATATGGCAGAATGGGAGGTATTGACACATGTAGTCCTGGTCTTGAGATTAGTACTATTGACCACATTCTACAAAAATAGACACCTGAGGAATCTAACACTAACTGAAAACTCATAAGGCAACAATTTCTCTTCTCCACTGAAGTCAAGTGTGACATTGTAAGTGTGCGTGGGGGAAACGTGGGGGTCGAATTCCATCCCGCCTCTTTCGCTGAAACATATCTTCGCTTGACAATGCGACTTACAGGTTACATTTCACAACCCCCTAATCATGTATGAACTAGGGACTGGACGCACCATAACGGGAATCCCACGTGCTAAGCAACGAAATCAACCCCCAGAATGAAAAACTGCCTTACGATATGCAACGACGAGATTGAGGATGGGCTGCGGCGCCGGACTCATGCACGAGGAAGAGCCAGGAACAGTTGGCGAGGGTCATGTGAAGTTCTAGTGTTACTCTACTGCCCATACCCCGTGCTCGATGCAACAAAACTAAAATCGCGGAATCGGGAATACGCGACACCGTGGAGGCCATTCGAGCAATCCTGCGTCTCTGCCTTGTGGATCGACGATGCGACATGCATCGATGAAGGAAATGAAGGCGAAGGGTGGGACACTGGGATTAAACTCCCACGCAACTTGATCGACGCTCGATTAGAGCATATTCCTATGAATATGTTATCCACGGAGCTGCTTAAAGGTGCGGGATTCGTCTCCCACGCCCTACTGCCTCGACTGCATTAGTCCGGCACCTTAGCAGATCTCACTAGTGATGCCTGCTAGACATATAGGTAGGTAGCCTCCTGCCTTGCCACACCGCCGTGAGTTCGCATGCAAATGTCTTTCCTCCGTGGGATCGCATCCCACCTTTCGAGAACACGCAACTGCTGACCTAGTATCGAACTTCCGAGTATTAGAGAGGATATGGCTGGGGCCTCCACGGTGCGATATGGTTGGATATCCTCGTCTTCTCCTGATGTTGTGCGGCGATCGGAGATGCTCTCCTCTGAGAGGATATGCAGCGGAAATAGCTCTCCGTGCACTCATCCTAGTATGTTTATCTCTCATCCGCATGTTTGGCATCAACGCGGTGTAGGATAGGAGGAGTGGTTGGATTCATGATTGGACCTAGCAGGTGCGTGAGGTTGTGGCCCTCGCCATATTCAAGTTCGAATGCTCAATAGGTTGCAAATCGTGCACTTGCCCCTGAAATCGGGAGGAACACCTTGGGAGCCCAGGCGTCCACGCCAAATGATATTTGATGCTAGGGACCGAGATTTTATAGGTAGCGTAATTCGTACTGTACAAATCATTATACAGAGTTCTCTCGCAAGACGCTCTCTTAAGCGTACCAAACCACTGCCCAGTAATAATCCGAAAATATAACCGTAGGCTGGGACGTCTAAGTACAAACCGAAAGGGACTCAAGCCTCACAACTGTCACAAATAGCGACAGAGGCAAGTCCAGGACAAAGAAACCATTCATCGTCAAACCGTAACCGTCATAAAAACCGAAAAGTGACCGTCCCTATGGTCCGTTCGCTCATTCATCCCGAAATACGCCCAAGCTCGATCGCTACCGTCCTTCCTAAACACAATACCCAACGATTCACGCTCGCCGTCCACTTAGTACATGCCATTTCCACAAGCTCAACCAATACAAAAGCACCGCTTAGAACATCTTGCGCTCAGGGAACACCAAATCGCCATACTCTACATTCGCCCCATCAAACCCAAAGTGTTCGTCAGTCCTAATATTTGGGTTGATATGATGGTGATGCATCCCATGCAAACTCCCCTGCCTCTGCATCGTCAAATTATGATGCCCCTGCTCACTCACCAGCGAGCTATCCCTGCTTCCGCGTTCATGCTTCGCGTTCGCGGATGCCGAGTCGACGGACGACGGCCCCGTGCTGGCACCATATGACGCATTCGACGAGGCAGAGGCAGGTGGGGAGCTGGAGGAGTGGAATTCGGGGGAGGTGGTGGCGATGCGGCGATGTTTGCCCCGGCCTTTGATGCCTTTGTTGGAGTTGCGGTACAGGCGCGCGAAGTATTCCCAGAGGTCCTTGTCTTGGGCGGTGACTGGGTCGCCTTCGCGGATCGAGGAGAATTTGTGGGCTAGGAAGCGAAGGGTGGCGGAGTGGAATTTGTTTTGGTGGGACTGTGGTTCAGTCGTGTCAGTCAACATCGTTCATGCAAAGAATAGGAGGATTTTCCGGGGATCGAGTGATTGATATATGCACAGGCGAGGGAATAAACCGCCCGCCTGCAGGCAAAGATATCGGTTTCGTATAGGAAAGCTCCACATACCTTGAGGTTCCCTAGCTGCGTGAACTGCTTTCCGCAATCATCAAGCAGACATGTAAATGGCTTGATTTGCAGATGCACGATCTGATGCGCTCGTACGTTGCCTCGCTGTGCGAAAGTCTTACCGCACTCCTCGCAGCTATATGGTCGCTCGCCGGTATGTCGTCGTTCATGGGTCTGGAATCACCAGTCAGTGGCAGTTCCGGTGCGCCATGGGGTTTGAAATTACCTTAAGATTTCCCAGTTGTGTGAATCGTTGGCCGCATGATGGCTCTTTACAGATCTGGCGGAGCGTCAGTATACCGTTCACGCCCAATCCTGGGATGCTGGACGTACAAATGGCTTAAAACCAGTGTGGGCACGGGTATGGATATCCAGGTGAGTCTTCTGGGAGAAGAGCTTGTCGCAGCCCGGAATACGGCATACATATTTCTTTCGGGCTTTCCCAGTTGCCCGTCCCATTTTCTTTTGATGTTGCGGATATGAACGAGATTCATTCTGGGAATTCACCGCCTCGAACCCGTTCACTAAACCAGCTCGTTCACTCGACGCTCTTGCTGCTGTCTCAGTCTTGCTCTGAATGGTCCTCATCAACGTGTCTACGTCCGTTGAGAAGTTGATCCCAGTCTCAGCATTCACTGAATCAGCTCCGCTCATCTCAGTCGCCATGAGCGAATCTTTGAGCATCTGCGGTGACTGAATAGGTGACTCCATCTCCACTTTGATCGGTTGATGAATGGCGGCACCGTTCCGTACTTCGGGAATGCGAGGGACTCCGGTCGAGATGTCCGAAGCAGTTTGGTAAGACACGGCATGAGTATGTGCCGTGGAAGCTGGCATGCTCACATAGGAAGGCGGCATGCTATACTGATGTACTCCCATAGCCTCAATGCCATATGCCGTCTGATGCATGGGAATTGAGCTGTTCATGCCCGTCGTAAATGTTCGCATGCTCATATCGAAGGGGAACGGCTGCGAGTTAGGGACCGCGGTGGCAGATCGGCTGCCTAAATCGTAGGAAGAGAATGCCATGGTAGAGGACGGCATATGTAGCATATTGTAACTCATCCTACGCTCCTGCCACGTACCGCCATGCGGGGCAACCACGGCAGCCATATGTACGCCTGGGAGAGGAAACCTGAGGAGGAAGGAAGCAACAGGTTAGGAATGTGTCGAATGGCTGGCTGGTGAGGAGCAGATATAGTGTTGGAAAGGACAATGTAACAAGATATGTAACAACAACGGATGCTGTTCAGGTGCTGAATCGAATCACAAGTTTATGTATGTGACGCCTTCACTGTCACAGGCAGAAACCACACTTGTGATGTTACGGAGCCGTACGAAATTATATCGCTGAGGGTGGAAAGATGGAAGTAAATATATGTGAGGATATACAAGCTCGGTGGGATAAGTGGGATGAGTGAACAGACTATCAGGTGGAGAAAGACAAAATTGATATCGACTGATAATGGCTCGCCAAAGCGTATGAGGAAGCAGGAGATAGTTTCCGGATGGTCAAATATCAGTTGAAGAGTTCCTTGGGAAGTAGATATGTGAGACCCCCAAAGTGTTTATGCTAGCATCCCACTCCCTCTCCTCTGTCTGGATCTTGACACCTCCACCGTAATGGACTGGGGTCCAAGGCAAGTACCGATATTCATGGCTAATGCCAAGGCAACCCGGATCCTGGGCTAGGGTGGGAGACATTGAGACTTGAGGCTATTGTTGTTAGTATGTGAATATTACTCCGTACAGAGTATGGAGTGGGATTGTTGTCCGGGTTTACAACCTACATCTGGATGTACGGTAGGGAAGACGTTAGGGAGATGTCAAGGGATGCTGGGTCGAAGGATTGGCGTGACGGCCCCGAGGACGGGTTTCCTAATGTGGCGGTATTAGTGTGAGATGTGGATAATTGAGGGGGGGTTATCGAAAATGTCAGTGTTTTGAATTGGTAGGGGTGGGAGGTCGATGTCGATAGAGCCATGTCGCATAGACCGATCCATGATCCTGGCTTCTCTCCCGCTCTGTACGGAATGGATCGAGGATTATGACTGAGGCGGCCCACTGTTGGTGGTGACCATGTCGTTTGCCACTTGGCAGGTTCGGTAGTCCCAGCTAAGATCTGTATCGTCATCGTACTGAATAGCCTCGAGATAGATCTGGAATCAAGACGGTAATCTGTCTCGGACATTTCTTCGATTTTTGAAAATACAACTAAATTCAAAATGTAGAGAGAAAACACTTCTGACTTGATATGTATTCTTGACTTTGAATTAGAAGAGAGGAAGAGACTCACCGGCAGCCTGAGGTTGAGTCTGGGTGTGGTGGGTGGTCGACCAGAACCACACCCCAACCCGATCTGTATCTACTTGCACCGGCGGCAATCGCCGAGTCACTTTGGTCTTCCACGGAGGACAGTTCAGTCGTCCTGGTCATCACAGCTCTTGCATCCAAAGGGTCAATCGGACTTCGGAGAGTCGGAGACATCCACTCCCCGGGTGGGGGTACCCTCTCCTCATTCGCTTGATAGACCGCTAACTGGCGGAGCCATGGCGGCGGCTTTATTCGTCATGCGGTTGACTTGTATCTGCAGGCTCGCAAATTCCATCCCAGCGGGAATAAACCAGCTATCTGACGGCCCGACTATCAACATCTCTGACCCGCGAGGTGTCGCCAGACGATTAATCCTCAGCTATGAGCCAGCGCATCAATCAAGAAGCAGTACTGCTACACTAACCGTGGAGTGATTTTCACAGTGGCCACCACGGGACGCGTATCATATCTCCACAATCCCGCTGATGAAGTAATGGTAACAGCAACCCAGCAGAAGTGTGGCATGAGGCGTCCCTTGACGATGTTGAGCTGCTGTTTTAGTGATGGTGTTCGCTCGCTTGATATGATGCCATGATAGCACGTGCTCCTCTACCGAACTTCACCTACTTGAATTCACATCTGAGCACTGGCGGCGATGCATATTGAATGGCATGCATCCACCATCTCGTTAGGGATGCTTGGAAACACTTTCATCTTGAAAGCTGGAAGCCGTCCAGTTCAAGGCCTATCGTTTGCGTCTACTGTCAATCATTTCCTATTCTCGGCGTCTATTTGAAATATACAGGACATCTCAAAGGGCGGAGCACACGTAATGATGTACCTTCTTTTTCTCTCGCAACGGTCAAGTGGCCTCTAGACGGCTGCTGCATCAGGCAAAAATAGGCACACGCATGAATTGGGTTTCATACAGTGATCCTAAAATGGAAAGGAACCCGGGTTGGGGGGCCTGGTGGCGATCATACAGCAAGCCATGCGAGCTGTGCTGATGAGACGTCCTCGACGACAGCCAAACTTAGGATCTTCACGGAAAGAGCCAGGTCGGGAAGCACGGCAGCAACCAGGCAACCTTTTTAAAATTGTGGTGGGATTCTAGCAGCTACCGACAAACTGTACGAATCGCACGCGAGGTGTTGCACAACAGCTCGTCAAGCACGCAAGAATGACTTTGTTTACCGCAGTACATACTTCTCCCTTAAAGAGAAGCAATAGATGAGCTAGCGGCCGAGCATGAAATGTCGCCAGGTCCTCGGGACTGGGTCAGTCGAAAACTCGGAAAATACCATCTACATCTGACCCGACCTCCTGTCACATTCTACTAATCATGCGGTATACATTACCTTCAGCGAACAATGGTGGAGTGAACACTATCGATAAAATCGGCGAGTTGAGTTTGTCCAGTGGTGCACTCGATTGAGTAATAATTACTTCTTCGGCCTAACGTCCCGGTCCAGTCGCGCCGGCGGGACAGCCCATGGAGGCTAGTGGGGTGGGGAGCATCAATGCCAGGAACAAATCAGAGCGCTTATCCCCGTCACGCAAGATTTGTTCGAATGAGCTTGCTGCGCCCTAGCCGTGTGGGAGGCTGGGAGCATGCGGCGCAGCGGCGGGGACATTTTCATCCAGAGACAGAAGTCACCGCTTCAAGCGCGGAGATCAATTGCTAGCGAACTGCATTAGTGTGCGAATGGGGCGTGGTACTAGCGTACATCTTGGGGACTTGGACTCGATAGGCGATGAGGGTGTGGTGGTCCCGAGAAGCCGGGTCCGGATACGGTGGCGAGGCGCCTCCCCTTGCGTTTAAGGAGACATGCAGCATCATCCAAGCCGCTTTAGTAGGAGAGGCGCCTGGTTTTACCAATGGAAGGGAAAGGAAACGATCGATGGGACTGTGACGTGTGAATCAAACGGCTGGGATTTCAAGACCTGCGGCTGCGAGGCTGCGACGAACGCCTGGTCGAGGAGCGTGATTGAAATCGACACTCGAATCAGATTGGACCGTTCCATGAGCGATCCCTCCTCGCTCTGCTGTGCCTCTATCGTGAATTTGAGGCAGCCAGGGGCGGTTACGGAGCCAGCATCTGCCCTGCTAGATCATGCCCAATATCCATCCATTACATGGTTTACGATACACCTCATGTTGAACATCTTTCCTAATCCTTCACGTCTGTGTCAAGGATTGACATATCAGTCTGAATAGGTACCGACTAAGGAGGGTATGCGGACATGGAGTCGGACATCGCCTCACTCCTACCCAGTATCATTGCTCGCACAAGGACATTATTACGAAACATACCACCCCATTCCCGAGTCTCACATGTCTGATCCCAAGAACAAGGGCCAGGTACCCTTGAGCCTTGGGGTCAGCACGAACGCCACCTAGGCAACTGGGATGAGTCCCATTTTGAGCCTCTACACCCCTCTACTGTCGAAGGGTGTGTTTTGCAGTGGACCGACTGTTTGGACTCTAATTACGTGTGTGCCAGGACTGGTGCTGGAAGTATTTCCATTCTCCGGAGGTACGTTCACTGTCCAGGTATTTCGGGCCTATCCTTTCGTCCACCCGAGATACCTAGATCAAAGCTTTGTTTGCAATACAATGCCCGTATTTGTGGTGCTTCCGAAGATGAGACCGAGCCAACATCATACGTTCCTGTCACGACCTTTGGATGAAAAGGATGCGACTCAGCAAACTCTTCGTTGCAGACCGCAGTAATGGGATTTGAACATTCCCGGTACTTTGGAACGTTTAATTCATTTAATAACAAATTACCCCCAAGATTTATCCCATGAGTCTCCAGGCTAAATTTGGAGTGATGCGACGTTTATGGGGTTACTCAACTGTTTCAACGGCACTGGACCCCTGACCAGGAATACAGTTGTTGAGCACCAAGGGGGTTGATTTTCGAGTTAATACTGCGTCGAAGTCATCAATTTTACTCGGTCCTACGAAAGCATCATTGTTATGGGAATAATCTTGGAACGTGCGACCCGGAGGAGTGGTTCGAGCATTATTCCTTTTTGCCATTTAACTTTCTCGGGAGTCTCCCCGCAATAGCCTCCATGATCGCCAACGGCTTTCTGGCTCGTGAGACGTGCATTTCAAAGATCGCCATCAAAGGACACTTTCCGGCCTTCCGGGTCGCCAATAATACTATCGAGACAACATTGATCAATCCTCAATATACATGTCATTTCGTTTACGTTTGTTTATGAACTATCCGAAAGGACATTTCATCGCACAAATCATGGACCCTTGGAACCATAGACTGGTCAATCTCCAACAAGCCACGAGTTGGCAAGCACCGAAAAGAGCCAAGGAAATCACTCCCAAGTCCAAAAAGACAGGGGAAAATTCTCCGAAACGTGCATCTTCGTTGTGCTGAACCCTGGATTTCCTGCATCCAGGTACCCCGACTATCGGTCTGTCCCTCCAATCATGGATCTTTCATTCCGCACATATCCCAAAACAGCCTCCCAGAGGCAAGCCAAGCCATCCGCCTCTGTTCCCCGAAGACTGTCGTGACTACCCAGTCCAATGGCTAAGTGGAACACAATAAGCCGTTTGACGAACGTGGTCCAGCCAGGACTAGCTAGCAGCACAGTTTGCTTGTGCCTACTTTATCCATTCTGGCGGGATGGAGCACTTTGGTAACGAAAGTCACACAAGAAACGCCATTTGATGCCATGTCGCCGGGTCGCTTTCCCGGTTTCAAGCCACCAAACTTCAATTTCCGAGCTGTACGGATACAGGTATCCCAGACGTGGACAGGAAAACCCAGGATCGAGATTCGAGACAGAAAGCGCAAGGTTGAGCAATTCGCTTTGATCGCGAAGGATTGTTCCCTAGACATATGTTGCTCTTGGGAAATATCTAGTAATTAACGATAAATTCCCATGCCACAGCGGGGGCCGGGGCCTGGGGAGTGGGGCATTATCTCTACACACGGGCCAAGGAGCAGCGGGACTTGTATCCAGTCTGTTGGGACTTGGAAACTTCCCCAGATTTATCTATGAAACGGTTACATCCCTAGAATAGCAGGGAGCCACGACTTCACTATCGCAAATATGGAGTCTTGTGGTATCGGCTCGAATAGTTTGGAATGGCGAACAATACGGAATCCTTTTACTGTAGTTCTATCTGGCTGACCCCCACTCGTACCGAACTACAGACGGGTTCCACAATCAGCAACACCAGGCACCCCGGAAATCTTGACACTAAATCGCATCCACAATTCAAAGTCAAGAGCAGTTCTTTGTCCTCGTGGAAACGTGGGATGGAAAGACTATGCAAGGGCGATAAAGATCCCACAGTTTCCAATCAATTATTCGATATTTTGGTTCCAATGATTGAACTTCAGGTACGGAATACTTCTCCGTATTTCACACTCAATTCCATAAGTCTGGATACCCCAAGCCTGGGGAACCCTCTTTCGCTGCCCAATTAAGGGGGAGATTCGACCAGGATCGCTGACTCGTGCATGCCCCGGGGATGTCTGCCAGGGGTGGAGGAGAAGGCGTGATACCAGAGGTCTGCAAAGTGCATCGGCTGCCAAATTCATCATCTCTCAATGAAACAAGTGCCAGCGACGACCCTTGGCTGTTCAAACTTTCAAAGTTGTATTAGGGTTGGCGATCAACTTCAATAATACAACCCTCAATTGGTGCTATTTCCGTGCTTATTTGGATTACGTTCTTCCCATAACCGCTGGATATCTGTCACATTCATCTCTCGCACATCTGAACACTGGAAATGATGGGACTCATGATTCTACGGTTAGAGTCTTGCACCACGGTGTGGTAAGAACTGAGATGTGTCAAAAACTCAAGACAATAGCAATTCCGACAGGGACGTGCTGACAATCAAGAAAGAATACGGAGTATTTCCTTGGGAAAGAGTGTGCTGACTAAATCCCTTGCTTCGAGGTTTTCTTCAGCCGTCTATTCCCCAGTCCGCTACGGAATACTCCGTAGACTTGCGCTTAATATCCGAGATTCTCTATCGCTCCATGGCGGTTCTCCTATGCGGAGGCCTAATTCCCCCCTCTCCCGGTTCCCGATCAGTGGCTTAACATGGCGAAAGGCACAGTCTATTTCTTCGCGCTATATGATTACTGTGGCGTCCTATCTCACGCTTCATAATTTTCACTCCCTCATCATTGGCTAAAGCCGAATAACCTACAAGAAAACAAGATCAGCTTGTGCTCGAATCGAGCGTCGTACAGGCTTGATATCAAGGGAGGCGGCGCCGGATATTAAGCAAGGTTGGGCGAAACATGTCAGACAAATGGCGCTGGTAATGACGTTCCTTAGCCGTCTGCTGATCTAGAATATCGATATCATCCTCGCCATCATCGGTTACCGGGACTGAGGATCTGTCAAAATAAGGTCATTCGGCAATCCGACAGATGGGATATTGGTCGCCTAATCAGATGGTGGGGCGGCCTTCGGACGATATTTCCTTTCCATCCCATGGATTGAACGATCGAATTCCAGGCCTACAAATCCCCTGATAGGCTATTCCAAGAAATCGAAGATCTGTGTTCGGCGTTGTGCATTGGATGTGCCGCGGACTTTGCCTCCTTACGATCTGGTCGATCCTACTAGCAAGTGGCTACGAATGTGATCATGACACGGGAAGGTATCTCGAATATCTCAGTCATTATTTCGATTCTTTTTCGTCGCTTAGAGGTTCTGTCACTTCAATCGACTGGCAAGTTTCCCGTCAGCGAACAGATTTTCCAGTTCGGCAATGTACCTTCTCCGCAATATCACATCCATCTATTAAACCAGTGGCGTCCCTACAAGCCATAGCCTCGTATCCCCATCCACTCCTTTCGTATTTTCCACTGTTTCGCCTCATCGCGGCACCATTGCTGCCAATCAAGTCTGTGGGTCCTTCGCCAAGCTGACAGTCTATCAACCGGTCGAATCAATTGTCGCTGCGGATGTGCTCCCGGCTTCCGCCATCCGATCGTAAATCACCTGCGCACCCGAGCGGTAGCAACACTCAGCGTCTCAGCCTAGGCTAAAGTGGCACAGACATAAGACAACCTCCGTCCCATGTTCCAGGAGTTGGCAGCCGAAGTCGATCACCCAGCGTTTATGGGTCGCAGTATTTGAGTGATACGTGCATTTCGTATTGGATGGAGCATCCGCCGCCATGGGTGGCACACCTTTTATTCGACTTAAATCCAGTCTCCAATTCGCTCCCCATGTGCGGGCTGTTGTCCCAATCTATCGGAACTCGCATGTCCCTGTTGTGATAGGCGGTTGCTGTGGCTGGGAGGTCCATGTTGCTCGGGGATGCCACACGGGTTCATGCTGTCCATGGCGTCCCCATCACCGTCTCCGGCCGTAGGCGCTGATGCCCCCCCCCCCCCCCCCCCCCCACATCCTATTACCTTGCCACCACCATGTAATTGAATGAAGTGTTACTTTGCAAGGCCAAGCGACCGTGTGGCAATGTAGGAAGGGATCACCATGAGATTGGCAAAACTATTTGCTAATACGTTCCCAACGGACGTCTCCTAAGACCGAGACTGAATTAGAACGACTGTTTCCATCCCACCACTGCTGATTTTGGGGAAAGAATAGATGACGGAGATGTGAGCCATCAACATACCATTCATAGCGGAGATACCAAGGTGATTACAGCCGTCTGATGATCTCGGTTTGTAAGGTAGTCTTTATGTCCATCGACCAACCATCAGCCCAACTTCGTCAACGACAAAGACTTCTCACGTCATTTACCGATTAGCAGCAATATCTACTTTCGCATAAGGCTGCAACTGAATATCATTTCACATTCTACGTACTTGGTCAAATGAAATCTTTGATTGCGCTTGAGCATGAGATGTTGAAACATAGCTGAAAGAGTTAGAGTGACCTTCTCTTATTATGCATCCTCGTTAGACTCAATATGGGTCTAGGAAAGTGTTTTATGAGAAATAGGTACCTGATGTAGGCGGTGGTGACTGTTATAGAACTAGCTAGTTTCGCAATTCTGCCTAAATAAGCATGTTTATGCTTGCATCGATGAGAGCCAGATTGAAATGAGAATTTGCTCACCAGAGTCTAGATGGCTGGCGTTGAAATCCGATTGCAGTTCTTACTGACTCACTCCAGTGACTAGTCGTTCCTATGCTACTCGCCCTGTTTCTTATTACCTTGATTTCCGAAACATTTCTCAATGGGATACCTCACGAGCCGTCAAATATCAATGAAAATTCAGGATGCTTCACACAATGGGAAATATGACTTCGTTAGGCAATCCTTATCAAACGATGAAGAGAGAGGGGACTGAATTGACTGGTTTGACTGAATGTACTTGTCATCTAAGCCTTGCACCCTGACGCACAAATATCGCGCCAGCGGGCCACATAAGATGTCTGTACTTGCGTTCTCATTCCTAGTTATCATTCGAAAAGGTGAATTCTATTGAGGCAGTGATGATCCCAGGCTCCCCAGGGCATGGGACCAGCGTATTCATTCCCCTTGCAACGATCAACCGCCGAGGGGGGTTCCGCCTTTGGTTTTGAGTTATGTCTTTATTCCCACAGTATAATTCCTCATACCCATACGTTGAAAAGTTTGTGTTCTGAATAGCGAGGATCGTTGATCCCTTTGCACAAGAACATGCTGAGAGAGGATGACATTATCGAAAGCAAAGTCATGGGAATCAATATATCTTTGCGTTGTGAGCAGACTATATAAACATATGACTTATACTCATTAGCAAGTGGCATATAAACTTACGGAAACCCTATCCGAGCCATCGTTTTGTGAAATACAAAACCGGAGTGTCGCATGAAGCACAGAGCACAGTCAGAAAAGAATTACTCTCCATAGATATTGATTTCGATACGATCTATGCGTCTTGAATAGCATTCATTTAAATAGTTAGTCTCGTTTTGCTCTACGCTACCGATCACCAAACCTTATTGATCCATTGCGCGATAGAATTGGTCACGAACTTATGCTTTCTCATACCATAATCAGAGCGGCACTGTTCATGCGACTAGATGAAACAAATATGGCTTATAGCGCCAGTTCATCCGCATTGCCATTTAAGGGCGTTCTCTCTCTACTTCTCACGTTTCTGCGCCGCTGGGGCTTTGGGTTATTTAAGGTCAATGTCACGGACAGGAAGCAGCATTCGTCAACGGCGTGAAGACGGGAAGGGTTAATTCGGTGGAGTTCCTGGTGTGGTACCGACGAGAAGAACACTGGAACTGGGTCGATGGACGGGCTTGTGAGACTGGAGGGATACTGATTCACCTAGCACATTTGGGAGAGCTGCCAGACATATAGGGATGTAGTAGCTGAGTCACAATGTCGGCTGCGGGGATATCACATTAGAGAAAGCCTGGGCAGAACAAAAAATGCATTGGAAGTAAAATCTATGAAGCCCGATGCCATCCATTGTCGTTCGACATCCAGGCATCCCCGGATCGTGATGTATGGCGACGTCATGCGGACCGATCGTGAAGCCGTGCAGAGACGGAGAAGCAGACCCCGCAGACCGCGTAGAGCAACCCACGAACACCATACACCGAAAATGTGGTATACTGAACCAGAAACCAGGCCCACGGCCCCCCCATCCAGCTTATCGCGACCGGGTCTTCCCAATGCCGCGCTTTCCAGCGAGCTAGTCATAGTCGTTAGCACATCGCCCATTCCATCGAGGTCCAAGGAGTAGATTGGTAAACTCACCAAATGCTTCGACAGCATTGCCGTCGTGTGCCGATCCGCCTCGCCCTGCCTCGCCATCCGATTCATGTTCTTCTGCCCCAACTTCGCCATCCGCTCCGCCTTCGTGCGCGCCGTCTGGTTCGTGACGCCGTCCTCGCGGCGATTCGTGCTCGCGGTGCGTACGCGGCTGCGCGCGCGCTCGAGCGCCGACATGGGCGGCTTATCGACGTCCATGGCGTCCTCGTCGACGTCGGGCGCGCGGGAGACCGGGCGGCCGCGCGACTGGGAGCGGGCGCGGTCGGTGGAGGCGGCGGGGTCGAAGCCGAGGGACTCCAGGGTGGAGGCGAGATCAGAGATTTTCTTGGGGCGGGCGACGGAGCGGGGGATGACGGGGCGATTTTTGAGGGATTTGCGGAGGCGGGACTCGTTGCGGATGAGGATGCGCTTCTCGCGGATGAGGTCGGCTTTGTGGCGGATGGTGGCGACCTCGAGGTCATCATCGTCGACTTCGAGCTCGTTGTCGTAGTAGCCGCTGGATTCGAGGCGGTCCTCTTCCTCTTCGAGAGCGGCGAGCTTGGCTTCGATTTCCGGGTCGACGAAGTCGTAGACGTTGCGGCCTTCGAAGACCTCGGGCATCTTGTCGTCTTTCCAGTCGGGGTTGTCGAGGAGCCAGTTCTTTTTGAGGTTGATGTTGTAGACGCCGGGCCCACCCTGTTCCTCTTCGAGGTCGCGTTCGAGTTTGGGCCGGTTGGGGTCGTCCAGCTCGTACTTCATCCGGTTCTTCGCGCCTTCGGGGATAAAGGCTTCGCGCGTGACGCCGCCCAGCGGCTGGGCAACGTGGATGCGCTTGAGAAGCTCGCCCAATCGGCCGCTGACTTCGCCGGAGGTGTTGAGGCCGGACTTTAATCGCTCGGCGTTCCGCTCCGCGAGCAGGCGATCGCAGGCCGCATTGCGAACTTGCATCAAGCCCTCGGTTGTTGTGCACGATAGCTGCAGCAGTTCCACCTCGCCAGGCTTCAGCATCGACTGAAGTTGGGCCTGTGTCTCGTCGTCCAAATCCTCGGGTCGTTTGATGTCGATCTTGTTGATGACGATGAAGACCAGCTTGTTGGAGAAGAGAGTCTTGACGTTGTGGAAGAGTTGCATTTGCGCGGAGACGGAGAAACCGCACTCTTCGGACAAGTCCATGAAGTAGAGGATGGCCGATCGAAGATGGGCAATGGCGGTGATCGACTGCATTTCAATCGCGTTCATCTCCTCCACGGGATGATCCAAGATTCCGGGGGTATCAATCGCTTGGAATCGAAGCATCTTGTAGTCGAAATGCCCCACGTAGAGACTCTTCGTTGTGAACGCGTACGGCTGGACATCGACATCCGCGCGCGAAATGTTCCGGAGGAAGCTCGATTTGCCCACGTTCGGGTAGCCGCAGATCAGCAGCGTTCTCGTGTTCGGGTCGATGGCCGGCAGACGGCCCAGATGCTGTCGGACCTGCTCCAAATAGCCCAGCGCATCTTTCAGGCGCTTGCAGATAGTGGCCATGCGGCCCAGCGCGGCTCGCTTGAGCTGCTTGCATTGGTAGAGCGATTGCGCATATTTCAGCAGGCGGACGTAGTCTCGCGCCACGGTTTCGATAAGGTGCTTGGCAGTGGACAGTTGGCCAAGGGAGATTTTGAGATGGTCGGAATCATAGAGGGTGTTAATCAAGTCGCGATCTGAAGATGTTAGCCTCTGCCTTCGGTCTAGCAGAATCGATGTCCTTACGGAACGGATGAATGTCTGCCAGTCTTGGGAAGCCTTCAATGACTGCAGCGAGTTTCTCTGAGAACGTCTCCGCCGTGTACTTGACTTTTCTCGTATAGAACGCTATGCAGTCGTCAGTCTAGTTCTCTTCACCTCGATTGTGTTCCGTACCTCGAATTCTACTGATCTTGAAACCCGGACGGATGAGGGTGGGGAGGCGTCGCTGGGTGCGGCTTAAGACAATGTCGATGAACTCCGAAGAGCTCGGGACGGGAGCGATATCCTTCCAAGTGGTCTTCATCGTTACGGCTTCCGTTACGGCTGCGGTTCCGATTAACGAAGTGGATATATCAAAGACTTGGGGGGGAATCGACAACTGCAGATTCGCACTTTCGCTTGAAAGTTGGACGTGGAAAATTTCGATGCACGGGCCACCTCCCCTCGAATCGTTTTTATCGATAACGGGATTTCACGCCGGTTTTTGGTAGGAATAATGGGACATCCAGATCGACTTGGAGTCTGGAGAATGAAGCAGGAATCTCAATGAGAATTCGAGAAGTGCAAATTAATATTACCGAGACATCAAATCACTGCATCGCGGTATCGGATTATCATCGCACAGTGCTCTAACCCAGCTCCATTCACCAGTAAAAGATTTTTATACGAGACATATCCGTGGCCATAGAAGTGTCTCAATTCATTCATCCCGATCCTCCTCATTAAGAGTCTAAATTCCTATTCAAAAAAGCATCGGGATACCCTCAGATTCCCCAAACAACTCCCTCAGTCCACCATCCAACCCATCCACCATGGCATCCCCCTCCATTCCCCCTCACAAATCCTCCTTCCTCTCCCACTGCCTCTCCGCCGACGCCCTCTCCTTTGGCACCTACACCCTCAAATCCGGCCGCCAATCTCCCTACTTCTTCAACGCGGGTCTCTTCCACCGCGGTCCGCTCATCCGCGCCATCTCCACCGCCTTCGCCCACACCCTCGCGTCCACGCCCCTCCCGTTCGACGTGCTCTTCGGGCCCGCCTACAAGGGCATCCCGCTGGCAGCCACGGTGGTGGATAAGTTGGCGGGGCTGGATGAGGAGCGGTATGGAAACGTAAGCTACTCGTTTAATCGGAAGGAGGCGAAGGATCATGGGGAGGGGGGGAGTATTGTCGGGGCGGGGCTGAAAGGGAAGCGGGTGGTGATTATCGACGATGTGATCACGGCGGGCACGGCCATTCGGGAGGCGATTGAGGTTATCGAGCGGGAGGGGGGGAAGTTGGTGGGCATTGTGGTGGCGTTTGATCGACAGGAGCGGATGCCGAGCGCGAGTGAGAAGGGGGAAGGGGGAGAGGAGGGGACGAAGGCAAGCGCGATTGGGGAGGTGCGAAGACAGTATGGCATTCCGGTGCTGGCCATCTTGACGCTGGACGACCTCATCGCGTACGTCAAGGAGCAGAAGGGATCGTTTGGCACGGAGGAGGACATGACACGGCTCGAGGAATATCGTAGCCGGTATCGCGCCACCGATGTGTGAGGTAGAGGTAGAGCCAACAATAAATGCATTATCCACCGCTCATCCGCCGAGACGTGCTTTTGATCGAGCTATATCATTGGTAAAGTACAGGGAATCTATTCCATTGTGAGATTCGGTTCTTGATCCGGAACACTCCAGAGGATATCCGTCGCGGTCCCAGGGAATTTATCGAAGGTCGCGATGTCGCCACGCCCAAATCAGGCCTTAGCCTTCTCTTCTGACTCCTTGGTCTTGATGAAGTTCCTGTCGGCATATTCATTAGTATCCTTCCCATAAAATGGTTGATAGAGTCCGGTCATCTCCACCTACTTGATGAAAGACTCCTCGTCCTTGCTTCCCGCATTCAGTGCCGGTCCTTCCTCCTTCTTGCTTCCGCCCATGGCCAGATATGACCCTCCGCCAACCGTGGCGAGCGTGGCGATGGACAGCTAGAAACACGTTAACCTCTAACCTTTGATGTCTGATGAACGGGGAGTGCGCGGGAATTGTCGCCAACGTACCCAGTGCGCGCCCACCTGGCGGCCGAGGATGGTATAATGAGCGTAACCCATGGTGAAGATGGAGTGTTTAAATGGGAGATCGAAGGGAGTTCAATTGACGGATGGGACTTGATGCATCGGATAGTACCTTGAACGAAGAGATGTCAAAAAGCGATGATCCACGCCCCGAGAAGCTCGGCGCAGCTTCGGCGGAATCGCCCGGTCCTTGCACCGTTCCGCCATGCCATCATCGCTGAATATCGCTGAATATCGCTGAATATCGCTGAATATCAAGCTACTCCTCCTCTCATCTTCACTGTCCCTATTTCATTTTGTTGATATCACTTCTTTTATATTTACTTAATACGTCTGCTGCACCTAACTCCCTTTCACTATGGGGAAACCCGACAAGAAAGATGCCCTAGACGACGTCCCCCACATCCGCTCAGAGGCCCGTCCCGACTTCACCACCCCTCTGCCCCCCAAGAAACTCCCCCGTGAGATCCAAGAAACCCTCGACAATGAAGAGAAACTCTGGCGAACCGTCTACGAGGGCGAGTGCGTGCCCCATCTTCCCCCAATCCTATCCGATCCTAACTAAACCTCCCCCTAGCGCCCCCGAATCCACTGACTCCTCCGTCCGCTACGCCGCCTACGCCACCCGTATCCGCACCATCCTCCTCTCCGCCCAACGCTACGTCGCCTACACTTCTGACATCGGCGAGTCCTTCCGCCCCGTCGCCCACCCACACCTCGTGCGCGGCGCCTACGCCATCTCCTGGCTGTATATCGGCGGCGACGTCGCCCACGAGGGCTACAAGGCGTATCTACGCAACATGAAGATCCGGCATCCGGAGCGGTATTTCCATGCGGATGGGAGTGTGAAAGAGGAGGGGAGGGAGGGGAAGGGGGAGGAGGTGAGGAAGGTGGTGGCGGGGAGTGGGGGGTTGGTGGCGGGGAAGATTTCGGCGATCGAGGATTATCGCGCAGTGATGGCGGAGCGGGCGGTGTTTCAGAGCTTGGCAAGTATGGGGTTGCCGGCGTTTACGATCCATAGTATCGTGCGGTATAGTGGGCGGGCGATGAAGGACATGAAGAATAAGACCCTGAGGACGTGGGGGCCGATCGGGGTAAGTGAAGCTGCCTGGAGGCGATATACGCAATATTCTGATTTGCTGATGATGTGGCTTGATAGCTCGGTTTGGCGGCGGTGCCGTTCCTGCCGTTCGTGTTCGACGAGCCGGTGGAGAAGGCGGTGGGGTGGACGTTCCATAAGGCGTTCGAGACGTTTGGAGGGCCGGAAGCGGTGAAGAAGGGGCCGATTAGTGCGGAGTTAGCGATGTTGAGCGCTGCGAAAAGTCAGCAGAAGGAGAAGGAGTTGTAAGGGGGTATGGTTTGAAGGACTCTTGCGGGTGATAATCTGGGAAATGTAGACTCACCTCTGCCGACTTGGGGTGGTCGGATACTGTAAATATATAGACTTCGCTCTGCGATAGATTGGATGTGTTGACGATCACGTTTCTCGACGGGTCCGTTTCGGATGACATGGACTCTCATTATTTTCCGTAACAAACCTGATATAAATGCTGTGACCAACCCAGCCGATTCTCCAGACGCCAAACGCAGCCGCCAATGCAGTCCAGTCAAGAGCGCCGCTCCGATGTTAAAATCTATTGTACACACGACAAGAACAAACCCGGATCCTTCCCTCAATCTTTCCATCGGTTCAAAAACTTCTGCATATCCTCATTCACCCCGGGTCCCGGTGGCGCCTATCACGCAAATTAGCATCACCCCCCAAAATCCAAGAAATCAAATAACTCACCGGATTCTCAATCATCGTAATCGTATACGACTTACTCTGCGTCACTGTCGTCATAATACTCGGACTCGCCGGCGGCAAAAACGCCGTCGCGATAATCACGTTGCTGGTCGGATACAACGGCGGCTTATCCTTCGCCGTGATCTGCGTCGGCGGCAAGCTCTGCATGGGCGCGTATCGGGTGAGTCCCGTCTGCTGGCCGAACGGCACCGCGAAGTCGCCCGTCGCGCCGGGGTTCGCGGCCGCCATGGCGTTCTTGCGGGCGGGGCCGGCAGTGGTGCTGCCGAGGGTGGAGAGGGCGGTGACAACGTTCGCGGGGAAGGTTCCGGTCATGCCGGAGAGGGTGAAGCGGCCGGAGTAGTTGGTGACGGTGCCTTTGGGGGAGGTGGAGATGATTTTGATGAAGCTGGGGGGGTTAGCGATGGGAGGGAGGGATATACCGGGGGGGGAGATCGTACTATGCGTTCTTCTCGGGGCCTCCTACGGTTGCGGAAACCACACCCTGCGCGATGTTACCCATGGAGAATTGTCCGGCCTTGACCAAGGGGACGAGATCAATCTATCCGTATCGTTCAATCAGCAGGTCTTCTCTTCCTTCAATCTTTCTCTCTTTTCCCAACGTACAAATGTCCCATCCGTGTTCCCTCCCGCGCAAAGAAACACCTCATACGTCGTCAAGTCCGCCAACGCCGGCGCTTCTCCGGAGTCCTTCCATTCCATCGACACTGCGCCCACGGGGATCGTGCTCCCGGGGGCAGGGGTGACGAACGTGATGTCGGCGAGGACGGCACTGGCGAGCGATGTCCAGAGGACGAGGAGGCTGGATCGCATCGTGGTGGGATGGTCGGATGTCGTATGTGGCGGTGAATGTCGAGGGTTGAATGAGGGACGGCGGACGAGCGAGTGAGTCCGTTGGGCCCTCAGGTTGTTAGGAGTTGGAAGTCTTAGGGGGCCAGTTCGTATGAATCATTTATAGAGGGGGTTATAATTGGCCGTGAAAGAGTCGGTGGGTATCTTCAAACCAAGTCTCTTCAGACCAAGTATTCGTGTATGACGACGGAGATGAAGTCGAAGGCGGGAATGAGGGAAGAAATCTGTGAGATGCGTTGTGATTGGCCCAGAAAGGAGATATACTGTTGTCGTCACTCCTCCTTTCTTCCGTTCAACATACCTACATTAGAGATACATGAAACATACCTGTGTTACTCTTAACTTGCTACTTGAATCATAAGGTGGGATTGATTCATTAAATCGTTAGGCGACTGATGTACTCGATATGCTCGATATGCTCGCTACGAGATCCATATTGCACAAATAGCCCGCCCCACCCTGCGTGGCTCTATCGTTTTCTTACCCCCTTCGTCCATGCCTTCTCTCAGACCATGATATATGCCTTCTAGCAAAGGCTCGTATACGGTATGTCTAATTCCCGGAACGACCCTTTCAGATGCTCAAAACGAAAAATGCCTACTCCCTGGAAATGCCGCCCCGTGGACAACGCTTCCACTCCCCCTTCCCATCAAATTTCCGTTCGAACCTCGAGGATTGCAAATGAACCATGTGATATCCCACCACTCTCCCACCCCTACCCATTCTCCCTCTCCTCCTCCCTCCTCCTCCTCCCCGGTAACATTGGCTGAAACCCATCCGGCAACCTCCCGCTCACCAAACTCGCATGCTCCGCCGCCATCTGCAGCGCCACCGTCTTCTCATACAACCGCTGCGCATCCACCTGCAACTCAAACCCCGTCAAAAAACACAAACTAATCTCCAACGTCTTCAACTCCCCCTCGCTCACCCCCCCCACCCCCGCGAACCGCTGCTGCGGGTACCTTAGGTCCTCCAACGCCTTCATCGCCACCCGCAACGCCGCCAATACCAATCGATGCACCGTCCGCGCCGTCACCGGCACCGTCCGCTCCTCCACCCCCAGCTTGCAGATGTACGCCCCTGCCGCCAAGTACACCGCCGTCGACATCGGGCAGTACCGCTGCAGCCGCGCGAGGTAGTCCGCCAGCGCGATCGCCGGTGCCCGCTTGCTAAAGAACTTCCGCGCGATCGCCTCATGCTGCGCGCGGAGGGGTGCCTGCGCCACAGTGCGGGATCCGACGCTGGGTTCGTGCGTGCTGGCTTCGGGGGCGCCGACGTCGGGGGGGTGGAAGGCAGGGGGGCGGAGGTCGTCGGAACTGATGGGCGTGGCAGGGCGGGAGGATGAGCGGTGGTGGGCGCGGGTCTCGTTTGATCCTGGTTCTTCGGATGCCGCTTTGGGGGTCGAGGGCCGGGAGATGGGGGGCGTCGGGGGGATGTCGCCGGTGACGTTCGCGAGGGTCTGCACGCTGCGGCAGAGCATCTTCATGGCGGTCTCCGGGCGGATGTCGAAGACAGACCAGTTGGCGGGAGGGGTGGAGGGGGCGGAGGAGGAGGGGGAGGAGAGGGGAGGGAGAACGCCGGCGTCGGCGGCGGGGCTGGGGGGGGGAGGGGGGGCGGGGGAGGGCTCGACATCTGGCACGGCCGGCCCTTGCTGCGTAGCGTCTCCCATGTCGGCGTGAAGTCGTAACAACGTAAACAAAACTCCAAATGACTCGGAGGGAAGGGAATCGTGGGGATGAACGTCGTGTACTCGACAAGGCTACAGCGCTGGGCAATATAAAGTATTATGACCGGTCTCGTGATGCAGTGGTCAAGCATTCAAACGCAGGAGAACGAAACGTCAAATCACCTGCATCCACGATTCGGTTGAACGTCTTGCTCGCGTCGTTCGGAGACCATGTGCATCGCGGAACGTGGCCGTGGTCGTCACCTTTCAGCAGATCTGGTTGCGAGCACCGGGGAGTGGTGAGCTTCGCACTGTTCGCAGCATGCAGGAATCAGTGTCGCACAGTTATGGAGAAAGACAATCATGCAAATGCAGCGGGACCCGGCCCGCCTCATAGCGACGACGGAAGGCCACTGCTGGTTCCGCAGCCCATGATGAACCGAGCCCGCGGACTGGCTCGCACGCTCAAACCAGGCGTCGATGGGAGGAACAACAGCCGGGGCGATACAGCCAGCACTGGATGGGAATCGGGCGCTAGGTAATTCCCGCACCGGCGTCACCGTTCAAGTTTTCGATCCCAGGGCCTCAAGTAGTTAGGCCGGCGCGCTCGCATTGGGGTTCCCGCCGGCGGCCCGAAACGAGTGGGAGGGGCAGCATTGCAGAACGGAATACAGCGAGGCGACAGAGGCGCGGTGAGATGGGTGGGATTGCACCCGGCCGCTCTGGGGGCCTGGAACGTCGATGGCGAATGGGGAATGACGGGAAACGTGTTGGCAGCGGAGAAATGGCTTAAGCTACGAGGGGTTCTACTCCGTAGGGGAAAAGGGAACAGAAAGGGTCATGTGGTTCGTGATAGCCCAATCTGGGAAGAAAGGGGACGGGGTCGGACTTGGTTGGATCAGCAGGACAACAAATTTGGCTGGCGAATCAATGAACTGAACGATGCTGGGGGCCGGAGATATCTCCGATGTCGCCTGGTTAGATATTGCGGAATGAAGAAAATGGATCGGAAGCAGCTGTCTTAAATCATGGTGCTTGTATCGAGCTTCTCTATGCACCTCCAGGGGAGCTTGAGGATCTTATTCGATATTGTACCACTAGCCACAGAAGTTATGCAACAAAGCCTGGGAGAATGCCTTTCGTTCAACTGGCTGAGATTGAGACTACATTATATACAAGAAGTCCACCATGTTTGCCAGCTTCAGAATAATGCTCCTCGTGTCTCTGCTGCTTGCGTCGATGCCGCTTGATGTATTCCTTCCGCATCGACCGAGGTCGAACACATCCAAACTGAACACTACTATACACACCACTTCGAAGTCCAAACTCTATACAAGTACCGAACCCTTCAGCCTCGCTCGTAATCGTACACAACCCTCAATCCCTCCGGTCGATCGTACAAAGCCCGAGAACCCACCAAATGCAGCCTCCTTGACCCATATTCCCTAGATCCCATATCGATACAGATCCAATCCCATGCTTTTTCGCCCAGGAACACAGTTCTCTCGTCCCCAACTCTCACCTCCACATCCACCGTAACATCTCCTGCGTATGCCTTTTTACCTCCTCATCTGCTCCAACTGCCTCACGATCAACTGCGTCCCGTCCAGAAACCGCTCCACGCAATTGGTCATGCACGGCTCCTCATACTTGTCCAGCTTCCCGTTCGCGATCCGCGCGGTGATGCATTTGCGGAAGCAGAGGTCCGTGAGGCTGTGTATTGCTATTTCACTAATTAGCTATCATTTCTCCTGGGCGGCGTTGGAAGTGCGCTCGTCCTCTCCGCTTGGTCGCTCGGGATGGAGATGGCGGAGAGGTGGTTGCGGTGGTGCTGCAGATCCGTCACGTACATTGTTGGAGGGAGGCTTTTTGGCTCTCCGCTTGGATGAATTGGCGAAGCTCGGCTTTATCGGTGTCGGAGAGCTTGGTGAGGTCAACGCCGCCTGCGGTTGTAGGGACGTTGCCGCCGCCGCCGAGGATGGATTCCATGGTGCTTGGTCGAACGGTGATGGGCGATGGGTGTGGGATGGAGGATGATTGGGAATTTGGAGAATGAACGGTCAAGAGGAATTTAATGGAAGGGAAGTGACGGATGTTTTGACCTTACTTGTTCTTGGAATTGAATTGAAGATATGAGAACACTTGGATTGTTTGAAGCTTTTCATGGACTCTCCGGCTGCACAGGGAAATATGGAATGGCCCGAGCTTTGGTCATGACAACATGAACTTCTTCATCGCATACCATCGACCAAGATCCAACTATATCATCTATATTCATCCGGTCTGCCTTAATCGGTGCCATTTCAGTGGAAGTTATGTCTGATAATCTAGTAGAGTCGCAATCCTAGGGTGCCTTGTCACCTACGAAGTACAGGAATTGTTCTTACAATCCAATTTTGAGTCAACCCCTTGATTTTACCAGCTGCAATGCAGCCAGCATTTATACACTAGTCTCTGGGTGTGAAAATGCTGAACAAGAGGAGTACGTTATATACATGGCGTCAAATGGTTTTGTGCACCATTTAACACTTCTTGAACCCGCTGACCTTGCACGTCTTTCCATCATTCGCATTGCTCTTCAACTTCTTGCTCTCTCCCTTATGGTTGGTCACGCCCTGGTAAATATCACAGCCCTTCGATTGACTCTGGCAGCTGTCCTTGATGGTGCAAGTATCTGGTTTCATGTCAGCGTCCCGTTATCTCAACTTATATCCTCCAAGCACTCACCTCCGTAGTTCTGGTTGATGCCACACAGCGGCCCCTTTCCAATTGCCGTCACCCCGGTGATCACCACGTTCCTCGGACCACCGTTCCCCTCGCAGTCACCGCAGCTCCGAATCAACTTCCCGTAATCCTGCACATAGAAGTCGGTGATCTCCACGGTGCCCTTGCCGTTGAACTGCAACACCTTGTCACTGGCGCCGATGGCTCCACCCCCGATGACCTTGGACGTGCCGCTCTTTTGGTTGAAGGTCGCGGCGTCTTCGCAGACCTTAGTCCACCAGACGTTCGTAATGGTGCTGGGCGATCATTAACTTCCGAATGCATGCGCAACGGGGTCATACGTACCAGGTTCCGCGGCAATGCACCCCTTCGGCCTGCGACGCTCCGATGATGACATTGGACAACGATCCGCCGTCCTCAATGATGAACATCGCGTCCTTTTCTCCCGTCTCCTTCTGGCCCTGGCAGACCTTGGCTATCCACCTCATCCATCAGCGATCGAACCCCCCCTTCGGCTCGGAATACTTACGGTTTCGCTCGTACCGCTTGTTCTTCCCGTCAAACGATGCCCCGGCCTTCACCGTGATCGCCGTCTTCGAATTCTCCACGCCCGACGACGGCGGGACCTTCGCCTGCCGCGCCACCAGGGATGCTTCCTTCTGGGTCTTGGTCGGCCCTTCGATCAGCTCGACCGGCTCGGGGAGCGCGGAGGCGACGGCGGCCCACAGGGCGACGGCGACGGGGAGAGAAAACTTCATGGTGGGCGAGGGATGGATGGAATGAATGGCACAGCCAGTAGAACGAATGTAAAGGAACGGATGTCTGGACTTCGTAGAGGAGACGAGATAGCGCAGATACGGGAAAGATAGAAGTTTGATGCTGGAGGGAACGACTCGCGAGATATATCACTGTAGTGAGCAGATTTACATTAATATACGTCAGAACTCATCCGTCGCTTGACCGCACCGTCGAGTCTACTTCATACGCCGGCCGTGAGTGGAGGCCAAAGGTCCACAACCTCCAGCGCCCTCGGAATTCCACCAATCATCTCCCCATCTCCCTCTATATTGTTCTCCCTACCCAGTGTTCATCAACATGAATAGATAGCCTTCCCCAGGTTTCGCAGGCGCGTTGCCTAATCCGGGCGCCTGGGAGCGCAGCATGGCAGGTCGTGCGAGGGCACGTATATCGAATCCGATGTTTAACGAACACAGATAGATTGGCGCCAAGTGCCCATGCGTTGAGTGAAACCTACGATCGATCAAAACATGTTGGTGGGGCGGCGCAATATCGATGAAACCACGACGCTTGACTGGCCATGGATCAGGTGCGCTGATCCATGGATATTGCGATGGGGCGGCGAAGGGATAAGAAAGGCTCGCTGTAAATGCGGAGGGGTAGGACCGAATTAGCGGTTGGAATGCACCGATGGCACGTGGATGGGGGATGTTGATTGCTGGACTGTTTTTGGCTCATAAATTGATGAGTATGAAGCCAATGGGAGAATATGGGGAATACTTTAGTCAACGAAACGAGTTCCCGGTCGTCAGGAAGGTTCGCGGAGGGTGATCGAGGGTTCATGGAGACTAATTCCAATTAGACTTCTGGCTCGGGACTATTTCATTGGAGCGTTCTCTCGTTCTCTACTATATTTCCCTGGTTGATCTGTGCGAATCTTGCTCACGACCAGCGAAGAGCGAAGAACGACTGTAGATCGAAGGACGTGCCTCACTCCAGCCTCACAGTCGATGGAGAAACTCCCAAAGTGATCATGCTCGTTTGTAATTTCTAATGCAAACATTATCCATCATAAGCAGTCTCAACGCATACGACTTCAATGCAACGCTCTACCGCGTCGTTCATCCCCTATGATTACCCCTCGCTCGAAATAAAACCCCATATCACAATACTCCAATCCATGGCACACCAATCACCAGAATATCTTCTCTTTCCTCCTCCCCCTCTCTCACGCCAGCCACGCTCCAAACAGTAGCGAGAGAAGTGAGAACGACCACGTTCCGTATCCCGTCGTCACGCCCCGCGACGCGGCACCCGACGGTTTGGTCAACGGTGCCGCAGGTCGCGATGCAGAGGGACCGCCGGCTCCGCTGGATGGGCTGCCACTAGCTCCAGCGCCGCCTGCTGGAGCGTCGGTCGCTCCGGGACCACCGGCACTGTTTCCGCTCCCATTTCCACTTCCGCTCCCACTTCCGCTCCCACTTCCGCTCCCACTTCCACTTCCGCTTCCATTTCCGCTTCCACTTCCGCTTCCACTTCCGCTTCCACTTCCGCTTCCACTTCCGCTTCCACTTCCGCTTCCACTTCCACTTCCACTTCCACTTCCACTTCCACTTCCACTTCCACTTCCACTTCCACTTCCACTTCCGCTTCCACTTCCGCTTCCGCTATCACCACCAGTGCCGGCCGGGTTACCTGAATTCCCTTCTCCAGTTCCCGACCCCGACCCAGTACCAGGTGTGGCTCCAGCCGCCGGGGCACTCCCTGGCGTGTCTCCGCCAATCGCACTAATGATGAACCCCGACAGCGGATCGCTCGGCGCCGGAGCGCCCGGTGCAGCGGGTTCAGCAGGTCCAGCGGGTGCGGCTCCGGGAGGGGACCCAGCGTTGTTTCCGGGGTTTGCGGGGGCGTTGGGTGCGGGCTCTGGGGCAGGTTGCGCGGGAGCGGAGTTGGCGGGGGGGTTTGTGTTGCCGCCAGGGTTGAGGAGGGAGGCAATGATGCCGCCGACATCGTTGCCGGGAGAGGGTTGGGGTTGGGGGGATGGGGCGGGCTGTTCAGGCTGGGGGGATGGTGCCGGTTGTTCAGGCTGGGGCGTTGGTTCGGGTTGGGGTGGTTGGGCTGATGGTTCTGGTTGTTGTGGTATGGCTGTTGGTGTAGGCGGTGTAGGCTCAGGATCGGGATTCTCCGAGATTCCTGGAGGCGTTGGCTCGATAGAGTCGTCGAAACTGACGCTCGTCTCGGTTAGGAAGCCGACGGTGTTTACGGGCATGACAGGAGCAACGACATCCATTTCGCACATGGAATAGGGTTCCAGCTCCGGGAAGTGGAGCCTGGTTTGAGCTCCGATCCCTTTCTGTAACCCGTGTCCCACCAAGGTATATGTAAGTCCGAGACTGTCGTTAGATTCAGGATACTTGTGTCCACCTGTCGGCCAGGCGGAAGCACAGCTAGTGGCAGAGGGGCGATTCGGCCAGGAATCCGTGGAGGGTCCATATGCGGATGACATACAGCTTTCCCAAGGATCTGTGTCCCCTGGCCAGGTATAATAATCAGTCACCTCTGGATATGGCGGATGAGATTTCAGAGTTAGGGTTGTACCGCCTTTTGGCGCTGTAATGCATGTTGGGGCGTTATCCGTTAGACCTCCCGATGCCGTCGTCGTCGATACATTGAGAGTCCCCTCCCAGGAATACTTTTCGCCGTATTCCCACCAGATGGACGGATAGGTGATGACCTTCGTTGTATTGACCGAATTGTACCCTTCGTAGACGAGTGTCTCGAGAGCGGTGCCCGCCGCATTGGTCGGTGGGGGCGTGATTCCCGCGGGTAAAGTATTCGTTATGGTTGAGGTCTTGGTCGTGTTGGTCCGGTTGTTCACGATATATATGACCGTGGCCAGAGTGATGTTGCTAGTGATCGAAACCGGCTGCCATATCCAAGAGGTGAGGTCAGGGGCAGCGTATGAGCAGTCGGCTGTACATGATGATGCTGGGCCAGACGATTTGGTTATCGAGCTGGAGACATTATGGAATACTGTGGAGCGGTTAGCCAAATCTCGATCCGAAAGATGCACTTTCACATACACTCAGCATTAGCGAGGGTGAGAAAACTGCCGAGAACGACAGTGGATAAATGCATCGCTCAAACAACACCCATATCAACACTTCTATATGAACGAATGACTGGATCCAACGATAAAGAAGAAAAGAAACGGGACAAAACACAACTGGGCGCTGACAATAATATGGGCGATCCGGAGGCAAGTGGGACTTCGCTGACAATAGGATGGGACTTGGGAGATCCGGAGACATCTGCATTCTACAACTCCATCGGGGCTCTGGCCTTCGTACAACTACTTTATGGAGCATAGCCACCATCCAGGGTCGGTGGATCTAGTTGCGGATCTAGCAGGGAATGATTCCGAAGTGGACTACTACTAATTACGTAGTAAACTGGTGCCTGTTACCTGTTAACGGTAGTCGGTAAAGTCATAACTCCCAAGTCTTGCTGATCATAACAAATGCATCAACGCTCCGACTCAACAAGTACGGATTCCCCCTGGTCCGTTGCCAATTGGCTTATTCGTCGTCCAACGCATCGCCGATGCGCCCGACAGCGTTGCCGTTGCTTGGGCTGCTTGGGATATCAAGGGGAACTTGGCCTGATTGGCAATGGCACGGTCTGGGATTTCATCCAACCAGTCTCTTTGTTGCTTGGGCGGTAAGATTACTTGTAAGCCGTAAGCCTCATCCAGCCAAGCGAGGTTTCGGTCTGTCGGTGCGTTTACCGTTCAGCCCTTCAGCCTTGCGATCGGATCACTCGTTTTGGCCGCGACACAAGTTGGGCAGGTGGTCATCATTGATGTTGTTAGGTCTATCGGAAATTATCTCCTCACCTCTGGGTAGCCGGCACTGTGTTATGGGAAATTTGCGGCATCAACAGGGTGTTTATTTGCAGAGGACAGCTCACGAAGAACGCCTACCTCGGTCGTGATGGTGTGAGCCTTAATTACTAGTACGGAATAGTTAATAATATAATTATGTTAGATTTGGAGGGGCGACAGGCGCCTTGGGCCATGGCCTGGGCAACCGGAGTTCCCGAAATCTGCATGATTCTCTGATTTCCCCCAATTCATCCCATGTTCCATCCAATGGTCCGACATCAACATCATTTTCGTTGATGCTGCCAATAACTCTAAACTCACACTATCATAATTAGCGACTTGGAGAGACTCTGGTACCTGGAGGCTAGAGTGGACTCGCGACATAAAGAGTACTCATTCAGCACTACAGCAGGCGTACGGATGGTTTGCATGGGAAGCTTTCATTGTATCGTTCACAGTTGAGAGTACAATGATATGCAAGTGAGATTTATTGCATCAGTAGTGAAACCTTTCTGACTCCCGTAATTACATTCTCTTTGGTCTTCGAGTGCTTGCGTATTGCGAACATCGTTCCCCCTGCTCTCTGGGTGTCGCTGTAGCTAGGAATTTATGCAGTCCTTCACTCAATCGGCCGTCCGCATCGTTCTATTAGACATGTCAGAATGCGATAGTTCTCAACCTTCCGCGCGTTCATCTCTCTTACATACCATCCCCTCGATATCGCGTCGTTCATCCTGTCAATCATGCCAATTGTCCGGACGTGCCACTTCCCGATGACGCATTCGCATTCTGCTGACGTCGGTACTCCGTCCGCATCTCCACGATCCCCTTCTGCTCGCGCTCATTCCATGCCCAGATGTCATCGTACTCGGTGAGCTGGCCGCTGTTGATGACCTCGTCGAAGCGAAGGAGACAATCCTGCGCATGGCGAGTGAGGATCGTGAGCCATTCACGACGCGAATCAGGGAGGGGACGGTCGGGGTCGGTTAACTTCCGCTGGCAGTCGGAGATATGGAAGACGAAGGACTGGCGGCACATGTCGACGAGGTCTTCGGTTGTCGACATGGTGGTTGACGATGAGCTGCTGTTGGAGCTGGAGGTGATGTGTTGTGTTGGTATACGAGCAGATAAGGTATTTTCCAGACTATAAACAACGGCGAGTGAAGAAGATTAAAAGGACAGGTGAGGTTCGTGATAGCCTAGGGAAGAGAAACGATTTCACTGACTGGATTTACATGCAATGATTCACATTACATTCACTCCATCATTTGGTCTTAATGAGTCCTCTTATGACTTGACTACCTTCCCAATCTCACATTGTCCCTCTGAGTACTTGAACGATATGCCACAAGGCACATCAACCCGATATTCACCATGATACCCGAACAATCTCACATTGGAAATGCAGACCGGTCTCAGATCCGTACTGAAGGATCCAAGCGACTTGGACCTAAATGGCTGCCTGACAGATTCCGTTACATGTGCTACTCGGAAGGTGGTCTCGTCATCATCACTGTCAGCTGTGTGTTTAGAGTTGGACATCAGTGATATTCTGATGGCCTGGCATGGTGTTAGGAGTCATGGACTGAAATAGCCCACAGCGGTGTGGGAGTCACTATTTCCCTCCGGGTTTGTTAATGGTCCGGCGGTGAATATCGATGATGATACCTAGAAGAAGAGCATTAGGAGAGACGTTTGCAAGAGGCGACCGCCGACCCAGGTATCAGATCAAGATGCGGTTTTACGGTTCCTTGTTCATCCTCCATATTGGATCCTGCGCTTCAACGTGTAGCTGGAACGGTCGAAAGCACCAATCATTTCTCCATATATAATAAATCGTTGAGTGATATAATTCTGATTGACGGTCCTCTTCACAATGGAGGTTGCTATGGTATCCCTCAGAGCTGTTGACGACACTAATTTTATGTGGCTGTACTTTCTCCGTAAGCGACTTGAAGTATTGAAAGAAGCTCTGATGCCGCCCTGTATATTCATGCTAAGTCCCTAAGCATTCCATATCCCATCCCATGTCTTGCAAGGTCATTGTTGACGTATATGACCATCACCAACCCCTGGGTGTCCCACTGGTTCTATACCTTATTGCCCTCCAAGATCCCTTTCTATCCTCCGACCTACTTAGCCTTGCCATACTATGGACCAGTTCCAAATAGCTCCTCCACCGTTCGATTGTCGGATAACTGGACAACTGCCCGGCAGGGGATGGCATATACTGCTTGCCCAAAGGAATGATTGAGAGAGGCTATGTTGGTGTCCGTCATTGCGTTCAGATGAATACGATTTCAATTCTACGATCCGTCTTACGAATATCGTCCGCTGTGTTGTTGTAACTGTGTATGAGGAAAGATCTAAATGGTTTTTGAAGGTGCGAAATGATTTTATGCCCTGCGGCTACTGCATCATTTACTAAAATCACTGACTGTCTCGTGGTATCAGAACGAAGTCGTACATGGGCTCTAATAGAAATAACCGGTTAGTGGGTGTAAACTATGGATTTCAACAATGTATATATACTATAAATTTCTGGAAGAGGAATTATCAATGGGTAATGTAGGGAGTTTTGTGCATTGATGGCGTCCTGATGATCTAGACAAGCTGCACACAGAACAGGTTTACTGAAAGCGGTTGATTGAGGGTGAAAGAGTGATGGTGAATATATCGTTCATGAAATAGAGTCTTCTGGTCCTCACTTTCCAAATTTTCCCAATGTTCTGTTCAATTCCCTTACCCACTTAATCCTACTCTAGGCATATTAACACTGGTACATATACTCGCATTCACAAGGCACTCCCGCTTTACCCCCCGAACTTTTTGACTGAAACACCATTTCCCTAGTTAACATGGCGCAACGATGGTGGAGGACCTGGGAGGACACTCCCTTGCCCCGAACAAAAGTCAAAATCCTGCCGGATCCTTCTACGCTTTCCAATGCAGAGATATTGGATGAACTGCTTCACTCAGCGGACCAGGGAATGTATATGCCAAAAGATCTACGCAATGAAATCGATCAAACAACGCTCGAAATCATCCACGCGCAAGGCAACAGTCCTCTTTGGGTTCGCCATGCCAGAATTAAAGCGATCGCAGGAATGATCCATCGCCTCCATTCACAGCTTCAGAGCAATCGTGACTTGGCATCCCATGTGCATCTCATCGAAACAATTGACTATCTGAAGTACGAGCGAAAATGGACGATGGACGAGTTGAGGGGTGAAATAGCGCATGTAGGTTTACGGTCGGTTTTGTTATGTTTGTTATTAACATCACTCACTGGCATTCAGCGACAAGATGAAAAGACGATGAAGGAAACCTGCGCTAAAGGGGGAGTCTTCATGAATATACATGCCCTGGCCTTGGAATACGACGCAATGACGTGGTATATGGGCCTCGAGGAAGAATTTCATTCGAGGCGAGTGCCCGGCCGCTCCGGGCATGCCCCTTACAACGCATCAGTCCGTCGATACATGCTACGAAACCATAGAGCACTCTTTGGACCGGATGGCAGAGTGAAGAGGGCGGAAAAGGCAAATGTTACGGATCAGCCGAAACCGTGACTGAACAGAGCACTGGTAGATGGGGTTGTCGATGAATCTTGCGAACGGCAATACAAAAGTTGGTGCGCGCAAGACGGGACGGCAGAGACAATGAGAAGGCGTAATGGTAAAGGTCTCTTGGTGTGTAGAGAATCAATTCTACCGTGCGGATAACATGCGCTGAACTTTCATGAGAGCAAGTCGCATTGCTTCTCATTCCGTCAACTTGCATCTACTCAAAAACGGGAGCTTGTACAGCAGCACGGCAACATTCCATTGCCAGTTATGTATCCCGTATCCCGCAGAAAACCCATCCCAGAATCCAATAGCCAACCCACCGACTCCACCAAACCTCATAATCACATAACCACACACTTCTCCGCCCTCTCCTCCCCAGCCTCCACCCCACTCGTCCGCCTCCCCGGCCTCCCCCCATGTACCCCCGACGTCCGTCTCGCCGGCCTCCCCCCCATCTGCGGCGCAGGCCCCATCCCAGGTCCACTCCCCATCCCCACCCCACCCGGCGGATACCCACTCCCAGGCCCATATCCACTCCCGGGCCCATACCCACTCTGCGGCGCCATCCCACCCCCTTGCTGCCTATACGGCCCCTGCCCCATCTCGCTCGACACCACCGGCGCCAACGGACTACTCGGATGATCCATCGGTGGAACGTACGGCTGACTCCGACTCGCCTGCTCGTAGCTCGGCGGCGGCGCCTCTCCGCCCCCGCTGCCAGCACCACCTCCATTGTCATTTCTATTCCCATTGCCATTCCCCGCACCCCGCCCTGTTCCCTCCGTCGTCCTGACGTTTAGATTCCCCGACCCACCCGGGGCCCCACCCCCGCGTAGCCGCGGCGGAATCAGTGGCCTCACCTCGTTCGCCGTGCCCGCGCCGCGGCCCGCCTGCCCCCGTCCCTGCCCCTGTCCCTGCCCCTGCCCCTGCCCTTGCGCCCCCGAGCTGTCCTGTGAAAGGAACTGCGCGGAGAGCTCGTCCTCGCGCTTGCGCTGCGCCAATTCGCGGCGATGGCGGTCTTCTTCTTCTTCCTGGAGCTGGAGGGCAAGGGCGAGGTCGTGGTCTTCTTGCTCGGTGCGCTGGCGGGCGGCGGCGGCGGTGGCGTCGCCGAGGTCGTCGGGGGGTTGGGTGGAGGGGGGAGCGGAGGATTGAGTGGGGAGGGTGGAGGAGTGCTTGGAGCGTCGCTTGCTGTCCGTGACGGTCTCCCAGCCGTCTCCGTCGGTGGGATCGATGTCTATCAAGTTGCGGACGGGGTGGGAGGGGTTGCTGGCTGCAGCGGGTTGTTTCCCGCGGCTGATTTCGCCGCTTTCGTGGCGTTCCATGTTGCCGACGACGCGGAAGTCGCCGGCGAAGAGCTCGGAGTCGCGGCCTTTTACGTCCACGAGGCTTTCCCAGACGACCTCTTCGTGGCTGGCGTAGCCGGCGTCGGTGACGATGGTGAGGAGCATGCCGGAGGAAGGTTCTTTGTAGAGGGTGTTGAAGTGGTCGTTGCGGAAGAGGATGGCAATTTCGCCGGGACGCATACGTTTTACCATGGTGATGAGACCGGTGTCGGTGAGTTGGGTTGGCCAGCGACCAAGGAAATCTTTGATGAGAGAGAGGTCGTCGAAAAGGGCCTGCTCCTCCTCTGAGAGGGTAGCGCCGGAGCCGAGTCTCTGGAGCAATTCCTCTTCATGGAATTGGATGTTCTGGGCATCTTCGTAAGTTTGAGCGCTGCGTTCGAAGGACACCGATGCTCTCGACCCCGGAATCGGCAACCAGCCGTGAATCAGAGGGATGTTAAAGGTGGAGTACAGTTTCATCTCCCGGGTCGACTCGAAGGTTCCAAGAGGGGCGGATGAAAGGGATCTTCGGAAGAGGGGGTGGATATCCGGGTCCTCTTCAAGGGGTTGGGTGCGGTTGGCGCCATTGGGGTTCGAAGAGGCTGGAACGAAGCGGGGATTGACATTCATGCCGGTGTGAAGTGTTACGAGGAAGCTGTATAGCTCGCCAACATCGGGAAGTCCCTGAGCTGCGCCACCTCGCCGTCCTGACATCAGCTCATCAAAAACAGCGTCCAGAAGTAAGCCGAGCGAAACCTGCTCTCTTGGTCGTAGTACTTCAATCAGGGCAGTGTTCTCCTCTGCCGGAGTTGACAGCACTAGAGCGTTGACAAGAGCCAATAGCGGACATGGACCGTTTAGGTTTTGAATCAGAATGGGCGATACCCTGAGTTTGCCTCGTCCACTGTCGGCGGTCGAGTCAAACCAACGGATATTCTTGATTGCATAGTGCTCTTTCCGCTGACGAGAAGTACCGGTAGCGGATAATGGACTAGATGTCTGCGGTCGAACAGGCTTCGCGGGTGGCGCTTCTGACGGGACATCTGCAGGTCTCAGCGGCTGTGGCGGAGGATATTCGGCTTGGATAGCAGGGGGGGGTGGCTGAGGAGGAGGGAACCCATGTTGTTGCTCGGGTCGTGGAAGTTGAGGCGGCTGATCATTTAGCGTTAGATTTTGCATCGGACCAGTTGTGATGTCAGTATGCCATTCTTGTTCGGCTCGCTGTTGCTGCTCTTCCAACGCGGCACGTTCGGCTGCTGCATGGGCGTCTCGTTCGCGCTTCATCCTTTGACTCTGTTCCCACTCCTGCTGTTCCTGCCAAGATCGTTGATGTGCAACGGGGGAGCTTGGGCTGGGCAATCCGCGACCCCTTGAGGAGGCAGCGTCAAGGCCGGAGATGTCCATGCCGGGGTGAAAAGGGCTTGATGGTTCGGATCCATGACGGCCGATGCCAGGAGACGCATCTTGCGAGGATACGGGTATCAAAGGCGGCTGCTCCAATGTAGGGGAGTTGGTGGCGGGTGGAGGAAGGGGAGGAGCTCGTTGCGGTGGGCCGTCGATAGGCGATTTTTCCGAAGGTAGCTCAACTGGAGCTTGGAATTGCTGGGGTAAGGAGGAGTGAAATGGGTTCGTGCTCGTCTGGGGCACGGATGCCCATACGGCGGACGTGTTCTCCTCGCCGTATGAGGGGGAGACAGTCGTCGGATGATTGTTCTGTTGGATGTTGAGGAAGGGATTATGAGATTGTGGCTTCGCAGCATCTTGTCCGGAGATATTCGTATGTTCCACCGTTTCCCAACCTGGCGACAATGCAGCATTGTCTGATCGTAGACTTTCCTGCGATCGTTGCGGAAGTCCGCCAGGCGGTCCAGCTCGCAGGGTTGCGGGCACCTTTCTCAGCTCTTCCTGCTCCGACTCTCGTGAGGTTGGTCGATTGCCGATCTGCAGTGCGGCTGGGATTTCGTGCTTGGGCTTGCGCTGTCCCTCGTCGGCACTCTCCCAGTCCGAATTGGTAGGAGAATTCCATTCATCGTCATCCTCGTCAGATTCATCATGCGGTGGGGGTGGTACCGATGGAGGAGTTTCGGTCGCTGGTGTAACTGGGTATGGCGCCGTGTTCACCGGCTGTCCCTGACCAGGCTGTCCTGGATTGACCGGCTTGCGGGTCACCATCTTCGCTGAATATCTTTCGTGAGCGCTTCCGGGGTCACGATAGGGAGTGAAGGATAGCACAAGAGGGAGCAAGTCGAAGGTCGCATTGGGATTATGGAGATATACGATAGACTCGGTTGCGTAGCCTTGGGGGTAGACGTAGTCTCTATACTATATATGGGCTGAGGAGGATACGAGGCTCAATACCAGATGAATGCAGGGTAGGTTACGTATGTTAGGGAGTGGAGAGAGGCAAAGAGACGCAATGAGGAGGAAGGATGATAGGCACTCGATCATTCATAGGTGATCATTCGTAGATGATGGTCGGTGCTTGTCAAGGTTGATTGCTTCATTTGCTTGGACAAGGCGGACATGACGACGCTCTCAGCCTGGAGTAAACGCCACACTGAACGCCACATTATTAGCGCCACACTTGAACCGCCAAAACTCGTCATCAGCCACACTAGAGGCTCTTCCGGGTAGTTTTATATGAAGGCGAATCGGGGGGCCTGGAATTATTTATTATGGATCAATCACATACTCCCAAGTCCCAATTGCTCCGAAAGAGAAGGATACGCCCGATAGATATATCGAGCGAATGGTCTGCTCATAAATCCTCGTATACGTAAATCCAATTCAGCTTCGATAGACCCAAAGTGGGGGAAGCGGCATCAATGAACTCATGCATTGAGCCGGATACTTATGTGATCCTTCGCTTGCCCTCAGAACAGTTGAGGATAGTGGAGGTGAAGCCTGACACGTACGTTGATTGTTTATAACCTCGTTCAAATATATACCTGGTTATGGTTGCTGATAAATAAGGCTTATAGACTCATCACCATCCCTAAACTCGGGTCCTTTCCCACCAATCTCATTATCGGACGACCCTTCCACTTCACATACGAGCTCCATGAACGGAGACCAGATGAACCCTTCTCACGACTACGGGTAGTCCCCGCCAACGAACTCCATGGCGACGCGCTCTCCAGCCGTGACGATGCGCCCGACGGTGTCGACGATGGTTCCGACGAACCTGAAACGGGCGCGCAGTTCGACATCGTCGCTGATGACGGATCGGTGCTCATGCGCAACAACCGATTGACGGTAGACGACGCCTCGCGCCAGCACCTCACACACGAGGAGATCGAAGAGCTCAAAAAAGTCGGCACGGGATCCGGGATCGAGCTGATCAAGACGATCATGGCGTCGCATGCGGCGCTGGGGGAGAAGACGGAGTTCTCGCTGGCGAAGTACACGCTGCGGAAGTCGCGGAAGTATCTGAAGCGGTTTACGATCTTGCCGTTGGACGTGACGAATTTGGCGGAGAGTATTTTGGAGCGGGAGGCACCGAAGATTATGGAGTTGAGGGAGGAGACGGTGGCGTTGGCGTGTGCGTGGTCAAATGCGCATTGGAGCGAGGGGACGGGGGAGGAGATGACGGGGAGGTGGCTGGTCATTGACGACTCGGGTGGGTTAGTGGTCGCGGCGTTGGCGGAGCGAATGGGGATTCTCTATGAAGACAAGACCGTGGAACTTGAGGATGGAGATGACGGAGCGCCAAACGAAGCAGACGCAAACCCGGACTACACCGCAGATACTACCAGGGGCACCGAACCCAACGAACAACAACCAAACGAAGCCAACCCCGCCGGCGAAACTCCCAACGGTCATTCCACCCCGCGCAAACCTCCTCGCCCCCGACCCGACGGCCTCCCCCTCAACCGCAGCCACCCCGCCGCCATGTCTGCCACCACTAACACCCTCACCCTCCTCCACCCCAACCACCAACCCAACATCGGCCTCCTCCAATACTTCGGCTACGACAACTCCGCCCCCGTCTCCTCTCATCCGCTCTACACCCACCTCCGCACCGTCTCCTGGCTGCAACTCCTCCATCCGTCCGAGGACCCCACCTACATCGAACCTGACGTCGTGAGCGAGGACACCCTCGCCGCGATGAAGAGCGGGAAGCGCGGGAATTACTACCGGAAGCGGAGGCGCTGGCAGCGGGTGAAGGCTGTGGTGGACGAGACGCGCGGGGGCGGGTTCGATGGGCTGGTGGTCGCGAGCTTCACGGATCCGAAAGAGATCTTGAAGCATACGGTCCCGTTGCTGAGCGGAGGCGCGAAGGTGGTCATGTACAGCCCAAACGTAGAGCCGCTGACGGAGGTGGTGGATTTATACAGCAAGGAGCGAAAAGCCGCGTACCTGGAATTGAAGAGGGAGCCGGAGACCAAGACGACGCAAAACGGTGGGCATCCAGAGTCGCACGATGATGATGCGGAGAAGGAAATGGACGCCGACTTCCCCGTGGACCCAATGTTGCTGTTGGCGCCGACGCTGCAGACGGTGCGGGTGAGAGACTGGCAGGTTTTACCTGGACGAACGCATCCGATGATGACGTCGCGCGGCGGAGCGGAGGGATACGTACTCACGGCTACACGGGTCATCCCGCACTCTGGCGCGGTGGAGGCGAGAGGGAATGCGTCCAAGAGACGGAAGACGGAAGCGTCGGCGGGGCCGTCGGAGGTGGATTCGGACGCGGGGATTGAGGCACGGGCGAAACGGGGGAAGCTGGAAACGGGTTCGGAAATGGAGGTGGAGGTATAGATGGGGAGCGGAGTCACGGTGGTCGGCGATAGAATAGACTTAAAAAAAAAAAGGCGACACAAGTAGTAAGCCCCGTAAACGTTCGAATGCCAATACATATTCATTGAACCTCATCAACAGCTATCGTCGCTCAGAGCGATTTCCCCATAAACTTCCGTTTCGTGAAACTCAACCACCACTATCATTAGGTCAGCAACTCTCCTTCAATCTCGCGTACGGCCTGCCTACCTTTGACGGCGTATCTCCGTCAGCGTATACCTTCGCTAGTAACCTCACCGCAAGCTCTTGTCGCATCTGTGAGATATACTGCCGTAGCACCTCCGCCTCGTTGCGATCTCGTGGCGGTTCGAAGGCTTGGTTTAGCGGGAAGCTGGCGTCGCCTGGGATGGAGAAGTTGGTGTCGAGGGCGGTGTTCATGACCGACTGTTGGATATATCCGTCAGCATTTCTCGTCCTCTCCCTTCTCTCCAAACCAAATCCCCTCGCCCATCAATCCCCAGAAGCCCATCCAACTCAACAAAACAGAAACAGAACCAGTACCCACCTTCTCCGCTTCCCGCCGACTCATCCCCGACCTGATCTTCCCCAGCGCCTCGCTCACGAACAGAATCCCATAAATCAGCACCCGGTCCGCGGGCCCCTTGATCTCGAAGTTGCGGAAGAACGTGTTCGCGCGGAAAAGCGAGAGGATCTCGTCGAGCGGGTCGTAGGACTCGTGGGAGGCGTCCACTTCGGTGACGTTCGGGGGGAGGGCGGGGAGCTGGAGGGCGGGACCGCGGGTGCGAGTGCGGAGGGGGAGGAGGGCGAAGTTGCCTGGAGGGTTAGTAGGAAGGGGGGAGAAAGGGGAAGGGCCTACCGATGAGCTGTTGGTTCGGCTCGTCGAGGAAGACGGAGTGATAGGCCTGGTAGATGGGTTAGATTCGGGGGTTCGGGGAGAAATGGGAGAAATGGGAGGGTCGTACAGGCATTGTGAGGATGTTTATATCATGGGCAGACTAGATTTCCACATACGAAGTCCACAACCAGTCTGTGGTTTGGTGTAGTAGGTAGAATAGCTTCAATATCAAGACGACAGTGCTCCGTCCAGTTCGTGGGGCGCTGCTGTCGTTGCAGCCACAGCAGCTAAGGGCAACGTCAGTGTCAGCACGTGACTTGGATAGGACCTGACTCGTGAAATTCCACTAAACGCGTGTTGCGCGACTCAGACGCGTCAACGACATGGACATCGACGACAACCTCACCGCGAGCGTTTAAGATGAACTGATTCCCGATGAGCTGATGCTCAAGCCAGAGAACAATTGATTAATACCTTCAAATTGCCAAGATCCCACTACAGCCACAATGTCGGACATCGATGAAGTCCACATGGACATCGACGCCGCGCCCGGTGCGCAATCCATCACATTCTCCTCCGAGACGAAAGGCAAAAGAAGCGCAGCCAACCTTCCAGTCGAGGCAGAAGATACTCTTCCATGGGTTGAAAAATATCGACCGAAGACGCTAGATGATGTCTCAGGCCACCAGGATATCCTGGCGACCATCAATCGCTTCGTCGAAAAGAATCGACTCCCGCATCTCCTACTATATGGGCCACCGGGGACGGGGAAGACGTCGACCGTGTTGGCCCTGGCGCGGAAGATATATGGCAGTAAGAACATGCGGCAAATGGTACTGGAGCTGAATGCCAGTGATGATCGAGGTATCAACGTCGTCCGGTATGCTTGAATCGACACCTCCGGTCATCCTCATGTCTAACGTATCCAGGGAACAAATCAAGACCTTCAGCAGCACCAAGCAGATCTTCACCGCCGCCCCCCAACCCGGCGATTCCTCCCTCGCCTCCTTCAAACTCATCATCCTCGACGAAGCCGATGCCATGACCGCCACCGCCCAAATGGCCCTCCGCCGAATCATGGAGAAATACACCGCCAACACCCGCTTCTGCATCATCGCCAACTACACCCACAAGCTCTCCCCCGCCCTCCTCTCCCGCTGCACCCGCTTCCGCTTCAGCCCCCTGAAAGACCTCGATATCCACCGCCTCATCGACCGCGTCGTCGTCGAGGAAAATGTCCAGATCGACCCCGCCGCCGTTGAGAGTCTCGTCAAGCTCAGCAAGGGCGACATGCGCCGGGCCCTAAACGTTCTGCAAGCGTGCCATGCGAGCAGCACGCCGTTGCGTGCACCGGGGGAGCCCGCGCCGGACCCGACAACGATCCGGCGGGACACGATCACCGAGACGACGATTTACGACTGCATCGCGTCGCCGCATCCGGAGGACATCGTGCGCATCGGAGACACGCTGCTGAACAACGTGGACGTGACGGGGTGCTTACAGACGATCAATGCGATCAAGGTCGCAAAGGGGTTGGCGTTGGCGGATATCTTGACCGCGTTGTCGGAGCACTTGATGGGGGCGGGCGTGCCGGCACAGACGCGGGTGACGTGGATGGAGGGGTTGGCGGATATTGAACATCGGTTGAGTGGAGGGGGGAGTGAGATGATTCAAACGGGGGCGATGGTGGGAATCATCAGGAAAGGGGCAGAAATGGCAGGGTAGGCGATGCCTATACCGGTAGAGTGAGTGAGTGAGAGGGTGAGTTGGAGTCTCTTAGCCCGATTAGAGAACTGAATGATATGTTAATGTCCTGTAAAAAATAATGCCACACCGCCGGTTCGAACCCGCGTCCTCCCCTGAACTATTTCTTCCTCCCTCAAGCTCTATCTTGCCCACCCGAGCCGCTTCCACCATCAACCACCATTGGTACCTCCAGTCCAGTAGCAAAAGTGCAAAAACTTACCCACCTTCTTGGGTGAGTGTAGAAAGTCAACTATCTCGCAGGTCCCAGGTGTCTGTTCCATGGGACTAGTATCATTTTTTCAGCTGTACTTGATCCACGTCAGTCGTGAAACCAACTTGACCATTTCCGCTGGGAGTTAAATTGGCAGGTTTAAATATATACTACATTTTCACCTTATCTCCGCATGCGATTGATTCATCCTTCAACCACTGGACCTTGGACACTCATGATAGATTCTACACGCGCAGTAAGTCATGGACATGACCAAGGCACAAGCAAATTCCCTTGCTGGCTAGTAGGTCTCCGGTGGTATGTTCAGCAAACCAGTGTCGTCCACCTGGATGGCGACTAAGGTAGACGTGGAAATATCGCGAGCTCTACATCCTGCGCATGAGTTGGTAAGCAAGAGAAAGGCTTCAGAAAGATAGTACGCTTAAAGGAGATTGATGAAATATAGCCCTAATAATGTGTAGGAGGCGACTAGGTGCTTTACCCGCAGATAGGAAGGTAGGTACTATCTTGATAAACCAAATCTGGCCCTAAACCCAATCCCCAGAATGGAAGTTCGTCATGGCCATCTTCCGCTAATTTTCCGACCAGCAATAGCCAAGAATGATACAATGGGTATCTTCAACTGCGCCAAGACTCACTCATCTCACGTATCCACCGCATCCCAAGTTCCTCCAATGCCGTACCGGTCGCGTATCCTCCAGCTCCACACACCACCACAGCACCTCCTTCGCCTTCCCAATCTGACCGCCCGCCTCATACGCCCTTGCTAACGCAAACCACGCCTCGGAGCAATCCCACCCCGACCCAAGCTTCGTGAGCGACGCCAATAGCCCATACGCACGGTCCCGCGAAGCGAGACGATGCAGTTCCTTCGGTGAAGTCGGAGCCGGTTCGGGGATCTCGAGCGGTGGAGTCGATTCCTTGGAGGTTTCCAGCTTGGGTGTCGTTGGGAGGATCAAGGATTTCGCGAGCAATTGGGGGAGCGCATCTGGCGAGTTTTCTGGGGGCTCGGGGGGGATTTTCTCGTCGTAGATGTCGAGGAGGAGCTCGGAGAGACCGATGATGGCGAAGCTGTGGTTGGGCCAGTAGGTGAGGGCTTTTTCGTAGCAGAGCTGGGCTGCGAAGGGGGAAGCTTGGGTTTGGGCCATGGTACCGCGCTAATGGATGGGATATTAGCATTCATGGTTAGAGAGAGATGTGAGGGGCGGTGACTTACCTCTGCCCATACGTCTCCCCAAAGCTCATCTATGCTTTTCGAACAGCTCCAACTCCTGTTCGCTAGCGCTCTGGCACTGGTGTTTTGGTTCACGGTCTCGAATTCGAGTCGCTCAACTAGCGTGGCAGCCTCGTCGGTGGCGCCTTTGGCTTCGCTGTACATGCCAGCACGGCTGTACATGCCGGCAACGAATAGCCAAATTTGAACGAGCAGAGCGGTTTTATACCGCTTTTCTTGGGCCTGAGGGTATCTTGGCTGTGGTTCGTGCCCGTTAGAACCCGGGAGTTGTGCAGGTAACCGAGTATCCTGCCTGGGGGGGTTGTCTAGGTGCCCGACTGGGGCTGGGGCTTGATCGGGGGCGATATTGTGACCGATAGCAGGGAGGATGCCGGCTTTGGACTCGCGGTGGTGGGGCCCATCCGTCGGAAGCGGCTCATCTGAGCCTTCGTGGGGCTTGTGGTTCTCGAAAATGGAAGAGGCGCCGGAAGTGCTGGGTCGACCCTTTACCGAACCCTCTCGACTTGGCGGATGTTTCTTATGTAGCTTAGCACTTGCCGACCGCTTCACGGCCGCTGCTTGAGATGCTTTACGTCCCATGCTCTGTCGCCGCTCTGGCGTTCCATCGTCCCCAGTGACTTGAATAGTGGGCGTCATGGTGACCTGCGTCATTCGAGTTCGCTGTGTTGCGCTTGTACCTGGCCTTGACTCTGTGATACTGTCCGATGGAGCGGAAATGGGAGAGGCGGTTTTCGGCCTTCGGAAGCTTTTGCGGCTGAATATGCTTCCTTTCACCGTCCCATTAGCACTTGGCGGCGGTGCCAACCCGTTTGACGGCTTGATGGTGTCCGCATCTGGGTTCCCGAAGAGTCTGGCGTAGAGAGCGAAGAGTTCTCCAGTAGATTCCACAGCAACGTCTGAGCCTTCAATAGTCTCGAGCAAAGCAATCTGTGTCATCTTGATCTGCAATATCCCTTCTTTTTCAAAGCCATTCATATCATCAGCGATCCCTTTCGTTGCAGCTTTAAGATCCATTTCCGAATCTGTACTGGCTCGCATACCCGCTTCTGATCGACCGAAGAGTACAACCGTATCGTGGAATTGATCAAATGCCGCCTCACAAGCTTTAGCTGCAACTGCGTAATCCGAGCGAGAGGATAACGCCAGGGCCAGTAAATGCCACAATGGCATCAACTGCCTTTCTCGCTGAAACATTGACGAACTTGGGCCTTGAGGGTATACCGAAGGGGTTTCCCCGTGGTGAACAGGCGCGAGGGCTTGTTTGGCCACCTTGATCGCATTCGGGAGATCCCGCATCTCCGCCATTTGGAAGGCCAAGGAGTATAGATACTCTATAGTCTTTGGTTTTCCAAACCGAGGATCAACAGCATTCCGGAAACTCTGGATTGCCTTCGCTTGGAGCCCGGCCCGTGCAGCGACGTCATAGGTCCAGCGCGCCCAATTCGACCTGCTGATGCCAATGGCGTGGTGAGCAAGAGAAACGAATTCTGGAGAGACTTTCGGATCGAGTTGGTGCTCAGTTTGTATGCTACCCTTCGACAGACGCCGGATCGGTACAAGCACATGGGATTTCAGCCACCTCTCAAATTCGTCACAGATCTTTTCGGCTCTTTCGGCTTCCTCGAAGGATCCGTACCGACACAAGAGCTTGATAGTCTCAGCATTGGTCCATATGAACGCATCAGGCCCATCAAGGGACGGATCCTCTTCCCCAGAATTCTCGTCTCGTTCTCTCCCTCTTTTTATGATCTCCGAGTAGGAATCAAATGCTTTCATTGCCAGGTCGAACTCGGTTAAATATGAATGGACCGTAAAAAGATGTCGGAGTATTTGAGGGCTGTGGAACGTTTTGGTCGCCGCACGGTAAAGGATGTCGAGTACTCCGCGTGCGATGGCCTCCTTTCCACCGGCGCCAAGTTCTTCGTCCTGCCATGATGGGCCACAGAGGATGCGCCAATTATCCACAACAGCCTCCACCCACATTTCCACGTCCGAATTCCGTTCGTTGGCTTTGGGAAAGGTTGTGCTCTCCAAGATGAGCTTCTCGTTCGCCGTTTCAACACTCTTCAGTTCCGCCCTTTGTTTCAGCCTCGAGCTTAGGTAGTCTTGTGGGGAGAGATCATTTGCGCTTCTGACAATTGAAGGCTGCAGCTCAGGGGAGTTTGCATCGCAAAGTATATTTTGACGAAGCATTTCGGACAGCGCCTTGTAGTACGCCACCCATACATCCTTGTGCGATTGATCCTCTTTGAAGTTTGCTCGGGATTGTTGCCAATGTTGTGTCCATAATCGGAACCCGCCCATCATAGCGCTGAAATCCACGGATCCACCTGAGCGGAGTGGGATCATGGAAACCTCGCACAGTCTTGAGAGCACTCGGTTCGTCCACAGACCGAGCTGAGGTGTCATCTGTGAGCCAGGCGTTGGAAGCACCGGCAACAGAGCGCTATACGCTCGTGCAGCTTCAGCATGGCCTGCTGTCTTCTCTAACGCTTCCCCTTTGAGGTATCCTCCCTTAACGGCGCACACTTGGATCCATTTGCGCGATTGTCTTGCGGACAGTGGTATGCTTTCTAAACTCTCGGGAATATCATTCGGTAATCTCGATATTGCAAGTGCCGGCTCCCCTAAAGAGTGGTGGACCCAAGCAAGGCACACGCTTGCTTCGAACGCGTCTTCCGGGATCGACTTCGCGTCTTCGATGGCGGTTAGGAGCGGTGGGATATGTTTCGCTAGATCTGTGTTTGAGGTGTCGGTGTCCGTAGCGAGCCATTCAGCAATGTGTGCCTCCACTCTTGCGGTCAATGCTAGGCCTTGGAAGGATCAGCACTGTAACACCCAGAACAAAGGGGGACTCACATTTGCGATTCGGCGCATGCTTCTCGATTTTGCGTGCGAGCTCCGGCACCAGCTGCCATTGCCCGTTACAGCGTTCGAGATCGAGTTGGGATATATACCGGGCGGCTTTTCCTCCCTCATGATTATGTCGGAGCTGCAAGACCCTCCAAATTAATAGAGATCTCATCTCGGGGCAGAAGGACCAACTTGCCATGATGTAATAATGTATTGCGGTCGCCTCAAGAGCGACGCCAAAGGATTTATAATGCGTCCATGCCTCAGAATATAGATATTCACAGTCTTAGAAGGGTCGACCGTGTTCAGCCAGGAAATAACTAGACGAGAAGTTGCTCCTCAGATATTTGAACACAAGTACAGCAAGCAGGAGGTTGGTTGATATGAGGATCGGCATGTCACAGCCAAAAGTTGCTGGAACACAATGTCGACACCTTAGGCATCAAATACGATATCAGATTCTCAGCAATTGAAGATTTCTAAAATATTTTGCACCTCGAGTGTTTGTCCTTCACCATCTCTCATAATTTCTGTTCATCGCAGCTGTTAATAATCAGCTAGGCCTGGGTTTTGTTTAATTGAGGGCTCGGTTCCTTCATTTGGACTTACTCCGTGGAAAGAATGGCATCCAACCTCCGAACCATCACTTATCGACTCTCCTCCACTCCAAAACATCTCCTCCCACGAATTGCGCCCCAGCTAGTATCATTCCTCGCTGAGAGCAAAGATGCAATTGCATTCGATCAAGGGAAAGGGTCGGAACTTTCCATCCTAGCTCATAAACTTCGAACCCAGCTTTCTGCATTGCTCCAAGAAAAGAGTGTCCACTCGAGATGGACCGCCTTGGTCCTTATTAAGACCTACCTTGAGATTGGGGAATGGGATGCAGTCGAAAAATCTGCAAGCTGGGTTCGGGGCGTACTGCAACATTTCCAGAGACCAAATCCCCTATCTGTCAAGCATTTATGTGTTCTGATCCTTTCAAGAGTCTTCCTTCTTTCTCAGGGTCATCAAACGTTCATTCGTGAAGTCGTCACACCTTCTCTATCGGCATTTGCAACTGCATGTCTCGATATACTAGGGACGACAAAGTACAGCCCAAACTTCACTCGTCAAAATGATCTCTTTCAGTCCGTCTTGTCCTGTCTTGGCGAGCTAATCCCAAATCACGCTACGTCTTTTCGTCCTTTCGAAACGAAACTGAGAGGCATATTGAAAGGGATTGCTTTCAATGACACCGTGTATATCGCAGAAAGTACCCGACAAAAGGCTGTGGATTTTCTGGTCGAGCTACACAGATGTGCCCCCAGGTCGGCCGGTGCCGAGGAAAGGAAGAAAGCGGTCAAAACATACGTGACCGAAATTCATGACGTCCTGTCTATCCTCTTCAGGGGCGTGGGAGAGGAGCATCAGCAACAATCTGCACAGAAAAATGGATTTACATCGCTTGAGGATGACCCATTACAAGACGACCCGACCCCTGCCGGGCTCCCTGGGTGGTCAGGGATCACGCCGGGCTTCGACAGAGGAATTCGCCTGCTCCAATTGCTCAGGGCATATGTCGCGGTCCCATATCCCGATGCCGTCGACCTCCGGCTGGGTCTTGTAAATGACCTGTTGGCGAGGATACTGTCTATGAAGGGTCCAGGTCCCGGAGAGATGGCAACTTGGGAGAAAGCCGGAAAGTTCAATTCTGCAGTCAGCATGGAAGAAATGAACGAGCTCTTTGCCCAATTGCCACTGTTCCATCTCGCCGCGATTGACATCGTTCTTTCCATCTCCAAGGTGCTTGGGACGGCCTCGTCCAGTGTCATGGCCCGAACCGCCGAGGACCTGAATTGGCTATTTACCACTAAAGCTCCGTCCTCTCAACTCCGACGTGCTGCGTACGACTTTTTATCGGCTTATATCCGCACCAGCGGACCAGCCCTCTCCAAAGATTCCATTTCCGACTTAGCTCCGGTCATGAAGTCCTGCTGCTCTGACCTCGTCCGCAATTTGGAGGCACCGAGTCAGGAAGCGAAGTCGAACGGCGCTCCCCAGATAGAGGCGTTCACGACCTCGAAACAGAGACAAGGGAGCCCAAAGGAGTTGGACGCAGACCTATACCACGCGGCTTACAAGCTCTTGCCTCGCTTATTCAGCCTCCCGTCCAAGTACGTGGCTTCGTCACTTCGAGTACATTTCGACCAAGCCGCCCTCCTCCTTCTACATGAGGAGGCACTTTGCCTGAGCGCCGCAAACCCTCCCGCGGAAAATGCAAGCATACTGCCCCTGGCCAGAAGGTTACTGGGTTCCGTCGATCGACTCGATACATTGACTCGACCTCGTCAACCCGTCATATCCTCCACGTCTGGGACCTCGGACTTGGATGAGAATCAACTGCCTGCATCTAACATTGATGTCCAAAATACAATTCGGGAGTCGAGGCACGGTGATCCGATTATTACTATGTCGGAGGATGAACCCCATGGGCTTGCGCCCGAAGTTCAAACCACTATCATGGACGAGTCATCCGATCCCATGCAAGACATCCTGCTGGCTCAGCATGCCGCTATGCCTTCGAACGGGGACCATGATAGCCTACCTCCAGACACGGCACGGGCAACGAAACGGCACCTTGAGATGGAGGAAGAACAATCCAAACGCCAGCGTCTGGATGTGCAAAGCTTGGGAACAACGACGACTCTTACCTCAACGTCAACCGTGTCAAAGACGTACCCAGTGGAGTCTGGCATTGACTCCGAGATTTCAAGCAATATCAAAAGCAAAGCAGAACAGCTCGCCAAGCCGGTGGCTACTGCTACGCCCGCGCAGAAAGCGGAGGCAATTCAAGAAGTACAGGAAGAGCAGACAAGTGACGATGACAGCGACTTTGAGATCCCACCCCTTACAATGAATCCCGACGCGGATCTTGAATCCGACTAGAGCCCGGGAGCAATTTTTGTCTAGTAAATCTGGTGGATTGTGGCTATGAACCATACCTGTCAATAGATGCCCTTCCTAGAGCTACCCTAGGTTTCTAATTGAAAAAAGAGCCTTTTCCTTGGATGTCCTCGTGTTAAATTCAATGCACCCCTCGATCCCTATCCTCATGCTCATCGATCCAACGATTGACCCAAACACATCTCATAATACATCCCCCTCCTCCCCATTAACTCCCGGTGGTTCCCCTGCTCCACAATCTTCCCTTTATTGAACACGAAAATCACATCAGCGTCCTTGATCGTCGACAACCGATGCGCCACCGCCACCGTCGTTCTCCCCGCTTTCGCCCTCTCCAACGCCGCCTGCACCACCTTCTCCGACTCGGTGTCCAGCGCCGATGTCGCCTCGTCCAACAACAGTAGCCTTGGTTTGCGGATCAGTGCACGAGCGATCGCGATCCGTTGGCGCTGACCGCCGGACAATTGCCCGCCTTTCGAGCCGCAAAGCGTGTCGAATCCGTCCGGTAACGAGGTGATGAAGTCATAGATGTTCGATTGCTGCGACGCTTGGATGATCTGCGCTTCCGTCGCGTCCGTCTCGGAGAGGCCCATGGCGATGTTCTCCCGCACCGAGGCCTGGTAGAGAACCGGTTCCTGTTGGACGAGAGATAATTGTGCGCGGTAATGGCGCGGGTTGAGCGCCGTGATGTCTTTGTCGTCGAAGCGGATGACGCCGGAGACGGGGTCGTAGAGACGCTCAAGGAGGGCGATCATGGTGGATTTCCCGCAGCCGGACGGACCGACGAAGGCAGCGAACTGACCGGGAAGGATGATTGGGCTGATACCCTTGATGACTTTCGTACCTGGTCTTCTTGGGTAGACGAAATGGATTTTCTCGCCTTCAATACCTCCAGGAGCGTCGGAATATTTCTCGTGCTCATTGGAGCCGTCTGCTTCGCGGACGATGGAAACTTTCTTTCGCAGCGCTAGGATGGTGTTGGCAGCGGCTTGTCCTTTGGTAATGCTCGTGGTGTAAGAGAAGAACGCGGCACCCGCTTCCTAGAATGAAATCGTCAGCCTTTGTTATCATTATGGGCCTCACAAGATAGGATAGCTCATACCCCTGAGAAGATGACGGACACAAACACAATAAAGAATTGGGTTGTGGTATATTCCCCGAAAGACATGAGGCGACCACCATACCTGTCGCAAAGTAAGCACTTCCCTCAACAGTTCATCCAGGAGACTTTACCAGAAACCCAGCGCCATAGCCAAGAATGTCACCGATTGCGACAGGGCGTACCAGAACATAGTCCACATTAACGCTCTCGCCGAGTGTCTCGCCACTCCCGCAACCTTTTCCTCGAACATGCCGACCGTGTGCTTCTCCAAAGTCAAAGAAGCAACAGTCCGAATGGCCGAAATCGCCTCCGTCGCAAACGCAGTTCCTTCTGCAAATCGTGCACCCGTGGCATCAGCCAAGTGGGTCTCCAAGCGAATGCGTAGGTAGCCACAGAAGACGAGGACCGGTAGCGCGCCGAACACAACGGCCAAAGCAAGGCGCCAGCCCACGATGAATGCTAAGATTGAGCTGGCGGTAATGTTCACAAAATTAATAAGGATCAGACCGACGTTGAACCCGAGGAGATCCATGAGGTTTTGCGGCTCGGATGCGAGTTTCGAGACCAGTGCTCCAGTGGCATGTTCTGGGGCGTCGAAATAGGCAATATCTTGCCGCATGAGACTCTGGAACATTTCCAGGCGGTAATGCCGAGCGCATACCTGCAATGCTATTAGGCTTAGATGCTTTATGGATAAGAACTAGAACTAACTTGAGCGATGGTGTTCGTTGCCCATCCTAAGATGCCGTACGCAGCGAGGTTCCCCAGAGCAATGATAAAGAAAAGGAGTGAGTTAAAGTTACCCTGCTTGATCATCTCTTCGCCTTCTAACTGGAACGTGTTAAAGACTCGGGAGAAGACGATGGCCTGCGCTGGGTACGTAGCACCTCCAATGATGCAGACGATCCCCGTGACAAGCAAAGCTGGGTAGAGTTCTTTGCGCTCAGCCAGCATGATCCACAAGCTCTTAATAAGCCCATATTGCAGCTTCAGCTCAAGTTCTTTACCGGAGGTACCATCCCCTTCTCCAGGTTGGAGCATAGTCCCGAACCTACCCAAGGTCATCCTGGTAACCGGCTGCTCCATGTCATCATCCGCGTCATCATCTTCGGAGTTGCCTAAGTCTTGAATCCGGACAAGTCGGGCATAGATGCCGTCCGCCTCGATTAACTGATCATGGGTGCCTTGCTCCGTAACAGCCCCATCCGAGAGAACTGCAATGTTATCTGCATTTCTGACTGTCGACAGCCTGTGTGCGATGACAAGCGTCGTCCGGTCTGCGGACACGTTATCGAGCGCCTTTTGTACGATCTTCTCAGCTTTCGGATCCAAAGCACTAGTTGCTTCGTCAAGAAGCAGGACTCGTGGGTTAGAAATAATACTGCGGGCAATCGCCAATCTCTGCTTCTGGCCGCCGGAAAGCATCATTGCTCGTTCGCCGACCTGGGTCTCATATTGCTGTCTCTTCAATTAGCGAAATGTATTGACTTCAAGAGGAAGGTTCACAGTACCCATGGGAGTTGCTCGATAAACTCATCTGCATATGCCGCTTTACATGCCTCTTTGACCAATCTCTGTTTCTCTTCGATAGGTAAATCCACCATATCGGTGCCTTCCAGGCCCAGGGCCACGTTCTCAAAAATGGATCCGGTAAACAGTACGGGCTCCTGAGCGACAACCCGGATTTGACTCCGCAGCCAACGTATATTCAGCTGGGTGATCTCGACACCGTCAAAGTATAGATTTCCTTCGCTTGGGTTGTACCAACGATTCAGGAGGCCTACCAACGTACTCTTACCCGACCCACTGGGACCGACGACCGCCGTTGTCTTTCCGGCAGGAAAATCCAGATTCAATCCTTTCAGCACAGGCACATTCTTTCGAGCTGGATACGCAAAACGCAGATTTCGAAGACGGATGTCTCCGGCACACCTCGCCGGCCGTTTACCTTCTTCGGACAATGCGTCGATTTCAGGAACTCTGTCAATCGTCTTGAACATTGCCTCCGCAGCAGAAGATGCCTTCGTGACGACTAAAATCTGAGGAGCAATTGTCGTCATCGCCGTGGCAGCCACGACAACTGCGAAAATGACGCTAGTACGCAGTTAGTACGTCCTAGACAATGGATAGGTGTCGATACATACGTTACAATATCTCCTGGATTGGTGATCTCGCCACTGCCGTACATTCGAATGCCCTGCCAAAATGCTAGGCTGTAACCCGAGAAAATGCAGAAGAACTCCGACGAAAACAGAATAGCGTAGTTCAGGGACTTCTTGCGGCCGAGCTTCTCCGCATCGCGCAAGATCTCGTCATATTTAGCACTTAGCTTAGGTTGCAACCAGAACGAGTGGACCGTCCGGATGCTCGAGAAGACATCCTCAGCAAGAACACTGGCTTTAGAAAGGGTTGACAAAAACCGGGCATCTTGCTTCACGTCCACCCCAACGCAGACGCTCGTGACGAGCAAAATTGCAGGAACAACCGCCATCGTAATCCCAGTGAGCTTAGCGTTGACGTTAAATGCAACGACAAATGCGGCGACGAACGTCGCGGTGCCTTGAAGGGTTAATCCAAGCTTCTCTGATATGCCTTGGTTGACCTGGTTGCCATTCGAAGTGATCTGGGTGGGGATGGACCCGGGTCCTGACGTGTCAAAGAACGCGATATCCTGACGAACGACATGCCGCAGGAAGTCAATCCGCAGAGCTTTTGTCGTTCGAATGGCGGAGATAGAAATAGCCACCTTGAGACTCGTTAGTGCCGTTGGTTCCACAAGATGCATGGCTGTCAAACCGTGTAGTAGTATATGAGAGCGAACTTGGCGATGAACAAATACACAAACCATAGCCTAAAACTTGTCAGTATGGCACTTTAAATAGACATCAGATTGTCATGGGAAGGTAACATACGCCCACCAACCCAGAGAAGATCGGAACTCGTCTGGGGTGATTGCACCGATGGCAAAGTTATTGAAGACAGTCACAAATTTGCCGAACACAAGATCCATCAATGGAAGCATTGTGCCCGCTGCAATAGCAGCGAAGAAGCTGGTGCCATTTAAAATCCATCCTAAGCGGTCTGTATATTTAAAGATTCGCTATAACGTCATCAACGGTTTGCCCAAGTATCGCCAATGGATCGTCGTGCGACTTACGAAGTAGTTTCCCAAAGCACCTCCCTCTTCCTTTTGATCTTTCAAGTCGTCTTGGGGTTTCTTCGATGTATCCCACGAAGCGATGCTCGGGCATTTTTCGTCGTTATCGGTCATGTCTTCAACAGAACGCAGGACTCATGGTGCAGATTAAAGACTGCAAATGAAGAAACGACGAAAGTTAATGAAAAATGGATACAGGAATCACGAAGGACAAGAAGTCTTAGCAACATTAACCTGCGGAGAGTTTACCTATCTAGTGCATTTTACCATCCAGGTACGTCGTACGGTCTCCGCGCAGACGGCGATCTGATGGATGATCCATCATCTTGCGGAGTATCAGAACACTGTCCAGATCACTAGTAGTAAGGTAATAATCCTGGCTGCAGCATCTTGAGTCTCGACCAAGCCGTTGAATTTCGGATCGACATATTGTGCATCGTCGCTCAGGTTTAGAGTGGGTGCTTGGTCTTGGTTGTCGTCAATCTTCATCCGTGCTGGACTCTTGGACTCTTGGGCTTCTCCGCCATTCGATTGATGGCAATTATACAAGATCTGTATCACCCAAGTCATCTTCAATGATTTCATGAGAATCTCGATTTCATCGAATTCGTCTAATGTGGACGATGCAGCCACGAGCACCACCACCAAAGAACTTGAACTTGAAACGTTTGGATTCCGAGGGCGTAGGATGGGGATTGGACCCTTCCGTCTCGGTCATAGCGTCTTTTGTCTCCTCCGTAGTCCGTATTTCCGTAATTATCTAACTGCTGCTCTAGGGAACTCGAATCTTTCTGCTGCAATCATTTTATTCTATTTGGATATAATTCTCAATGGGGCCTCTATAAAACTACGAATCGATTTACCTTGTTCCCTATGTCTTCCTAAGTCCTGATCAGTGTCTTATTCGTACTCTACCACCCTTGTCCTTCGTGGCGAAGCCGCGAAGGGGATTCCGCGGATCCCGGACTCCGGAGGGTCGCGTGGTGGCGCAGGGCTACAAAGTACAACTTCTGATGGTTAATAATAGCGCTAACTAGGATTTCAACAATAATACCTGCCCAGATGTGACACCACCTGAGAAGAGCACGGAAACCGTGGGAGCCGCCAGGAATATCAGTTCGTTGGATGACTGCTGCGTGCCGGGATGGAAAGTGAGATGGCGGACGCGACAGGATCTAGCCTGCTTCTTAAAGCGGTAAGGCTCGAAACATGATTCGGAAATCAATGTATAACAGCAGTGGAGTTCTTGCTGATTTATCATTGTACAGTGTGACAATTGCAGGATCAGGAAGACTCGATGTGATAGAGGGAATCCGTGCTCGAGCTGCAGAGCCGCAAACCAATGTATGGCAAGACTAGTCAACAAACGAGAAAATTGACTGACCGGACCAAAGCATGTAGGACTACCTCACAGAGGCCAAAGGAGTCGAAGCATCGTGTGCTCATATCGTCTCAATAGTATGTCCAACGTAATTTTCAAATCGTCGTCGTTTGTGGTCCTTCCAGTCAGCGTTATCATATGTTATTTGCATATCGGAATTTCAACACCATTCAATTGGTGTCTTGTGGATACACTAACTTAATAGCAGTGAGCGAAAAATCGATCGCATCGAAGAAAAGCTGGTAGATATCGAACATCTCCTACAGAACCGGAGTCTGGTCTCAGAACACTCCAACGATGGCGCATCGACGAGGAGTGGGAAGTCCCCCAATGCACCAAGCGGCGATGGGATCTCTCCCGCATCACACATACCGGATCATCCGACCTTTGAAGGCGATTCATCGCTCAGTGCTCAATCTACCTTTGCTCACGAGTTCCTTGAGCGAGCGATAAGCAGAAATTCATCTCAAGATCCGCAGATGGCTGAGGCGCTCGCTTCGCTCCGGAGCATGGTCGACGGGCAAAATGAGCCGGCTCCAACCCACAGCCGCTTCATTGATCCGAAAAACTCAGGAGCCTCATTCGCGCTGCCGCTACCTCCCAAAAGCCTTTTACTGGATATACTTGCGAGATCCAAAGGTTTGGCCTAGCGGATCAGGTCTGATATCTCCGGCTGATAGTTGCAGATAACTTTTTCGTTGCAATGTTCCTACCATCTCTCGACCAACTCCGATTCCGCGAGATCGTTGAAATTGCATACGACCGCAAAGAGGAGCTCACTATCACGAAAGGCCTACTTTTCTTCGGCGTGGCCCAGTACATGTTCCTCGAATTTGGTAAGACGGGCCCGGACGGACGACAGGGCGATGAATTTCTCAAGCATGTTGCTTTTTGTCGACGGAACTTCGAATATCTCTTGTCGTCTCTACCCCTGCTCTTACCCGCCACCTCGGAGAATATCGAGGCTCTACTCCTCGCCGCTTCGTATGCGGTGGAAATCTCGAAACCGTCGTTATGTTGGACCATAACCACCAATGCCGTTGCAATGTGCAAGACCCTCGGATATCACAGAATTTCTTCAATGAAGAACGATTCGCAAGAAGTCAAAGCGAGTAAAATGGTCAATTTTTGGCTGTTATATATCATCGAAAAAAGCCTCGCGTTGCGGCTCGGTCGAGCATCAAATATCCACGACTACGACATCTCTCTTCCTTCAGTGTCCTCGCTCTCTTTCGAAGGCTACCCATTCGGCCAGGTTCTGACTTATTGGGTTCGGGTCGCGGAGATCCAAGGAAAAGTCTACGAAGAGCTATTCAGTCCAGGAGCATCGGGGAAATCCGAATCCGATCGGACCCGGTCTGCTCGTTTTTTGGTGTTCGAGATGGATGACGCTTGGAGCAAGTACCAAACTGTAAGAGAGAGCCATATCCGTACGCAGAACTTGTCAACTGACTGTATCAGCTTTCATTTCAACCCGAGTACGGCGAGTACATGAACGTCCTTACGAAATCAGATCAGGTGGCCCATCAGTCCGTGCTTGTCTTGATTCATCGTGCGATGCCTCCCGACGATTTTTCTACCTCTCAGTTTAGCTCCGAATGCCTCGAAGTCTCGAGGAAGGCCTTAAAATCCCACGAATCCACAAGTAAACACTTCAAGGGCAAGGGCGAGGAGTACTGGTCCGGCTACCTACACTGGTGAGATTATCCTTCAAAACCCGAGGAGTTCAAATACCTAATATTGCATCCAGGGCTGTTCTACAAGCGCCATTTACCCCATACATGGTCCTTTTCTGCCACGTCATTGCCTCCAACGACGATTCCGACCTCCAGTTGCTTGAAAGCTTCGTCCAATCTCTGAAACCATCCAAACCGCAATCCGAAGGTATTGAGAAGATGTACCGACTATGCTACGTCTTCCATCAGGTTGCCAAACTCTACGTGGACTCTGGAAGAAAAGCCGTCGAGATGGACTTGAGCTCTTTGGAGACCCCCGGTAATGCGGCTGCCGACATAAACTTCTCTTACGGGCACGGCCAAGGGAACGCATTCGATCCGTATGCCTTTGCGCTGGCATTCGTTCCAAATGCTCCGTTCGCTGGTGACGTCAGCGGCGATGTTCCGGTGGTCCCCACGGATGGGGATGCAATGCCGATTGACAGTTTGGGTGACTGGTTTAACAGCCACCAGCATATCATGAGCTTGCTTGAAAACGACATTCCGGAACAGTAGGGGCAGAATATGCCGATGGGATGAAATGGACATGATAATTTTTCCGGGCGGTGGAGCAAGGGGTGTAGAGGCTTCATTCTGTTTAACTTCGGCCTGATATACTGACAATAGCCTAATATTAGACAGTTATGGCGCATCTCATCATGGAGACGGGAGACAGATAACGACGAGCATCGGGAGGAACTCACCCTTTGACTGATTAATGAGATGCACGTCTTGGCCGGAAATGGGTGCGCACATGTATAGAATTTCGTATAATACTAGGGATTAGGAACTGAAATGACATGATTGAACCTGCGCTTTTCAGTTGTAGCTGGAGTGTGCCCGGATTCCGCTTTAATACGGTGCCTGGACTAGGTCGAGGCTGATCCGAGGATCTGTCGGTTGGACACATCATTCGATGAGATTGGATGCTTCACGAGAATATAGATTGGAATCTAGTGGATAAATTTATACGAAATACTCTGCACAGAATATCCAATCCTAACTCCATATCGAACCAGTTGCGATGGAATTGCGGGAAGGATAAAATAAGCATTGCCAAAGCTTTATTTGCAATCTAACTACTATCCAAGACTTCGTGTCTCGGAAGTCGGAACTACCACTTTACTAACTATAACTACCATAACTACCTTGAGCCAATCTACCACTAACTATTATGGTTCTTCTGCCGTACATGTAATCATAGAGGACTACAATTACCCAACCTTACTACCAGACTCATTACAATTCGCCCCTCTCAATACTCATACCATCACTGCACAAGGTATCCTTACCTTACGGTACTCGTAGTCTCGCTTACTTTCGTCCTCCCGCCGACGATCCGGCAGCTTGCGAGACAGCGATCGACCTTCCACATCTTCCAAGTTTTTGTCCGTATGGACACGACCTAAGGCTGCTCTAAGCTCCGTGAAGCTTAGCCGGACGCCGCTTCGGGTGAAGCCATGCATGGCTCTGCTCATGTCCCGCCTCTCGTATTTCGTGTGCTGATTCTCCGCCCCATGATTGGGTGATCCTTGCGGAGGCATCCAACGTGCATGTGGAGAACTATTGGAAAACCGTCATTTTATGTCAACGGTGTGGAAGAGCTTGGGGTAGCAGTGCAGAGGTTTTAGGAAGGAACGGGATCGGTTAAAATGATCATGGCGGCACCTCGTCGCCTGGTTGAAGGTCGCACCGTTTTTCTTGCTCTGGTGCTTATTAATGTGAGGTTTATTCGTCAATCGATACCTTCGCGATGCTATTCACAAGGCTGCTGGGCTTCGCAGCCGTCGCGAGTGCGGCATGGTCGGGGAACCTGAACTACCGGTCACCATCGCACCGTAATCATCAAGGAAATCGTCGCCAACGTTCCGTCGCTAACGATTAAGCAGACCACCCGGGGCTGGGGATCGCTATCCATAAAGTTGTGAAGCGATCAGATATATCGAGCCCATTCGATCCGGCGAAGTTAAACTTCACCCATGGCGTTGCCTCTGGCGATCCATACCCGGAGAGTATCATCCTCTGGACAAGGGTTGCTCCGACGATGGATAATGACAAGTCCAACGTCACAGTCACCGGATTTGTGCCGCTCTATAATCATGATACGGATGAATATGTCGCCTTGTCCAAGTCGCCTGTCTGCGTTGACTGGGCGGTGTACGTGGACAAGGAGTTGCGCCGCGCAGTGACCCATGGCACAGCGTACACGAGCTCCGACATTGATTATACCGTCAAAGTTGAAGCAGACGGACTCAGCCCATATACGACATACCATTACCAGTTCGCAGTGTGCGGATCAAGTAATTCCTCACCAGTTGGGCGCTTTAAAACAACCCCACGGAAGGACGACAAGGTAAATTCTGGGTCAATTGCAGTCTTTTCATGCGCCAACCACCCCTTCGGGTTCTTCAATGCCTACGGGAACGTTGCGCGAAAAGATTCGGTTGACTGGGTCGTCCATCTTGGAGACTATGTGTATGAATATAAAGAGGGCGACTATGGCTGGGGATGGGCAATAGGCCGAGCCCACCAGCCCAATAAGGAGGCATACTCTCTGTACGATTACCGTCGCCGGTATGTCGTTCCTTATCTCACCAGTCTCTTGGCTTCTAACGTGTTAGACACGCTCAATACAAGTCCGACCTAGATCTCCAGCATAATCACCGGCAGTTTGCCTGGATTCCCGTCTGGGATGATCATGAGGTTGGGGACAATCAATATCGCGATGGCTCCTCCTTACTCAATAATACCGAGGACTCCTTCATCAAAGATGGCGGAGTCAGCGTCGACCAGCGCAAGATGAACGCCGTGCGAGCATACTTTGAGTGGATGCCTATACGTCAAGTCGACATGGACGACAACCTTCGGATTTGGAGGTCGTTCTCGATTGGCTCACTGTTCGATCTGATCATGCTTGATACGAGGCAATATGACCGATCAATCACCGATCTGTGAGTACATGCCAAACATGTGGCACTGATGGAGCCTAATGGAAACAGGTACTGGAACACGGACTACGTGCATGCAATTTCCAATGACGCTGGCAGGAGCTTGATGGGATCAAGGCAGGAAAACTGGTTCTATAACCAGTTAATCAAGTCGAACAAGCGCGGTGCTATCTGGAGAATCATTGGCAGCCAACTCGGTAATTGCCCGCCTAAGGACGCGCCAGAAAGCTCTGACAAACGATAGTCTTTTCCCGGTTGAATGCGAGCCTAGCTCTAGGACCTGAGAACCCATTCAACTACGACGGATGGGATGGGTATGTGTCGAACAGAAACCGAACCTTCAACGTGTAAGCACTCATACCCGTCTGGGATCGTTTCTATGCTAACGCGCGAAGTCTATACGAGAACAACATCGGCAACAATATCATGCTCGCGGGCGACATCCACTCTACCTTCGTGAGCGACTTGAACTGGTATGGCAATAAGCCGTACAACCCAGAGACCGGCGAAGGGTCAATCGGTGTTGAGTTTGGAGGCTCTGCAGTTACCAGTCCTAGCCCGTTAGGCCCGAATCTTACGTATGAAAGGGATCTGTTTTTGATCGATGGATTTATTCTGACGACCTGCAGCTTTGCCCAAGGCCAGTTCGCAAGCGAATGGGTTGTCGGCAATAATCCAACCTTGCAGTTCAGCGACATTTATTATCGAGGGTACTATGAGTTGCATATCACGGTATGCCCCCTAGATTTGCTTTCCGAAATGCGGATGCACCAGTCAAATACTAACTACCTTCATAGCATCAAGAAGTCAACGCCAAATATTTCGGCATGCCCTCCATTTTAACTCGCAACCCGTACGAAGTTCCTTTCGCCAACTTCACCGTTAAGAACGGCGAGAACAAGCTCAGCCGACCACTAAGCGGCGGAACGGTTTTCAATGGTGCACTGAAGAACAAGCAGACAACGCAGACCAACATGACGCACAATACCGAGGACAATTCCTGGTTCATCTCAAACTGATGCGGCTTCATGGTGCTATAGAATTTAGTATTGGTGAATGCGAACGAAGACTAATTAATAGGTAGAGCGATTAATGCTTAATGCAAATAATGACTTACATATTGTGCGGACAATATCATATTGACATGATAGACAGTCACTAAGAACGCTGAAGGTCGCTACCGCTCATCTTCCGATAGCGGCATGGAAGACATTAAAAACTAAACATGAAGAACCCAAATCATCACATCCCAAGGTATCATATCCCAGATTATCATATCCCATTTCCATACAGCTATAGCCACATCATCAAAATCGCTGGAATCAGAATGAATGCCCCCAACGCAACCCAACTCCTCATAACCGACCGACCCAACACTCAAGCCTACACAGGATACTGGTCCGAATCCACCATTACCTCTACCACCACCACCAGTCGAAACAGCGGTGAATCCGGATGTCGTGCGGCTAGCGAGACTAGAAAGGGATGTCGCGGAAGTGGGAGCCGACCAGGTGAGTGATGCCGATATGTCTGCGAAACTTCTCTCTGCTGCGGCCAATGACATGGCTTGAACGGTAATTGTGGTGGTTAAGGTGTCCCTGCTTGAGGTGACGGTCGATGCGGAGAGGGAAATCACGTAGGTCCAGTAGTAGGAGTAATACCACCTATCCCACCGTTAGCAGACTGTTCTAGCACCTCAGGCGCATCACAGCGCGGAGAGAACTACATACCATGTATAATACGTGGTGTAAGGCCTCAACTGCGTCGTCGTCACTCCATTCTCGCCGACGTACGCGGTACGTGCAACACACTATCCGGTTGCTGGACGCGAGGCGCACGCAGATTTTGCCCGGGTTACAGTTCCGTCCGTCCGAGCAGCAATCCCCATCGTTCGGGTAGCAGGTACCGGTGCTGCGGCAGGACCAGCCGTCGGGGCAAGGGGAACCGGGGCAGCAGACGCCGCCGGGGGGGAGGCAGTAGCCGTACTGGCAACATCGGTCGGTGCTGGGGCAGCAGCCGCTGAGGGCTGAGGTCGTTAGTTCATGCTGGAGGAACCGAGGGAAGGGAGAAAAGTTGAGAAAAGGCGATGATTGGAATTTGAGGGGACATACTGGCGCAGTATCCGTAGCCAGACGGGCAAGTTCGTTGACGCGGTTCAAGGCGCTGTAATGAACGACCCCAGAGATCCTGCTCTGGCATCGAGTCGTTCGACCATCGTGAATCGGGTGCGAAGTCTGCGATTCCCGCGTCTCGTTTTGCGATGTCGACAGGATGCAGCGGGATGAATGATAGGTCCCGCGCATCTAATTGACTGGACACTACCGAGCTCCACTGGAAAAGGATTGATAGAAGCGAGTTCGCTAGCATCTTTGGGATAGAGACTTGTGACCATTTCAAAATAAGACGAGACTCAGAGAACGCGTTGAAATGATGCGATGGACTAGCTATAATGCAAATCCTCATGAACGACAAGAAAATCGTCAAACCTTTCTACCTCTTCATAATTGCGGCGGCTGGAGATACTTTATCCAACGCCCTCAGCCTTGTGGAAATTCCTCCCCGGTGTATTGACTGCGCTAATTATGAGGAGCTTCGCGATGCGACGCAAGATCCGCATCCACAGATGCAGAAAACTGGATAAACGGATGCCACCTTCACACCAACGTGCAACTTGCAACTGCATGATCACAAATGCTTCTCAGCTTCACTGTAATGAGAATGCTGTCTGCCTCGCGCCACGACGCCACCTGCCCTTGGCAGCCGTTCGAATGGTTTCTCCGCCTTTTCCTGCGCAATTGTGAGTTGTTAGGAGAGGTGAGCCAAGAACGAGGAAGTAACAGTTGGTCGAGAGAAATACGAGGTTGGTAAAATAGTGAAAGAACATGAAGATGGGAACTTTGATATCCAGGTGCTATGCCACTGGTGCATGGGATTGTCCGACTCCCGATCTCTGCCAAATTGCGGGGCGAGTTGGGGGACGAACTTCTGGTCTAATCTGATTCACCAATCATTGATATTGATGTTTAATGCCTAGATTCTGTAGTGCAGTGCCAGACTTCCAGTCCGGAGTACTCCAAGCGGGGATGAATGACACCAACGCCGAGTGCAACAGTCCATAGCGTTCAGCGTTAATCTTGATGGCAGAGCGACGCGAATTCGAATGGTCCCTTGGACATCTCTCCTCCTGACATCCAATGCCTCTCGCCTCGATCCGTCCGAGCCAGCGATTCTGATATAAGACATAGCACCGTCATTGGGCACTTCATTTCAAGGATTTCAAATTCGATTCGTTAGAGGTATCCAGGCATCGTATCAGCTCGCGCTATGCAAAATGTATCCCACGGTTGCCTCTCCGTTCGCCGAGTATGCGGGTATACATGCACAAGGTAAAAAAACATACAGAAAGAGCAAGGAAAACTGATCAGGTATAGCTCTAAGAAACGTAAGGGTCTATTCGCGATGCGGTGAGATCGAACACTAGTAAACTTTCTATCGTTGCGTTGGTGTGATTGAATGGTGCCAAGGATGGAGAATTCGATTGATGAGGATTCGTGGCCGACAAAGTCGATATTGACGGTCATTTCTTGCTCCACTTGAGACATCCAAACACCAGTTGTCCGCCGACCACATTAAATCATCCGCTTGGCCCTCGCGTAGAGCAATCCTGAGATCACGAACGCCATGATAATCCCCAGGATCCCAAAGAACCACCCCAAGGTCCCGACCCCTTCCGGCTGCCCCGGCACCCTTACATTCATCCCAAACAGGCCAGTCACGATGTTCAACGGAACGATGATCGTCGCCAGCACCGTGACCTTGCTCAGGTTCTCGTTCACTCGGTTGCCCTGCGTCAAGCTGTCCAGCGAAATCTGCGCGATGTAGTTCGAGTGGCTGCGGCCCAGGATCTTCTCGAAGTGCGTCAGGTTGCTCATCATCGTCACCACGTGGTCCTGGATGTCGCTGAGGTACATCCCCACGTCGCCGCGGGGCGCCACCGCGTATTGGTCGTTGCACCGCTTGGCGAACCCCTTGATCACGTCCGCTTTCCCGCCGAGGAGTCGGATGAGCGACATAACTTTCTTGCGGCAGTCGCCGATGGCGCGTAACATCTCGCGGCCGTCGTCTTCACGGACGATCAGCACCTCGTCTTCGATGCGGTCGGTCTCGACCTCGATTTCGTGGATGACGGGGGCGAAGGAGTCGACGATGTCGTCGATGAGGGCGTAGCAAACCCAGTCGGAGCCGAGTTGGAGGTAATCGCGTAGCTTGCTGATGCGGGAGCGGACATTGCTGGCGTGCGGATTGGCGGTGTAACTAAAGGTCAGCAGGCCCTCGCGGAAGACCACGGCGTAGATGTTGACGGGCTCCATGTACTCCTCGGACTCCTTGTCGAGCGAGAAAAACGAGCGGAAGGCTAGGAAGTAGTACGCCCGAAACAGCTCGACCTTCTCGCGAGATTCTTGCGTGACAATGTCCTCTCGCGTCAAGGGATGGACCCCGAAGGCTTTACAGATGGCATGCACAGCATCCCTGGGTGGGTTCAGCATGTCGAGCCAGTACACTCCACCAGTCTGGAGGGGGGGCTCGAAAAGGTCGATCACACGCTCGCCCTCAGCAAGGAGACCGCCGAATGTTGAAGCGTGGATCGTGTCATCGGACTCGGAACTAAACAAGGTGAACCGGGAAGCTGGAGCAATGGTCGCTGGCACGGCATGCGGCTGCGCAGGGGTAGGCTGGTCGACTTCCGAGTCGGAGACGATTTTCTCCTCAATCTCGCCTCCGGTGGATCCACCACGTGTTGTCTGGCGCTCAAGAAGATTTGCCTCTGCTTGGGCTGCTTGGCGAGCTGCCTCAGCGCGGCGTTCTTCCTCTTCTTGGGCTGCTTCGACGATATACTCCTCGAGCTCTTCATAATCAATTCGGAAAGTTTTCCCAACATCCTCCTGCGGATAGCAGACATCCTCCTCGATGGAACTGCGAACAGATTCTTCGTCATCGTTTCCGCGAGGGATTGTCCCATTACCCTCCTCAACGCTATGTCCGTCGGTAAACGTTGCCTTGCGGCGGTGAGAAGCGCCAGAAATAGATCGCTGGATCTCAAGTTCTTGATCAGGCGCAATCTGGCTGGTGATGGTACCAGTCCGCTCGCGACGACGGGGATCAGCGAATGCGTTCACTGAGTTGGGAGGAGACTCAGAGAGGGTTGTTGCGGAGCTCCGACGGGATGGAATTGAAGCCGTTCCTCCTTGCTCACGCGGAGTGCGCCTGAAGGTGCCACGGCGGGTCATTCGAGGGCTCACTGGCGAGTTCCAATCCATTAAAACACCGTGTCCACTTTGTCCATCGTCGATGATCGCCTGTTCATTTAGCCCAGCTACCCCGAGGTGTGACGCATCGGCGAAGAGTTCAGGACGTTCGAGCCGAAGACTAGCGAGGGTACCACGGCGAGTGGTTTGGAATGGAGCACTGCCACTCGCTGGGGGAGGATCGATTCGCGGGAGTGAGGACGGCTGACGTCGATGATCATCTAGTTCAGAAACAGGAGTGCTGTATCGGGTCGTGTCGAACCTCTCGGTACGCGGTGAGTCCGACATCTTGTCTGTCTAATATCGTGATCTACGACCACAAAGAGTCAACGTTGTTTGTGTCGGGGATTGAGCGCGGATGCATACCTAAGCCTTGATGTGGCCAAACTATCAACTCTTCTTTCTACGTCTTCCTCAACCGAATATGGTCGATAATTCGACTGGTCGTCGGTGAGCCGCTATGGGCGCGCTCACCTCGTAAAGACGGTCAACTTGTACGATTGGCTTCGCGTAGGGAACACACCCTACACTCAGCCTTGGGGAAAGGATTCCGTGCACGTATTTGTGCCTCCTCAATTATTCACCAACCACGCACCTCACCGGTCCATCAACGGTCACGGCCGTTCAATGCTGCGGCAGTGAATGAACTTCGGTTCTTCAGCGCAAGCTAGGGAGGCAGAATGTCGCCTCCAAATACCCAGCTTGTTGGGCCGAGTAGAGGACGGATGAAGGAGAACTTGGAGAGAATGATGCCCGCCAACTTGATGGTTATCGAGGATTAGACGCTGAGGGCGCCAAGTCGCTGGTAATCGATGAAGGGAGGTTCGGGAGAGACTTTTCTCGATGTGCGCGCAGTAGCGAAGCCGTATCGCTTCTCGACTATCGGATTGGAGTTTGACAATGGGATAATGATGTGGATGCCGAAAAAAGGCGGCAAGTGTCAGGTATTCGCCCTATCCTGCAGTGTGGGATGGTTTGCTGCAATAGACCATAGAATTCGATGGATTTTCCACAATTGAAATTGCCCTCAAGGACTGGGTGTCTGGTGAATGGAAGAATTCGGGAGGAATAAAAGAACAGACGATGCCCGGGACATGGAGTGATGGGATTGTCGGCTTTCTTGGAGTCAGGTGCGAGGTTGAAAAACCTCGATGCTTATTGGTCCGGTTCAATTTCGGGTAAATCTTTTGGAAATTTTGCACTTAACCGGAATATGCCGTGATTACCTAAACTCCACCTAGATTGATATTACGATATCTGGATTGGGATGGAGTATCCTGCAATCTGCATCAATATCAAGTTGGTTTTTTGATTACATTTGGAAGGCTAGACCCTTGAAGCGACTCAGATACTAATAATACGATTTTGGTGCCATCTAATTGCCGGTTTCCGACTTTTCGAACCCTCTCCTATCGACGGCTGAGTGCTGACAACTTGCATTAGGAAGATGACAACAATATTCATTACATGCATATCCAATCATGACCCTGTCGAAGTCGGAAATCGCGCCTGTCAGATCATTTATTGGGTCGAAAGTACGATTATCAATTGGGCAATATCCTATGGGCTGAAAAGTTCGAGAATCAGCAGCATCCCACAAACCGGGTGTCAAGTGCTAGTCGGGTGCGCGGTTGCACAAAGAGATACACTCAGCAGGTGCCAGGGCGAACGTGAGCCTAGGATTCGAAGAGAACCAAGATCACCCTAAGTTAGAGAGATGACCCTTGACGTTTAGATTCCTATTCGTGAGATGCGTTGAGATCGCCTAACAATGATCAGTAGCCCAGGATCCATTTCGGAACGCTTGATGCTCCACCCAAGAACCAAATCCCACGCAGAGAGAGAAGGTACGAATGGTATTGAAATTTGAAACCATCCTCTCCGTACCTATGCAGCATATGTCTGCTAGAGGACACGCGCATAAAATTCATAGCCTGGACAGGCTAAGTTTCGTGCCGCCACCAAGGACCATCTCACCCATTACTCCAAAATGGTCACTTGCCCACTCCAACGCGTCCTGCTCCCGCATCTGCTTCACAATCTCCGGGTCCTCCACTTTCACGCCCATTCCAATCCTCCGGAATGACCTCGGCGTCACATCGCCACAATAGAGGATCTTGTCCATCCGGCTTGAACCAAACCTTTGTTTCATCCACTCAGGCACCTGGATTCCCCAGGTATATCCATCATCTGAATCCTCTCGGCCACCGAACTCGAGATAGACGTCTTTCAATCCGTTCTCGGAGTGCAGCGTCCTATCGAACGGCTCGATGGCGTTCAGATCGCCAGCCAGCACCGCCGCAAGGACATTGGGCTTCTGCATCCATTCCGCCGCGTCTTGTAGCTGCCCGGGTCGCACGGGAGGATCTGCCACCAGGGATTCTAGATGCGTGTTACAGAGGCGCACCGCATGGCCTGCAGGGGAACCATCGTCGCTCGATACGCCGATGTCGACGAAGAGACCGTCTCTTTCGAACTTGGTCACCCATGGGACGCGAAACACGGTCTGAATCTGGAGACGGCGGTCAACCAGCGTAGTCGTACCATAATACGGACTTTGCCAATTGCTATTGCTGGCGTCGGTCATGTAGAACCGCGACTGGATCCATGGAGTAGATTGGAGTTGCTGGATATCGGAGCTGTCCATCTCTTGGAAAAAGATGACAGCTAGACTATCGCCGATGGTTGATAACAGTGCTTCGAGATGATCAATCGCGACGTGCATTCGTGGTTCACCAAAGGGGACCAGGACGTCAATATTCCAAGATAGCAAATAAAACGACGAGAACCGAGATCCAGCTTCAAGGTGGGGAGTATTAACGACTTCCCTCCAGGCATTGTCTAGGAATCGGTAATACGGCTGAAGTCTAGGCTTGTACGCTTCTGGATCGCCGCGGGTTGGTGGTGGTTCAGCCATTTTAGCGGCGAGCATAGCTTGCATCTCTTTCGTATCCATTTTCGAAGTTAATGATTTTGACACGGGTAGAATTCTATGAATCGATTGCAGAAGACAAGTGAAATGTAGAGGAACGGTGGTGGAACCGGCAATGGGTTGATATCTAAGATGGATGCTGGCGACAGCTGCCCTATTTATAGATAACTACTGCTTTCGGTTACTTTCAAGATGCTATGCTTCCACCTCGGAAACGACGGACATGGGGTGTAATATGCCTCACTTAATGCTTAGATTTTTGCGCGTTGGCAAATGAGATTTGTACATAGCAGCTCGATTTTGGAATATTAATTGCCAGATGTAACTTCCCTGTGCGATGGAAACCACACCGTGCTTGAACAACTTGGACTGATCATTATCTCATGCTCGATATCATCTCTTCATCATGCCAGTGACATTAGTTGTGTACATAGCGCAGGAGAGCTCAGTCTGCCGCGCTTCTCCAACAGTCACCATCGTAACTAATCGAAGTCAAAATAATGGTCGTGATTACAGCTATAATCCTCATCTTCAAATGTCACCGAGCGACCAGTCAGAATCTGACTCTACAACTTATTCTGTCCCCTGGACCATCCATCCAAGGTTCTCTATTGTGCTTCTGATATAAGCACTTGGATGCCCCTCGTACATGACGATAACAATCTCTCGGAGGGACAAAATGGCTCGAAGGTGAGAATCGACAAGCGCTAACGCCTCAACAACAAAACTCGGATTGTCAAGTTCAGCGAGCCAGCGTGTCGTTGAATATGAGCGGGAAATAGTGGTTGCTAGTGTGCGCAGGTTGGTACTGTCGCTTTGGATCCTCGCGAGGAAGCGAATGCTCCTCTCATCGAGTGCGACATTATGTTGATCAAGATCGTATAGATCAGGGAAATCGGTAGTGATATGCCGGATCTAGCTTGTATTGGTGCGGCCAATTTGATCAAAGAAAGCCACAAGCTGAAACCCGTTCGCGGTGAAGCAATTGTGGGCGTAGAGCAATGAGACGGCTTCGCGATAGATCGTCTTCTTCGCACGAAGGAGCTCCGGGGTCAGCGGTCGGTATGGTCGTCAGCATCGGTGGGCACAGGTCCAGGGATCGATAACGTCTCGGTCGATCAAAACTAGCATATATATTTTGTTGCGTAGTTCACCGGGGAGACAGAAGAAGTTGAAAGGCATATCAGTGGTCGTGAGGTTGATGCTTCATGAGATTCAGTCAACGCTGCTTCACAAGGCTGGATTGTCGAAATGTCGATATTGAGGATCGAGATGCGTTAACACAATGTTAGTTAGGTACGGAACCAGCAAAAGCTTTGTAGAGGTGCTGGAGGCACCAGCGGCCTAGCCACCTCACATCTTTCTTGGGAAGGTACTGGATGCTCTCGTCGCTATCCAGTTGATTCCTGATACCCACTGCACCTTCGTGCGAGGACTCTGCTGCACTCTGTGGCGGGTCGTGGCACACACTTTACCTCGACTGCTGCTTCTTCCCAAGCTGAAGGGAATACAATGGGCTTCCCCATCTCGATAGCCTGAGGTTTGGATTCTCAGACATAGACATCTTCCCGACTAGCTTGTCTTACACCGAAGGGGTTCAGACTCAACCCAAGTGAAACCATCAGGATTAGCTTCGCATCTAAGAAGAGGCTGCTGGTTCCGTCGCTTTTTACGGTTAAAGGGGCAAGGCAGCGTGGCCGTCTTCTCCAGCACCCTTTTCCATGTCGGCCTTTTCTTATCTTGACTTTCACCTACTATGTGCCGTTTTGAGGGCTCATAGTGTAAACCCTGTTAGGTAGAGTTAAGTACTTCATCTCAGGAGAACTGGCTAGTGACATTGGGATCACAAATACGCCACCTCAGAACCGTCGGTTCCGTCGTACCGCGGCTGGGAGTGGTATGTGCAAAGTCGTACTTGGCAACTTGAAGTTCTGTTGAATTCGCGTTGGAGAACCTGGGTACAGAACAACCTCACCACGGTGTTCTCTCGATCTTATGGATGTCTGGGCAACTGTATTGTGCGGACAGGACACTTATATGGGATGATCAATCTCGAAGTTCACCCATCTCATGAGATGTACCATAGCGGTGTTCTTCGTGAGGATGGACTCCATGCCAAAATCTGCGGCGGGAAGGCCTATCCGTACATATGTTAATCCAACTTGATCTGTTTAGGGTTGGTAACGTGTCTCTACTCCTCATTTTGAAAAGGCACAATAGTCGTGTGGCTAGGCTGTCAAGAGAGTGCTGGGTACTTGCAGTATTCGAGAGGAGAGTCTGGAAGAAAGGGTTCTTCAATATTTGACAGTTCGAGAACCTGGCTGGATAAAGTGAATGTCAATTTGGATAGGTTTGATGAAGTAGGAATGATGCCACCTATTTGCGATCTCGACTCGTATTTTAAAGTTGGCAGAGATACCTGTGGATGAACAGCAACGGAATCGAGCGGGGTGTTTTTAAGATAGATCACCGAATATCCATACCAGCCCCCTCTAAGAAAGGTTGGAAACCCAACGCGAAACCCAGAAACCTTGCCTCCACTGTTCAGGCCACTAAACAATACAAGACAGCTTGAATTGTAAGACCAACCGAGTTGTAATTACATGATCCCTCTTCAACAATGACGACGTTGAGCGGACTCTCTCGAATTCCCCGTGGACAAGGTTCGTCTCGCCATGCTCTCTGTTCGTCACGGAGTAGGAGAAATGGCCCCCGTCTAACATTGGCCACAGAGAAGCTTTCACAGGTGACATCTATAGTCGAGCAGTTGCAGAAGGATATTACGGAGAAGGCCTTCTCTATTTCTGGTATGTGACACTGCGACAAACGACTTCAAAGAGGATTGAGGTTGACATAACCTTAGAACAAACCAAGCTGCTAGAAGAGCTCAAGATCCTTGGAAGAGATCCTCAGAATGCGGATCCTATCTTCACGAAAGATGTAAGAGAGCCGATTATTCGGAGTCTCGCTGGGTGTTAACAGCGTCTTGAAGGGTATAACCCTGTTGGCAGCATATGGCTTCGAACGGAAGAACCAAGAGGCATTACGTTGTCTGGCAAATGCCATGTTCCTCAAACCCCAAGCCCGAAAGCTATTCCTAGACAAAGGCCTTGCCCCAACAGCGATAGGTCTCTTGAAGGTATGCTTCCTAGATGTGAGCCAAGGCTTCCCGATCCGTGGACTGACGTTTGTAGAGTCGTGACTTTGATGATCAGTTCCTCATTTCGAGGATCCTGTTCCTATTGACCTATGAATCGAAGACAGATTTCACGAGTTTGGACAAGGATGGGATACTCTCAGATGCCATTCCCACCGTACGTATGCACATATATTTCCAAACCCGGAATTCTACTAATGCGCTGAGTTGATAGGATCTGCGGCAGCATGCGCAAAGATACGCCGAGGTTGGCAGACAACCGTCCGATACGGCAATCGAAGAGATGGCGCTCTGCGAACTCCTAAAACTAACATTTAATCTCACCCACTTCCACCCCAGTTTCGTCCCGTCGTTATCGTCATCAATTCCTGACCTTTTCGACATCCTCAGATCCTTGCAGGGCTTGGATCCTCCGATGAAGCCTCCTGCAAATCTCGCTGTCAATGCCTTGTTGAATCTTGTAGGTGAGGGCAATGAAGATCAGAACAGCATTATCTTCCCAGAGGACTCTCCCTCGTTGAATTCTTCGACTCTGTTAGACCTGTTACAGCAGGTCACGGGTCCGCAGGATGCGAGCGGACTTGAAGATGTACTTCCATCACTTCTCACACTCCTTCGAAAGATCTACAAAATAGCCCCCGAATCTGTGAAACAGGATTTTCACACCTGGCTGCTCCCATCCGACTCCGAGAGAGATCAACCACTGGGAAGATCTGGCAGCCTGCCAGCCCGCCTGCTCCAACTATCCGCATCATCTCTTTCAGAGCAGACGCGGTTATCCATCTCCGCCATGCTCTTTGAGCTATCTGGAGAAGACGCTAGCCGGTTCATCAAGAACATTGGCTACGGCTATGCTGCTGGGTTCTTGCTGGCGCAGAAAATAGACGTCCCCGCGGAATTACTGGAGGCATCGGAGACCGAGGACGGCGATTCTGTGCCGATTAATCCAATCACGGGGCAACGGTTGGATGCGGAACCGGCGGTGGCGGGCCCGCCGATGACAGACGAAGAGAAGGAAAGAGAAGCCGAGCGACTCTTTGTGCTCTTCGAAAGGTATGGATTGGTGTCACTCGGGTATGCGTATAGACTAACAAATGTTCTAGGCTGAGGCAGACGGGTGTGGTCGATGTGAGGAATCCGGTAGCGCAAGCGCTGGAGGAGGGCCGGTTTGAGGAATTAGAGTGATGGTTTACCACAAAAACGGTAATATCAAAGGAAATGCTGGGGCTAGTGCAAAACGCCAATATCCAGGAGTTCGGCAGATGAGACGGGTCTATCTCAAGGAGCATAGGGCTGAGGAGTTGAGTGGCGCCTTCGGGAAATGAGTTTGAATATCCTAGGCAATGAGATGATACACGATGCATGTTATTCATTATGCTATGTCTATTTGATGCGGATCAATCATCCCCCATAGCAATAATGTGTACGTTGAGGTTCTACCATAGTAAGAAGCTAATAGAATCTGGTAGTTAACCTGGGATGATATTGCCAAGAAATTGGTGATAGGGACAGTAAACATCTCGGTATCGGACATCAAGGTTCATCTAGCACCATTGCAACAAAACGATACAAACTCCTATGTACATATTATTCCTTGCTGTTACTTAATTCCCAAAGTCACTAAAGCGCATATATCCGTCTCCTTTCTCTATGGACAGATGAGCCTCCGCGAGGGTGGAGAAACGTCCTGCAACAGGTTGCAGCGACGGAAACGTGATGTGAGCATGTATGAACACCTTAACACACATATCCTGATTGCTAACAATTGTTCCTATCGCCTTAGAGCCTTGAGTTGTGCCCGATACGATTTCACATTTCGCTCGAACTCCCTCGTTTACCGTCGGATATAAAAGGTACACCTCCGTCATGCCCGCCTTCAACCAGTTAGACCCTACGAAACACACCAGAGCTATGGACAATCTAACTTTCGGGCAGTGTGTCAGGGAGGTGGTGGCTAGGAGGGAGGAAATTAGGGAAACCTGTGAACGGCATAGGGGTCGCGTCCAGAGACTCGGCCAGTTGATGCTCGATACCCACGAGGAAATCCGTATAGCAGAAACCCGAAATCTTATTTTCACGAAGAACCACAGGCAGCCGGATATGGCTCCCACTCAGCCTTCTATGTCGGAGGATGAGGACCCGGAAATTGAAGCGGAATATGAACGGTGTTCGCGACAATCTGCGATCATCAACACCCAAGGGTTCCCCGACAAACTTGTGAAGCTGCTACAGGATTCGGAGAAGGCAGAACGATATCAAAAGGCTCTGTGGAAGCCTAATGAGGAGCGAAGTCAAGTTCTACAATACCTGGTCCGAAGGTAAACCGGTTTGCGTTGCTTGTCTCCAACTCCCGCTGACGGTCGTGTAGATACATTTGGCAGATTCGATACGGCTGTCGCAACAAGCAATGCAAGAACCCACACTGCTTCTCCTCAAACCGACCTACTCCCACCGAACCCCCCATCCGGCGACCTACTTTCTACACTGCACGCATGATGGCGTATACCCTTGCTACTCGAGATAGACCGCTGGACGATCTATGCGGGGACCCTCCCTCAATCCAGGTCAAGGACTTGACGAAGGACTTCAACATCGACCCCGCCGATATGGACGCTTTCTTACACGAATGGTTTCGACTGCCCTGGTCAGCTCCATCTGCAGCAGAATCAGAACAGCGGCCCTTCGAGGTGCAGATGAACAAGTTCCACCCGGTAATTGATGGCCAGGATCTCAAGACGGCGACCCAAAATCATCCCGAGATGCTTTATTTCGGATCGTCCAAACCGCGGCAGACAAGAATGATGTTCAAAGCGTACATCGAACGCATTTGCCAAGATCGGAGGGATCGAAAGTCTCTTGTACAGAATCTTCTGGGATCTTGTACTAGCCGAGCGTTCGAAGTATTGGACCCTTCTTTCACCCATCTGGACGGATTCAGCACGCCGTGTTTTATTCCCCCCCACTCTGATCAACAGGCTGAACCAGCACCGCGAATCGAATCACCAGCGTCGGTAGAAACGGGAAAGACGGAGCCAGACCCACAACCGCAGAAACTCGAGCGTCGGACGAGCCTCCCTCTTGAAGGCCATGTAGCACCTAAATTGCGACCACCTCCAGGCCTGGAGAAGTTACCTAAGAAGCAGGACAAGGAGTCTTCTCGTCGAGGTAAAGAGAGACGGAAATCGAGTCATGGGAGTCAAGTTGTTCCAACGACGATTCCAACGGATGATGCGCCGATTGAAGGTCTTACAGAAACGAGCAAAGCGATCTCTCCCACCCATGCTTTGTCCGATTCGCCCTTGAAGCATAAAAGCATCCGAACGGAGGAACACCCTCGAAATAAATCGCAATGGAACGGGCCACCAGAAGGCGCCGAAGCTTTGGCAGAGGCATCATCAAGCAGATCCAAAAATCCTGCTCACCCACACCCTCTTGGCTCGGACCCCAAATCATCGAAGAGTATTTTAAGGAATGCTCCCGGATTGATTGTCTTTACTGGACCGTCCCTGGTCGCCGTCCGAGACGAGCTACTTAAGGCGGACTACAACGACTTTCTCATGCTTCCCGCTCAGAGTCTCGAGGAGGGTCTGGAGCCGTACTGGTTTCGGTTCCCGAACCCAACCAGGAAACCAGAAATGGCTCTTAACACCGTCAACCATGCACTACAGGCGTCTCTGAGTTCTTGGCCCACCTTGCTCAAATGCTTCCGCGAAAGTCCCGGTGTAGACTCGGTCTATAAGACGCCAAATAAATGTTCCCTGAGTTACTTCAGAGCCGTCGAGAAAGCCAACTGCTTCTCCATGTGGCCCTCACTCAATGGATCTCTCATCTTGGACTCCCTCTGGCATCCTCTTCGGGCGTTATATAACCCTCCTTCCGAGTTGTCAGCGCAAGGCCAACGTAGCCCAAAATTGCGAGCTCAGAGTAGAAGCTCTTCGTTTTCGGCTCAGCCATCACCACAAACGGCGACAAGACCACCACGTTCAAACGTTCCGTCTGGGCGGTATCTTACAGACGAGGAGGCCGCACATATCATCATGGTCTGCCTACAGGCAATGTTTGGGCGCGGTGGCATCATGCAGACGTGGCTCGGAAACAAATATTTCTACGAGGGACGGGCTCTGGGAAGAACTTATGCTGTCGACTCCGTGCAGGGTAAATCGCCCGATATAGGCTATATTGATGAAATCGACCATGAGCCCACGAGAAGGTTGTTCCGTGCGGTTGTTCGGGCACTTGGCGTTAGGCGTTGCTTTGACGAGATTGCAAAGACGACGGGCAAGTCCGAGGCAACCCCTGCCCGATCACCAAATCCCCTTGAGATTGAAGAGGAAGTGCACAGCCATTGCAAAGTTTTGAAGCTCATACTTGAGTACTTCGTCGTCGGAAAAAAAGACCTCCGCAAGATTCCTTGCCAGGACGGGGTGCTTTTGGTGGCGAAGGCCAGCCCATCGGCCAGAAGACATATTGCTTACGTCTATACATTCATCGACATGCTGCAGTCGATCATCTTGTATGAATGGGACGGAAAAGCCGAACTTCATCGATGGTCGCCGGTTGGCGCGGCTATTGACATTCTCGCGGACATTTACAAAGACCGCGATCTCTGGGGCATCCCAGCGGAACGGTTTGCGATGCAGTATATCCCCAATCGCCTTGATCCCATCTCAACACCTCTCTCCTACATTTCCTGGAACCGCACACCCAATACCTCGCATCTCCTTTCGTTTCCGTTCCTCTTCCCTAAACCTATCATCACGGCTTACTTCCGCACTGTCACCTTTTCCAGTCTCTCTAATGCCTATAACGCCGCCACATACACAAAAAACCTCTTCGAGAAATGGGGCCACGAAGTATCCCACGAATCCGACTTTCCTGATGCGCACGAAAATCGTCAAGACTATCTCGAAAGCCGCATGAGTCGAGCGATGACTCGGATGCTCTACCTCGACTGCAAGCGAGGAACCGTCCTCCAGGACGCATTCACCCAGCTCTGGGGCCGCGAATTGCGGGAGCTGAAACGACCGTTAAAAGTGCAGCTCGGTTTCGGTGAAGGCGAAGAGGGCCTCGATCATGGTGGCGTCAGTCAGGAGTTCTTTGGTGTCGTCTTCGGCCCCGCATTCGTTGAGGATGCCGGTCTCTTCGTGACCGATAAACGATCACAGATGACCTACTTCCGGCCACTGTCGCCTGCTTCTCTGGACCATTTCGAATTGGTCGGGCTCCTCGTCGGTCTCGCTCTGTACAATGGCTGCACGATTCCCATCAATTTCCCGCAGGCGGTATATAGAAAACTCCTCGGACAGCCGGTTGACCGCATTGAACATATCAAAGATGGATGGCAAGAGTTGGCTCAGGGTTTCGAGCAGCTTCTCTTGTGGGGCAGCCGCCCCGGTCAGGAGGAGGATGTCAGCGAAGTGTTCATGCGGGAGTATATATACACCTTTGACTGCATTTCGGGTCCGGTCGACGTCGACATGAATGCAATTGACAGAGACAAAGTTTGGCCTGATCTACTGAAAGAAGCGACTGAGAGTGTAGCGATCATGGTCGATAACTCCAACCGCAAGCGGTACGTACAGGATTACATTTACTGGATGATCCACAAGAGCGTGGAACCGGCGTACGAGGCTTTTGAGGACGGATTCTACACCGTCATCGACAGACGCGCGGTTTCGGTAAGTCGACCTTCTACCCCCCGCAGTCTTGTTGAATGCAGCTGACCTCCTTGCAGATGCTCTCTCCAGAACACCTGGCCGTCCTGATGGCAGGCCACTCCAACCTGTCGGCAATCGGCCTCTACCGCGCCGCCACCTACGAAGAGGGCTACTCCCGCTACCACCAAACGATCCTCGACTTCTGGCAGATCGTGATGGCCTTTGACGAGAAGAAGCTGCGACGGCTGCTGGAGTTCGTCACCGCGTGCGACCGCGTGCCGGTGAACGGCATCGAAGACGTGGCATTTTGCATTGTCCGGAACGGAAGCGACTCGGACCGCATCCCGCAGAGCATGACGTGCTATGGGAAGTTGTTGCTGCCGCAGTATGACTCGAAGGCGAAGTTGAACGAGAAGTTGAACGTGGCGTTGGAGAATAGTCTTGGGTTTGGTGCGGCGTAATGGAAACAATTCCTGTGGGCAGTTATGGTAAGGATGATTATGATGTGTTTCATTGTTACTTGTTACGATCACGGTAGAGTACAGTAGACGATCTGGTATGCAGCGAATTGTGTCAACCTCATCTCAGTGGTTTTGTTAGGTATTGGGATATGCCTACAGAGGCTGGACTGGAGTTTTCAAAAATGATATATCCACAATTAGACTCAAGGGTCAACAGTTAGATGTACAAGTGATCATTTTTAAACTACCTATCTTATATCCCTGATTTGCTCTCATGCCCGTTTCTTTTGGATTTTCTCTTTTGTTTTGACGTGCAATGCGCACACTTCTACCGTTACTGATTTTTGGGAGATTTTCTGTTTCATTTTGATGGACTCATGCCAACCACCGGGGTACTGATTTTTTGGGATTTTCTCTTTTCTAGTATGATGTGGATTCGACCCTGGGGTTCCCATTCCGACTGCTCTACTCGTTTGGTTGTAGGCCAAACAGAATCAGGAAAGAGAACATCGAAGTTGGAGTCAAGCTGCCGTCCATTGCAGCTGCCCAAGTATGAAGGTGTGCTAGGATCAGGGTATTGAACAGGCCCAAGAGTGACACTTGCCGTCCGCGGCATGGATATTACATACCCGAAGACTCCAGCAACACAGAAAAGTGGGAAGTAGAGAGGAAACACTTGAGTAGAGAAGCGGATGAAGCGGTCGGGCATGAGGCATATTTTTGGGGGGGTTTTCTCATATGCTGTTATCGCCATCATATGAGGAACAGGTGGATTATCCTGTACTGGAAAGGTTGTTTTGGAGGATTTTGGACGTGTCGGAAAAGTATGGGGAATCTGCTCACGCTTTGGATGAAGGCTTGCATAACAGCTTCCCACGCCACTGCAGTAGGATTGTGAGCAAGCTTTGTGCCAAGCAACCAATCTCTGAATGGAGCTGGTAAATTTGGTTGGATTTTGGGATATCCTCTTTTGGTTTTGATGCGCCGAAAACAATGAGCCTTTCGGCCAGTGTTTTGGAGGCAGTTTTCTATGTTTGTGAAGGAATTCGAGTATTGGCAGGCTATACCCTCGGGAAGGCCGAAAACAACGGGATTGATGTTGAATTCTCTGCCTGCACGTTGGGCTCCCGATTTGTTTTGATGCTGGTTCGTTGTCCTTGGGTCTCGTTAGGTAATGTGGTCTGGAATATCTTGGAGTGAGACTGAATGCCTTGGCTGGGGGTTACCTGCATTCTAGCAACCCGCGTTTCTTCTTCGTCTGAATATGACCCATCGTCGAGCCCGCCGAGACTCCCAATCAGTCATCGTGTGAGCTCACTTCTACCCGGTCAGATCCACGAGATCGATGAGGAGCAGGGCCCTTCACTCGAGAAGGAATACATCGAGCCTTCTAGTGCTTCACTTGTTGTATGAGATGCCATTTCAGCCTCGTCGACACCGCCCACACCGTCGTGAATATTCTCATGTCCCCGACGGAAATGATTGATGTGGAGCACCGGCGGTGTCTCTGGCGACCACGGGGCCGTGAAACGTGCAAGTGCCGCAGGGCTGAGCCAAGAATGATCAGCTGGCGAGGGGGTAGACTGAGTGCTGAGAGCCGCTTTGTCGTCCTCGTCATCGGAGTTGCTTGGATGTTTTCCATCCCGAGCACGACTTGTCCCATGGCTGACCTGGCTCTCCGTGACCACCGAATCTCCGTTACCGAACTCCCCCACACCCAATTCGAAACGCCGAAGCGCCGCGGGGCTGAGGCCGACAGAACCCACCCGCCGTGACGGACAAGGTCGAGGAGACACCAAGTTGGCTTCCCAGCCGTGAGTCCGCTCAACTACCGATTCGATTGTTGCCATGCCATCGTTAACATCTTGGTCTGTTTGAAAATTACCTGTGGCGGCAGCATCTCGGTTCAGCAACATCTGGGTGAGAAATGATACGGTTCCTCGAACGCTTTGGTTATCCTTCATGAGCGCCTCAACGGTTTTGTTGTGATGGGCAATGATTTCGCTGAGCAGGGCAACGGATTCCTTGAGCTGGGTAATGAGAGTTTCCATTCCGATGGGTCCATCGGTCGTTTGTTCAAATGGGTCATCAAGGTTTCCTGATCGCGGTCGAAGCCGGAGTTCTCTACCTTTGGGGACGTTCCGAAGGAATTCTTGCTGGGTGCGAAGAGAAGTTTGACGAGGATCCGATCCGGCCAAGGCCAGGCCGAGAGCTAAACAGTTAGTCAGCTAAGTTATTACCATCAGGCTGGAGAAGTCACATACAGTTAGATGAATTGGTCGCACCCAAGTTCTCGCTGTTACGTCCCTTGGGAGTGGGCGATGATTGAAGCGATTGACCAATCAGGTTCTGGAGGCCTTCACGGAAGCCAGCGGAGTGCTGAAGATTGGAACTGGTCTGACGACAAGTTAGATAGAGTGTTAATTATCTGTGCTGTTGCATGCGATGACATACCTGCACAGCCGTGGAGACTTGGTGCCTATCATGCACAGCCGGTGCATTGGATGGCGCCACGGTAAACACCGCTGGCAGCTTCTTGCCCGTCTCCGTAACTTGGTTCGGAGACCGGGCACGCGGCCTGCGTCCACCCATTCTGAGAGTCGAATGCCGCGCCGAAGCTACTAGCCTATTTGTGGCGCTCCAAGGCTATCTCCAGACAATGAGGCGCAGGACACTGGGCGTGCAAGTCAAAATGGCAGAACGGTGAACGAGAGGGACGATGATTGAGAGAGTTTGAGTGCACGGAGACAGTGAGGGAACTGATGTTGGATGCCTGTTGCAAGATCAGTATTGGTGACGCGAGAGGATAGGAGCGGGGAGAGATTAACCTGACAATTCGCACTGTGTTATTTGTTTTGATTATTGAGTCAATTTTGGATACAGTGAATGTTTGTGTGAGTGGCCCATACGTCCTCTCTAGGCAACGATCGAGTCCTGAGAAGTGAGTGTGAAACCAGGCACGGTTGGAACGCTCGCAGTTCCCAACAGACTTTGGCGCAAACTAGAAGAGGTGTGTAGAAGAGACTGTGGGAGTCAACAGGTCAGATGAATGAACGAATTCTTAGACTGGAAGGACTTCCTGCCTAAGAAATGGGCGTGATGAACGTGGCTCTTGAGTCGAGAGGTTGGGGTAGACCTGCCGGGACGCCGGACATCGACAAGGATATTGATGCGGAATGAAAAAGGGAGTAGCGCTAGTTGGGAAATCCTCAGGACAGAAGTTTTAGTGTTTTTTAGATATTTTTGTGTTTTGAAGCTAAGTGTGGGAAGGAAGAAAGAAAGTGCAAGGAGGAAGGACGAAGGGAGATCTAAACAATAGAAGGTAGGCGGGTCCATAGCAACAATCATCATCGTCAACATGGATTCCACCATCATCCACCAGATTCGGTGAATGAGACCGTGGTGGAAGCGGTGAATTCACCAATTCACTGCTCTGGTCCCCCATATCTTAACACGATTGTCATCTCGGGGGGAGGGTCCTTCCTATATGCCATTTTGTTCTCCAAGATGAATCATCATGAGAGTCATGTCGGAGCCTAGCTTTGAGACAACTGATCACTGATGGCTGCAGCCTCGTCTTTTGGGTCAAACTTATTGCTTCATCATGAGTGGCCCATGAAATATCAAGGCAACGGTGAGTGGGTTGCCCTGTAAGATTTGTCCAAGCTGACATCTGGAGCAGCTCCTCTGAATCACTGCTGAATCAGGTATGCCGAGATTGTATGCTCATCACACATGTAGATTGAGCACACGGCAGCCTGTAGGGCACAAGAACTAGGACTGATGCTTTTCAGTCATCTGGAGTTATATCCAACTGACATGCAGACCTCAGGACTAGGGGCTTGACAGCGACTCATATCCCACTCATCGTGGCTTGTCCCTCCGCAGCGAAGAAGGCAGGCAGCTGCGGAGTCGGGAATTCCTTATTTCGGGAAGTCAAGCACATCGATCCTCCTTTTTCAATGACTAGATAACCGAGTATCGTACTGAGCCGTGGGCGAAAATGATCCGACATCCAGTCATGTACCCTTGAGACCAAAGCAATGATTGTCCACTGCTTCATGTTGCGGTTTGCTCCTCTCCGACAAAAACCGCCAAGCCCGCAAAGGCATCCGTCAGAGCTCTTGAACAGTACTCAGAAATGTCATATCCCCCAGCACGGTACGTCTGACTCGTTCGCGCCGTATCGAGGAAATCCCAAGCATAATGGCCCTTGAGCACGAAATATTCATGCTCGACAGTAACCTCACCGAAAGGCTCAAACGGCTTCTCCGGCTCGGGCCGGGCACGTCTTCGTAGGCCTTTAAACTGCAACCCAGTACCCGCCGAATCGCTGGTGTCCATCTCGTCGCCCGTCCCAACTCTCCGCGCCGTGCTCTTCTTGAGAAGCGTCCGCCGTCCTTGCCGCGCTATCTCGTCCGCGTTGCCTTCGCCTCTCGCAAGCTGGTTGATCACGTCAAGTCGGCCCTCCGCCCGTTCCCGCCGCTCTTCCTCGGCTTCGCGCAAGGCAGCCTCGCGTCGTAGCCGAGCATGTTCTTTCTCTGCGGCTTCCTGTGCTTGAAGCGACTGGGTCTCCTGAGACGCGAGGACTTCGTTCTCGCGGATGGCAGCTTTGTTCGCTTCCTCGTAGGCTTTCAGCTTCTTCTCGGTGGCGTCGACGTCAATCTTATGGATTAGATTGAAGGTGAGGTCCTCGACTTCGTTGAGGTAGTTGTTGTAGTCCAGCAACGAATCGAACTCGTCTTCTCGGCGGTTGAAGACCTTGGCGACGCGTTTGCGGACGTCGACCTCCCGCTCAATCTGGATGTCTTCGAATGTCTGCGGTCGGAATCGCTGCCTCCGAAGCGTGCGGTTGCAGCCAGCGACGGGGCAGACGCGTGGACCAGAGCTGAAGAGGCGGTCGACGCAGGATTCGCACATTTTGTGATAGCATTCCGGGTTCACTAGGAACCGCATGTTCCGGTTGAGGTACCGAGATGATTTGCAGACAGGACATTGGTCTACATAACATTTAGCTTGAGATATATGAATGAGACTTCTTGGACACTCACCCTCATCTGATATCTCCTTCGGTGCCCCATTTTTCAGAGACAACCGGGACATCTTGCACAGAAGGATAAATCACTTCCCGCTGCGTAATTTCGGCGTCAGGGAAGGTCGTAGGAGTTCTGAATCTGGAGACATTAAGAACGGTAGGAGGAGTGTCATGGACCTTACGATGATGTTCAGTTGGATGTCAAGATGTGGCGTTCACTTCTGATAGCGGGAAGAATAATCAGATCTAATTGGACGAGGGGACGGGAGGTGTGGCGCAATCTAGAGCAGGGGTCCGCTTGCTAATTCAGCCCTATGAAATCTGGGACATTTCTGAGTTCTGACTTCAAATCAAATTCCGCTCTTCCACTCTCTAACATTTATTTCCTACCGATTCCTCCACATATGGTGATCACCATGGAAAATAATGTGGACGCTGCCAGTAGTAGGCTACTCGACGATCTGCACTTCCAGAAACAAAGGCTCGACGATTTGCTCTCGAAGTTGAGAACCAGCCTGAAATATTGGCAGACGTGCGAGCTCGAGTATGAAAAGCTGAAGGAGGAGATTTTGCACTCAGGAGAGGAAGTGTCGTCAGAGAAGATTATTGAATCATGGATGTTATATGACAAACGGGTCATCCAGGCATCAGAAGTCAAAGAAATCTTTAGGCATGACAAGGGCCTCGATCGATCATCAGCACAAGTAGCCGATGTAGTGTCGAGAAGGGTTGACTATGTTCAACAAAATATCCGATCCATACAGAAGCAGATTCATGTCGGCGAAAAGGCCTTGGAAAAGGTTGACAACGCGCTGAATCCCCTATTTAATGAGGCGGAACCGAATGTCTTGCCACTTGCGGAAATCCGGGAAGAACTTGATGAGGATGGCAACGTCATCTGTATGTTTCTGCGTAACTCTACTTGATGTCTTAAATTAACTGTGTGCAGCAAGCCACGTATCACAGCCGGCTACAGAAGCCGATGGAATCCAGGCCATGCTTGAGAAAGCGGGTATATCGCTTCCAGAAAAGAGCACGAGCGATGATTTCGCTGCCGCTAGGAAAGAATCATCAAAAGCTCAAGTACAACCTGCGCCTGACATCACCTCTCCGAGTGATGTGCGGGCGAGCAGCACCACCAAAATCGCCCAGCAGAATCCGAGTAACTCGGATGGTCATGAAGACCATCGACCTCCTTCAGATTCAACTTCGCAACCAGCACTGCCGAAGGCTGAGCAACCAAGCTCAATGCCTATGTCCAGCGACATGAGAACCATAGAATTAGGCACCGCTGCTGATTCCGGACCCGGGCTTGTTAAAGGCTCATTTTATTCGGGCACAGATGTGATCGAGCTCAATGAAAATGAGGAGATCATCGGGCGGACACCGCTCGTGCCCGAGAACGAGGCTCCCGAGGATGCAAGCCTGCGTCGCGAGATGCTCGAATACGGGTTGAACGGCATGGGTCCTGTCGTCGCGGAGATGGACATCGAAGAAGATTCCGACATGGAGTTCGACGAAGTGGACGAGGAATTTGAGGATGACACGGGGTCAGAGGAGAACGGATATGGCATGAGCACCAATTTCCAGATCACGGATGAGTATCGTCAGCAGATGATGGAGCTGCAGAGGCGTCTGAATGCCAGCTTTTCCGACGACCTGGGAGACGGGCGCGAGGACATTCCCCGTACTTTTCCGACACGTCCAAAATCCGCCACAGCAACCCTTCCAGCACCGGATAACTCACCGATTCCTAACGGCAAGGCCAAAGTTGCAACCCCGACGTCAGCCCTCAAAAGCGACAAGACCACCCCGAAGAAGGGGGTCAGGTTTGCCACCGACTTGGATGTGGCGGAAGAATCTGTATCCCATATATCCAAACCGGATACCGCGAGACCGGAACCACAACCACGAGAGAAAGGACCAGCTCCGTCTCCGCTTGCAGACGTGGTTGAGAGTGCCAAACGTCCTTCCGCTCCTTCGCCTCCAGATACACTAGCCAAGAGCACAAAGCGGGTTAGCCGCTTTAAGGCCGCAAGAACACACGGGCCGACCTTCTAGTCCTGGAATCTAGAATCGATCAAGTTTGTTCCTCTATAACAGATGCCTGTGACATGCTGTTGTGAAGTCCCCCATCAAGCCACTTACAAGTATGCCAACAGATCGCAAGATAAATGGTCAACAAGACCATATATCGAAGTTAGTTATATGCTCTAACTACTGCTAGCATGTTCTCAAACCGTGTCAACGCTCGCAACGACAGATGGCAACCAACCCTTCATTCGAGGGTCTGGGATATGCACGTCAATGCGTGTTCCATCGCTATCACCCCGATATTGATGAATGGGCACTCCGACGCGCCGCCTTTTGGCAAGCTTCACAGGCGTCGCGATTTGTTTTGTCCACAACGTTTCACTCCACGACTGGGCATGATACATAGCGAGATGTTATCACATTTGCTAGGACTTTGGCTAGGCAGGTCGGGCAGTTCTGCTTAAGGTGGTCCTGTTGTACTGGTACACTATCACACAAAAACAGCTTTGTACAGGAGTTGACTAGAAATGTCGGATCGGGCGTTTCTATCGTGTTTAGGTCGCTTTACATAAGTTAGGATACCTTCGACAGTCCCTAGTTGCCTTGATGACCTTCAGTTACAGGTAACTCTTCTGGCGACAGACTTGGTAGCACCGTAGGATCATTCCTAGTTTAATGAATTATTTATAGTTATTGGATTATTTAACTTAGTTAATGATAGTTAACTATGGATTGGAAAGAATAACTAGTTATCAATTCGGATTCTGATTCTGATTCTGATTCAAATTGAGTCCTTAGGCACCAAGCTTTTGATGCCTGACGATTATTTTGTTTGAACGACGTCTTCGAAGGTTGAGACTCGAGACCTCAAGTCTTCCTCTAGCAGTCTATTTGACAATTCAACGCGTTTCTGCTCGACATTATCCACTCGTTAAAGACTCAATGCAACGATGCCTTGGGTTCCATAACGCATTCTCGCTTTTGGCGCGTACGTGCCTGCGATCGACTCCTCTCCCGAAATTTCTCTCGCCCGGTTCTCTCCCGTCTATCCGCATCTCGCGCCCTGTCCGACGACACTATGCCCCCCCAGCAGCTAAACCGCCTTCGGAGCTCGAGAAACGCATAGCCGCCATTCCGATCTCTCGCTTCCGCAACTTCTGCATCGTTGCGCACGTCGATCATGGCAAGAGCACACTTTCCGACCGGCTGCTCGAGCTCACGGGGACAATCGATGCTTCGGCGGGGAACAAGCAGATCCTGGATCGGCTGGACGTGGAAAGAGAGCGTGGGATAACGGTCAAGGCGCAGACATGTAGCATGATCTATAACTACAAAGGAGAGGACTACTTGCTGCATCTGGTGGACACGCCGGGACATGTCGACTTTCGCGCAGAAGTTTCGCGCAGCTACGCCAGCTGTGGGGGCGCATTGCTCCTCGTCGATGCAAGCCAGGGCGTGCAGGCGCAGACCGTCGCGAATTTCTACTTGGCGTTTGCGCAGGGGTTGACATTGGTGCCGGTTGTCAATAAGATCGACCTCCCCAGCGCGGACCCGCCACGTGCGCTTGCACAGTTAAAGGAGAAGTTCGAGTTGGATCCCGATAGTGCGATTCTGTGCTCCGCGAAAACGGGACTGAACGTCGAACCGCTACTTCCAGCCGTCATTGAGAACATACCGCCGCCAGTGGGAGACAGCAATAACCATCTGAAGCTCCTTCTGGTGGATTCGTGGTATGACAATTACCGAGGAGTCATCCTGCTTGTCCGCATATTTGAAGGCCAGGTACGGCCGGGAGACTATCTCCACAGTTGCGGAACTGGCAATCGGTACTATGTCGGCGAGGTTGGCATCATGTACCCGATCCAGACGCAGCAGACCGTACTGCGTGCTGGCCAAGTCGGCTACATCTTCTTCAACCCAGGGATGAAGCGGTCTTCAGAAGCGAAGCTTGGTGATACTTTCTGCAAGGTCGGCACAGAAAATCTTGTCGAACCATTCCCTGGGTTCGAAGATCCGAAATCCATGGTTTTCGTCTCTGCGTTCCCCGTGGAGCAAGATGAGTATCCTCGCCTTGACGACAGTATCAATCAACTGGTCTTAAATGACCGCAGCATTACTGTCCAAAAGGAGTCTTCGCACGCTTTAGGAGCGGGGTGGCGTTTAGGTTTTCTAGGGACACTGCACGCTTCAGTGTTCGAAGACCGCCTTCGACACGAACATGGTGGTAGCCTCATCATCACTCCACCTGCTGTGCCTTTCAAGGTGATATGGCGCGATGGCACTGAGAAGGTTTATTCAAGTCCAAAAGACTTTCCGGATGGAGATGCCGAATCCCGCAAGGTGGACGAATTACAAGAACCATGTGTGCGCGTCACGATTACTGTACCGCAAGAGTACCTTGGAAGCGTTATCGAACTGTGTGAGGGCAATCGAGGCACACAAGAGGATATGCACTTCTGGTCCGCCACCCAGGTTATCCTCACATATGTCCTCCCTCTCTCCGAACTAGTTGATGACTTCTTCGGCAAACTCAAGTCGCTCACCCAAGGGTACGCATCCCTCGACTACGAAGACGCCGGATGGCGCAAGTCCTCCATCGTCAAGCTTCAGCTGCTTGTAAGCAGAGAGCCAGTCGACGCCATCGCTCGCGTGATCCACAACTCCGACGCGCCGCGGATGGCCAAGCGGTGGGTATCGAAATTCAAGGAGAACGTCGACCGGCAGAACTTCGAAGTCATCATCCAAGCTGCGGTGGGGAAGAAGGTGCTCGCGCGGGAGACGATCAAGCCGTTCAGGAAGGACGTGCTGGCAAAGCTCCATGCGTCGGATGTCACGCGCAGGAAGAAGCTGTTGGAGAAGCAGAAGGAGGGGAAGAAGAGGATGAAGGCGGTAGGGAATGTTGTTATTGAGCATAGCAGTTTTCAGAAGTTCTTGGCTAAGTAGTCACCCCGTCGCCCTATAGGTAGATAGTCCAGGCTATTTCAATTAGTACTCATGTTCATATGTCGTCCTTGCGTAGTCAACTTAGCGCCCGGAGTCCTCTGGTGGTTGGTTGCTGTCAGTTTCGCCGAGAGTCTGAATTCATTTATATGGAGTCAATGTCTGCACTTGCTTGCGTGCTGGCTTCCTTCATCAATCCCTTTATATCCATCGATTGCACTTCTATCTTACGAACCGCTGAACGCTTTCCCAGGACATGGTCACTGCTGATTCTAGGTACTTTTGAGTTGTCAAATATTCTGTGTGTTTAGCAAACCTCTGATACGGCATCCAACCACAGCACTGATTTCACTGACATTGCGGGTACAGTTTGTTTGCGGGTTTGGCCAACTAGCCTACTGCTCATTAGGGAGCGTCCAGTTCCCCTGTGGCATACGTTATTACTGCTGCTTAATCTAGGCTGTAGTTCTGCTGTTTGCCTCTGTTGGGTGAATATGGAAACTTCGCACAACATGTAAGGATCCTCCAGGCTCTTCTGGAGAATTATTTAAGCCGATTGTCCATCTGGACCAGAAGCGGTTCGATCACACTCCTACAACCAAGGCGATCGCATCGCCCTAACATATGCGATCCTTTGAGGACGATCCGTCGATGACTAGAGCTAACGCATGCAGTATGGCTGTCCCATCTGGAATCGGAGACGGGACGTATCAGCACAGCGCCCCGCGCGCCCCCCACCTTTTTCCAGTTCATGAACGCAGAACTGCAATTTCATGCTTAATTGAGCTCTCCGAGTTCTCGGTGACAGAAAAATCGTACGATTGTGTCCCGGAAGACTGCTGTAGTCGCGTCAGAACGTGGGAGTTGGGTTCGCTTCATGGACGAGACGGCACCTTCATACATATTGTGCCTTCAAATTGCACCATCGGATCCAAGCTTCGCCATAATCTCGCATAAATCAACTAGGAACGGCGGTTAGGCTGACTTGGGGAAGCAGGAGGAAAGAAGAAGGGAAGAAGAGGGGGCTGGTGGCAGCGGTATTAAGCTCCCGCCGCTCCTTATCACTTTCTGTACAGGCAGGCGGCCAACAATCATACTCTCTCGCGTTCGCACGCATGATCTTCAGAATCAGACGATTCCAATATCGAGACTGAAATCCCTTAGAACGTGCACATAGTAGACACAGAACACGATCGCCGAGATGGGCACCGGGGTGACTGGATCGAGCCAAAATCAGACGCACCTGGGCGCCACATCCGCTAATTGCTAGAAAGACCTCCCCCCGGCTTGCAAAGCAACAGCGCGTACCATGTCCTACAAACCAATCCGCCCTCGACACCCGCTCCGCCGTCTCTACAAGAAAAAGAGGTTGACCTAGCGATGGAAGCCATACGGTTTCCGACCATAGAATACAAGCTGTTTCACTATAGTGATCCATCTCCATGGTTCTCCAAAATAGCACTGTGACACGCTCATCAGGTCCACCATCACTGTTTTGGCACGAAAAGGCCCCTGTCTGGCTCACACTTGGTGCCATGCTCCGGAAGCGTACCGTTGACGAAGTATCTCGCGATATGCTGCGATGTGCAGGTTGGTGGCTGCGAAAGGGACAAGTGCTGGAAATGTTATTAGAATCAGGGTCATCTAGGCAGGTCAAACCAAAGAGTAGAACTTACGCCATATCCGTTATACTATAGCAACACACTGCCCTCCAATCCGGCGCTCACATTCTTCGCTGACACCAACGGCGTGACCGGATCCCAAGTATTCCCGATGATCAAAACTGGTTGGCTTGTCTTGGCCGTGAAGTTGCCATCGTACCGCTCTTTCGCCGTAAACGGCCACTGCGCGCACGCCGCGATGTTGGTGGTCGGGACATCGCCGAATGCCTTCGAAACCTCTAGTGAGCGCTGCGGCGCCTGGTGCCCCTGTTCGACGTCGTCGGTGCGCACAATCTTGTCACCACAGCGGATGCCTATCATGGACTGGCGCCGGATGCTGCCGCCGTTGACGTTGGAGAGGCCGGTGCGTGATCTGTAGTTCGCGGCGATGAGGGACTTCTAGTCGTTGGCGTAGATCCCGGCAAGGATGATGGCGAGCGCGGGGTACTTTGTAGGGTAGTAGAGGGAGCTGATGATGTTGGCCTTGACGAAGGCGTAGGTGATGATGTTGCGCCCCGCGGGAAGGGGGTTCACTGCGAGGTTCGAGAGCATATCGTTGAGCTTCTTCTCCAGGCCTTCAGGAGATTTGGCGAGAGGCGCGAGCGCGCAGGTGTCGGGATGCTTCATGCACGCGCGAAGGAACTCGCGCCATACCTTGTCCGTGGCTGCGTACTGCTGTGATTCCTTGAGCGTGTAGTAGTATTCGAGGGGGTTGAGGACGCCGTCCAATATCACGCGATTCACACGGTCCGGGAACATATTCACCGCCGTATTACCCAAGAGCATACCATATGACACGTCCCAGTAGTTCAACTTATCCCCTTCTCCCAGGTTATCCAGGATCGAAAACATTTCGCGGATGGTGAACGAGGTGCCAATGTAGTCGCCCCAGTCGCTACGGGTTTCCTTACATGTGTTCCCACGAACGGCACCCTCCGCCCAGGCGCGGCTGAATGCCTGACCCGATCCACCGATGTCGTCGGTGAGCGTCACCAACGAAAGCTCGCTGTCGGTGTCGTTGGCGTAGCAGTCAAAGAAGAGGGTTTCGCCGGTCCCTCGGGGGTCCCAGCTAATGAGGTCGTGCTGACCACCCGTCATGCTGAATAACGTCACTACCACTGAAAGGTGTGAGGAGCAAGTGACGAGTTGACATACGGTTGCACTGTGCTAGCAGAGGCAGCCATGTTGGCGATGCCATCACCACCCGGACCACCCCCTTTGTGCCATGTCCTAGTTCAGTTGTAGATCATCACATCCGTTGATCCTCATCAACAACGGGGCCCACGGGAAGTCAACAGAACAGGGAGATGAGGAATCAGGAATTGTGTAGAGAAGTACCTAGTTAGCTAAGAGCTACGCCACATGGTACACCTGTTCCTCTAGGGAATTGAAATTTGTAGCCCGCAGGTCGCAGGCTACCCTTTCATAACCTTGACGATGTTATCAGTTTTTCCGAGATATTGCGGTTCCTAATTAATGTGCTCACCTCTATGGATCTCCATATCTTGGGCCTTCCTGACCAAAAGGACCGAACGCTTCGCGAAGGAGCTCGACAAAGCACCACTTTTGCGCTCAGTGCAGCCGGAGTGGGAGTCGAAGCCTCGAAGGGTAAACTCGGAAAACCGGGCAGAATGACGACGTTCGGTTGATCCATCCGGATGCACTGTCGATCACCAACTTAGCCGTTCCTGATCAGGTAAAATGGAGCGCATTGGCGAATGAGCGTGTTCCTATAGGCAATAAAGGACCTGCATCGATTTCTCTCAAAACAATCAAGGTGTCCTGTTGGGCCGGTACCTCGTGTTCTCACCATTTTACCGGCGGTGGACATCCGGACTACGTGAGAGCTACCTTACGGAGCTACTGAGCGGTTGAGATTTGAGGATAGACTAAAGCGGGCAGGGCACGCAAAAGACCAGACCAGCTTGCATCTAATTCAAGAAACAGAGAACGGTGTAGCATGGCGGAACCTTACGTGTCAACTGTCCAAGTACTAAACTATGTTGATCATCTGATTATGTACTGCTTACAACGTATCCATACTGTAGTCGTTGGAAGAGGTACCATTCATTCTCAAGATCCTGAGCCTTGAGATCGCCGTCAAGCTCGGCCTCTGGATCTCTGCAATGGAAGGATTCTAAACCTCGTAATTATCATACTGTAGTACAACCCTAGTTAGTGCCACCAGAACCTCAGTACTCCCTGCAGTCAACGAATCGTACTTGACCAAGTGCGTTTCCAGGGTTTGTTTATTATTAGAGTAAACCATCACGGAGCTAAAGCCATTCCGCCGGGTTCTGATCTGCAAGACTGCAACTGGCCATAAACTGCCAAGGATCTATCTCATTGGAAATGCGCAGGGTAACACCAGAAACGGTATTAGTGACGGAAGAGGCTGACGCCCATACAACAGGGACTTCCCATAGGGCTGAGGTGGAATGCTGCGGTGGAATCACCATGCGCCATCCCATCACGTCGATCATGGCAAATTGTCAACACCTCCATCAATTATCCGTCTGGAAGCAACACCACAAGGCAACGGCAGCGGCACCGTTGCGCTGGCTATAGAATTGGAGGACCACCCCCTATTTCCCGCCGATTGCCCTGTCGGGTCTTGGCACATAATAGGCAAAGGACTGAGATCCCGTAATATCGAGTTTACTGGCCCGAGAAGGGCTCGCGCATATCCAGCTCGGTATATAGAGTATACGGCGCGAACCTAGTCTATACCGACCCCTTTTTCCTGCGTGACTAGTTATTATAGTCCGTAATAGCAAGCACTAGAAATTCTGCATCATAATACGCACAGGAAGATAAGGAGATCAGCAACCGAACAAACGCGTCGCGACGCGTCAAGAGTGCACACACCAGCAATAGTCGAGCATCAGGAACCTACACAGCTAGTGGCCATCGTCTCACCGAAACCCTACACTACCGTATACAACACAGGAATCTGTGCAATAGAAAGGATCACCAGGAATTCCCCGCCCCCTTTCCCGAGGGCGCCTCCAGGAAGAAGGGGCACAGTAACACCGACAACCCCAGAACCACCAAGCACAGGATCGATGAAGAAATTAGATGAAAAGACTTGTATTGACTAATTCTGAGATGTAGAAGACATATGATTCCTTTTATGGTAGGAATTGTTACGTTAACACATTTTCCTGTGTTCTCTTCCTTATCACTTCCAGTCATCCTCTTTTCCAACAATCGACCCCCATGCCACTAGGAGTCACAACAAGAGCAGGAATGATAGCCCAAGGGATGGCAAAGGCCAGAGCCCAGGAACTAAACAAACGACTGCAGCAAGAGATGGCGACTAGCCAAAAGAAGGACCACGGCTCGAGTGACGCGATTACCAAGATGTTCCGAGACGGCATCGCCGCACTAGAAGTGTCTAGACTCTAGAACAAGGAATCAAAGCACAGACATTGGAACTGAAAACTGAGAACGAAAGCCTGAAGAGCGAACAAAAATGTATGACCAACAAATTCGAGAGCGCCACGAACAAACTTGAGGAGACTAAGAACAAATTCCAGGATATGGAGAAGTCGATCGAGACTATGAGACAAACCCTAGAGAGAGTTGAACAAACGGTGGCTAGCCGACCCAGTATAGCTAGTCCCTTAGGAAGCGCGCGAACGGGATCATACGCCGCAATTACCGCGGCAGGATCGAACAGCCTGACAGCCCCTTCACCGACAATGCTCTCACCATCGATCGCCATTATTATGGCTTCTACTACTCTATGGTCTCAATCCTCCGATCCGACGCTATGCCCGAGTAAGAGCAGCGTCACTCTAGAGCAGAACCTAGAGGAACAGAGACGTCCAGCAAACTGACTATCTTATCCCCCTACTATAGTTAACTATAATAATTTCCTATGTTAACTTAGAAGCAGATAACTAGTTATAAAAGTTAAAGAAGGAAGATAGGAAAATGGGGGCACAAGGCCACAAGGCACCAACGCATGTAATTAGTCAGCCTAGGTAGTTCCACACTTCCACACGTGGGCGTATGAATCTCTCTCATTCTTATGAACAAAATCTTATAGTTACATCTCTTCTCTCGGAACAAGTACTGCTACCTAAGTCCTAAGTTCTCACTTGTCCTTGAAATGACTACGCGTCTGCTACTTACACATCTATCGTGTATGTTGCAATGCTCTCAAGCATTGTCCGTTCCCAAGGTTTCCGTTTCGGTGGCCACTTCACCCTCTTCTCCGCCCGAACATAGAGGTTGTTAGGCCGAATCAACTGGAACATGGGATCATACTCGATCGGTCCATCGACCTCCCGAGTAAATTTATACCGATAGATCAACTTCGGAATGAAAACCTTGATCTCCTGTAGGGCAGAATTGAACCCAATGTACATACGCGGGCCCGTAGCGAATGGGATATACACTGCCTTGTGTCTGCCCTTGACCTCCTCGGTGTCCCAGCGGTCAGGGTTGAACTGATGAGGATTATCCCACAGATTAGGGCTGTTGTGGATGTGGTGTAGCGCCGGGATAACAATTGAGTCCTTAGGGATCTTGTACCCCCCGGAAGCACAAGGTCAACCTTGGCGGTTCGTCCCGGTTGGAAACTTGGGTTGTGGCGACGCTGGGTCTCCTTGATATACTTATCGAGAAAACTGAGTCGGTCGATGACATCTGCTGTGATTTCGGTATTCTCATCAATGTCGTTATCGATCAGTTCTTGGAGTAGCTTCTCTTGCATCCCCCGGGTACGTGACAAGACCATATATGAGCCAGGAAAGCAGGGAACTGGTGGTTGTAAAGCCGGCTCCGGTTGCGACTATGAGAGCCCAGATCAAGCTTGATTTAGGTAGCTTTTCGCCTTTGTTGTCGGTTCCACGGATGGCATAGTCCAAGCGTTCATTAGCATACAAGCGGAGAGGGTTAGGTTCTGCATGATGTTTACTCACCGACCATATTGGACTCAGCAACCGACACACTACACGATTGGCAGTTACCAGACTCGTCATGTCAACACGCCGCTACCGATCGGCTGCTGCTTGTCAAAATTGCCGGCAGCGCAAAATCCGCTGTAGCATGACAGTGACCGGTATCCCGTGTATAGGCTGTACGCAAGATGGCAGAGAATGTAACCTTCAGCCGACAAAAACCCAAATGTGAGGGTTTCTTCCGGACTGATAAATGCTCATTGTTGACAGAGACAGAATACGCGAGAGACATACACGTCAAACTGCATCAACTATTAGCAGCCCGGCTAACACAAATTCCAATGGGGCAATCCCCCGGTCTTCGGTTCCACTTGATGCATTTCCAAATGCATCCCTTTCGCATAATGTAGATCGCCCTGAGCTGGCTGGCATGAGAAGTGTCTCTAATCCCCCAGATTATTCTCAGCGTCGAGACGAAGAGCAGACTGGAGTCGAAATTGCCACCAAAGTCCTTGGGAGAAACAACAAAACTGGCCAAGCGCCATTCTATACTGGTCTGTAGTCACCGCGCGAGTGTTTTCATGTGAAGCTGACCCAAGATTATAGGCGATTCGCCTGGGTTTGGTGTTGTATTTGATATATTCTCGCCTTCGCAGCAGCCTTTACCAAGGCATATCCTGCTCACTTCCAAAACATCGGTCTCGCTATCTCCCGAGGATAAAGAATATCTGCAGTACAAGGGAGTCTTCAATATGCCCCGAAAAGAAACCTGCGATGAACTTCTGCGGGCATACTTTCATCATGTGCATCTCATTATGCCACTGATTGACGCTGCTACGCTGCCACATCTTTATCCCAGTGGAGACGGCCAACAATACAATTTGATACTACTGTGGAGCATTTTCTTTGTAGCGGCGAATGTGAAGCCTAACTCCTCCCCCGTTTGAATCCGCAATCTAGCTAACGCGCGTATAGCATGTTTCGGTTGATACTTGGAAATCAGAAGGCTTTTCATCCAGGAAAGAGATGAAGGACTCCATGTACTCTCGCGCAAAGGTAAGTGATCCAGCATTTAATTAATAACTCACACTCGGCCTGGCTAATGGCTCGATCTCAGTGCCTACACCATAATGGAGGTGAAACAGACCAGACGGTCCTCCTTCAATCAACACTCCTCTTGGGATTTTACCACTCAGAAGCTGATACGCACATACAACCATGGCATTGGCTAGGTATTGCCATCAGTCTTTGCCAAGCAATAGGTCTTCATCGTTGCTCCGCTGCAGTCTGCGCCAGTTCACCTATCTCTGGACAACAACAGCGTCTTTGGCGCCGTCTTTGGTGGATCTGCTTCTTTCGAGACCGTTGGCTAAGTCTCACAATGGGGCGTCCATTGAGAATCAACGTGAATGACTGTAATACCGTGATGCCATCTGCAGATGATATGTTGAGTGATTTTTCCGGATTGCCTGAATCAATATCGGCAGCATATATCCCGAAGGACCTGCCGCAGCTGGCGGAATATTGGGTGACAATGATCCAACTCACTCAGCTTTTGGGAGACACTCTCACTTTGAGCTACCAACCCTTTGGAACCAGTTCGTCCTTCCAGCAGGTCGAAACCCTTGAGCAAAGCATTTTGCGCTTTCAACTCCCGAAAAATCAGGATACAGGACAAAGTCCACTTGCAGCCTTTTAGTTGTATCACTTGCAGCTTCATTACTAGTGAGTGTCGACGCTATATTTTTTGATAACTACTTCTAACGGGCCAAAAGAGCATTCATTATCACCTTTTACCGTCCTTTCATTACAAAGACACCGGAAGGGCTGCCCGTATCTCGCCAGAACACATGGCAAACTCACGTCCGAAGCCAAATCGTCATGGCTGCGATACAGACCAATGCCGTCCTCGACAGCCTAGTACGCGAGAAGCTGCTGGGGTTCTCGGGTCCTATGACGTGAATACGCAACTCACTTATGAATAATATCATATCTGACAATCAATGCAGGCCACCGCTGTTAGTCCCAGTAATGCACGTCCACCTCCTCAACTGCAAATCTCCCGACCCCCTTTCCCGACGCCTGGGCCTCAACAAAATAGAGCTATGCATGATGGCTTTGGAACAGATGCAACACACTCACCCCTCCTCATCAGTCTTCAGAGGTATCTTCCTAGAAGCTATCCGTCACAATTTTCCAAGCTATGTGACCCAATCAACTATCCCTGAGCTGGCTATGTCTGAGTCTTCTCCATTGCAGGATGTCTCGGCAGATGACCCCATGGCAGGAATAACAATCGGCAAGGATACCATTGAGTCGCTGATGGATGAGGTATCGATTTTCAATATCTGGGAGTCACTTAACAGCATGCAAACATAGGCTTCTGAAACTAGATATTAAATCGCCACCCCATCCAGACGTGGAGGCTCTCGAACTGGAACCAAGGGGACCCAGAGACGAACAGAATCCAACATAAGAGCCGGAATTCCTAGCCAAATCTGTGACAGTAGACCGAACACAGATGCTAGGCCTGCTCCCGATACGCTCGCTTTTTCCCTTGCGTCGGTCGTTCGCGCCGTCTTCCTTCCCCCCGGCCTCGACTCCGGCTTCTGACCCTGCTGGAGATGTCCTGGTTGCCACTGATGCTTCAGAATCGGAGACGGTTTCTCTCGCGCGTGAGATGTGGTTGTGCGGTGTGCCTGTTGCCTGTCGCTGGGTGGTGTCTGTTCGTGTTCTCTGTGGTGCGCTCTGTCGGTGGTACCCGTTCGATTCTACAAGAGTCTAGGCAAAATATTAACGGCGTTGGGTATTTATATCGAAGGCCATACGCCATTCGGTCCGGATTCTATACGCTCACCAACACTCACCCACTGCGATCCATGCTACTGCTACTGCCTGTCTCCTGTCTCCTGCCCATCTTCATCCAGAAGATATTCCACAATAGATATCTAGTTGTATTTCAAACCGATCGCGATGCTCTTAGTTGCTTTCACTCATCCTTCATGCCCTCATACTGGATCTGCTTATGGCATAAATAATCAGAGACCATCCCATTAGGACAGGGTTAGAACGCTTCCAGCCTGATCTCACATCAGTCTCCGGAAATTTTGCCCTAGTCTCCGACGCGGCCTACTTTAGTGGTTGGACACATTGGGGCCGTTATTATCGATTTCGAAAACGAGGGTGGTTCTGCTTGTTGTTAGAGGAGAGCTGGTTCGGCATTTGCAGGTTTCGGGCTGTAGCGATTGGGTTCGTCTGGGTTGCAAGTTCGGCTTTGTGCCTCTATAGCACAACTCTTCAACCCTCTTCTGTTATGCAACTCTGCAGCACCAAAATCCATGTCCCAGCATTCCTAGAAGTCGGATAGAACAGAGAGTGAAGTCACGGTTAACAGATTGCACATTCTGTCTACCAAAGTTCATTCGAGTAGCCCGACGATTTAGCTATCGGTGAGTTAATGTCGAACTTCCAACGGCGCACATCAGTCACCACAACCCTGAACAACAAGAGACACAGGGAGAGCTATGCAAATGATATCTGCAGGAATGGAATAAACATCACTTTGTACAATAGCATCTAGGCTAGTTTCCAAATCTACGTTATCGTAACAAAACTTTATGCAGCAATATATATATCTCACAACATTGCCACACCGACCCAAAACCCAAGAAACCCCAGCGCCAAACCCACGGTCCGCCTCCCATCTCGATCGAGGGAGGCGGCGCTGCCCTTCTTTGTCTCCTGCGGCCCTCCAGGCCCAGTGGTGGCAGGGAACAACGTACTCGTCGTTCTCCCCACCACCAGCCCCGTCGCTCCAGGTGCGAGACTGATGACCGTCCCGCCCCCGAGCGTAATAACGCCGCCAGGAGTGAGCACCTGCCCGTCAATCGTATACGTCGTCCCGGCATTCGCCGTGTACGTCTTCCCGCCGATTGTCAGCACCGGCGGCGCGGTGATGAGCCCACCCGGCACGCTAACCGGGCCGGTCGGCTTCGGAAGGAAAGTGGTGATGCCGTTGACCACGAGCGCGCCGGCGTCGGGGGCGAGCGAGACGACGGCGCCGCCCGGGAGGGTGATTTGTGAGCCGGGGCGGAGGGTGGCGGTGCCGATGACGTAAGAGAGGCCAAGCTGGCCAGGGGCGTTGGGGAGTGGGCCGATTTGAGGAGCGTAGACGGTGCCGGAGATGGTGAGGAGGGGGGCCATGGCGGCGGCGGTGGGGTTCGCGGCGGCGGGAGCGGGGGTCAGGGTCGCGCCGTTGACTATTACGGTGCCGCCGGTGGGGTAGAGGGAGATGGTGGTGCCGGCGATGATGCCGGAGCCGCCAGGGCGGATGGTGGTACCGGCAATGACGTAGGTACCGGAGGGATCGGGGGCATAGAGTTGGCCGCCGATGTTTAGGATGGGACCTGCTGGGGGTTGCGGAGGGGAGATGTATTGAGTGATGGGTCCCGTGGGCCCGTTAAGAGTGACAAGGGCGGTCGCGCCGGGGTCGAGGCTATAGGTGGTCCCCGAGAGGACAGCAATGCCACCGGGAGTGAGGACTTCGGAATCGGTGAGGTAGTATTGTGTTGCGGCGTTGCCAACGACGGTGTTCGTGCCGAGGGTGAGGACGGGCGGCGCTACAGTATGGGCACCAGCAGGCGCCGGACCAGGGCCGATATATCCCTCGGCAGGATTTCCTCCAGATCCGCCATCGGCCCCAGGAATGATGGCCATACCAAACCCGCCCGGTACTCCACCGTCACCAGCTTGTTCTCCAGCCGAGCCTGAATAGGGTATAAATGGTCCAGCGGCACCACCTCCTTGTGATCCTCCGCCCGCTCCAGGGAGATTGATTCCAAAACCCCCTCCTCCTTGGGGGGCACCATTACCTCCCGACCCACCTAGGGGGTAGAACTCACCACCTTGGTTCGATCCACCGGCAGCGACGCCTCCTCCAGAATTCCCTCCATCTCCCCATCCGCTCCCACCTCCGCTGCCACTTCCGCCTCCGCCTCCGCCTCCGCTTCCGCCATTGGAACCCCCACCGGATCCCTGGCCGCCGGATCCGCCATTCTGCCCACCACCACCACCATTCGATCCGCCATTGTTGATAATGCCCGGAATGTTGTTGATGATGCTGATCATGTTGCCAAGACCATCACCCGGCGTATGAGCCGGAAGAGGGGGGATCTACACCGAAAAGAAATAAAACGTTAGCCGGTCATTCTCCATAGCAAGCGCGTGGGATAAGTCGACGGTAAAATCAGCAGGAACTTTCGCGACCAGGGAGGCAATCCATGCAATCAAAATGGGGCTCACGAACTGGACCGTCTGTCGGGACGGATGTCGGGCTTGGACTGTCTGGTAGGGTCTGTTCGGTGTGTATCCGCCCGTCCGAGCGGCCAGGTCCATCCAGTGTCTCGACTGGCTGCTCTGAGTGGGCGACGAGCGGCGTGAACATGCCTTCGCCCTCGTTGGTTAGGTCGGTGACGGTCTGTTCGGTGTGGGCGCCGAAGGCAGCGAAGGCGTCGTCGGTAGAGTTTCCAGTGGCGTTTCTAGATGGTACGGTGGGCGGAGAGGGCGCTGTTAGCTCGGCGCCATTGCCGGTGGGCAAAGGTGGCGTATCCGTAACGGTTTTCGTATCTTCATGTGTGGCCGTGGTGGCCGCAGGGTCCTCCTCTTGTTGCTCCCCTAAATCTCTGGCATCTCCCACAACATTTGCACTGGTCGCCTCGACGCCCGCAATCGGACGCATGGATGTATTCAAATTGAACCCAAAACCACTTACCGTCGGCAAATTTGGAAAATCCGGCTTGATATCTGTCGGTTTATCCAAGCTCGTCACCGTCTCCTCCGTATGCATCCCGAACCGTCCCGTATAATCCATCATGAAAATTTCAACCCTCACCACCATAATCACGGTCGGAACCGCGAACCAGTATCCCGCCGTGCACGGCCCGAACTCCGGACGCGTCATCCAGGTGTTTGAGACCTGCCCTAGGGCGAAGGGGATGCCCAAGAGGTCTGGCCCATCGTAGTCGAAGACGATCGGCGTCTGGAAGGGGACCGTGGTGGTGGTTTCCAAGCACGTCGTTAGGTAGCGGGATTTGTAAAGGGAGCTGTGAACAATTTCATATTCGGAGAAAAAGACTATGTTCTGGGGCTCGGTGCTAGACCATATCAGCAAGCGAACGCGGGTAATAATGCAGGACGTACATGAAGGTGACGGGATCTCCATTGCGGGCTGTAATTGGGATTTTGGCAATGGGTTGCGAAATGAGGACTTGTTCGGTAAAGTTACTGTAGGCCATGGTTGTAACTTCGGGGATGGGGTTGTATCCTGCAAGAGAAACGAGGGTGGTTGACGGGGCTGCATTTGTAGGAGTGACCAAGTCCCAGTCGATATAGGTTTTGTTTGGTACGAAGACATCCGTAATCTGGAACACTCGAAGCTTTGCGCTCTGTGCCTCGGCTGTGATATTAAAAGGTTTGACATTCTTCATCGGAGTGATCATTGCAGCGATGGAACCGTTCGGCAAGAAGGTTGAACTGACGTATAGCGAGGCATGATAGTAGTTGTCATAGAACCACCAAAACTGGATTTGGTTAGTGAAATATCAAAGTGAAAATAATGACACGGTCATACCACGCTAGCACTTTCGACATTGACTCTGCAACCGCCACAGGAAGGCGTGGGGAACGTGCCGAACGTGCTATTGGCGCCTCTGGTAATTGTTGCATTTGTACCGATCGTCCGGTTGCGAGATGAGCTGGGTAGATGATCCGTGTATCCCGTGCCATAGACGATGGAGTACGAACTGTTCGGTGGGAGTCCGGGAGCAGCGAAGGGAAGCTTATGTGTCGGTGGCTTCTTGCGGTGGATACTGCTTGTCTTGACGCCACTAGAGATAACGCGTTGAGACCCAGTACGAAGCGATCCCGTAGGCAGTGGCAATGGTGTATGCGAAGCGTCGGTGGTCAAGAGAGAGCCAGACGGCTGAGGGGGGATGCGGCTTTGGTTCGGTACCGTAGGCTTTGTGGTTAGGAGAAGGCCGGGGTTCGAGAATGAAAGGGGAGGAAGGTCGGCCACGGAAGGTTCAACAGCGGGGGCAATAGGGAGTGATTTAGATGGTTGAGGATCTGGCGTGCGAATGGTAGAGATGATCGATATAGAAGGGAGTTCGACATCAGGAGTAGTAGGGAGTGGTTTAGTCCGTTCAGGCTCCGGTTTGCGGGTGGTAGAGATGTTTGAGTTAACTAATCGCATTAGCAAGCGGCCTTCCGATGTGAAGTTCAACCTTCAAAATATGCCCGGATAAAAGGACATACCGACGCTCTCTTGTCTTCTTCCGTTCCGTCGAATAACTCTGTCATTAGCTGTAGTACCGGGGACCGCTAGGGATAGCACATAAAACACGACAATGAGCCCGTTGAGCAACATAGCGCCGTGTTACTGCTCATCTGAGAATGAAGCAGCAGCGAATATCGTGAGGACATTGGCGCAGGCGACTACATGCTACCGGAGCAGGATGGCAGGTGACAGGCAAGCAAGCGCACGCCATTATAAAAGACGGAATTGAATCGAGCCCCAAAAGGAGGGAAGAATATGAAGCGAAAGTCTTGGGTCAAGGAAACAAATGTGCAGACAATATGGAAGCCAGCCACCAAAGTGCGCAGGTCATCAAGACGAGACGGTGGGAATAGATGAAATTGATATTGAGTGCGTCCGGGGTATGAGAGGGGTAGGTACAACGCGCCATGTCCATCAACTGCGATTCGAAGACGCCAAACCGCTGAAACCGTACCTGTATGAGGACTATCATTTCCGGAATGATCTATCAGGCACCGTATGTCCATGAAAAAGCACAGATAGATGCGTCGGAGAATATCTGCACTCCTAACGTCGATCTGGGGGATGTAGCGCGACCGCAGCATGAGGTTTCTCGCGATGCAGGGGAATTTACGGATACTGGATCGGACCAGTCAAGGTGCAGCATCGCCGGCCTCGGGTGTTGACCAGGCACTCAAAAGTGTGGCCACCCTTGCACGCATCTGCCAGCTCGTCATGGTGCCAAGGGAGATGTAGATGAAGCGAGTAAAGAACAGGACAAGCAGGATTCGCCAGGGTATGAATCGATGTCAGATTGTACAGGTACTTGATTGCTCGGGTTGAGTGGTGACAGATGAATGTCGCAGCGTGTACGAGAACTGACCATGACCTAAATTGCGTGAATGAGGATGCAATAACTCAGCTGCCTCATAAGTATACCTTCCCCGGTGCTGGAATATGAAAGACGGAGGATGACGCCAGGCCAATTTCGAAAACTCCCCGATAGAAGGATTGAGATCCTACAAAGAGCCCACATACCAACCTTGACCGATGCCAAGTTCATGGAAAGTTGTAAAGCCAAGGGGATTTGAAAAGATGACTTCCAGCTTCTACCCAATGGAGGCCTGATGTCGTAGTGTTTACCGGTCAGCCGCCAGGCCAAAGAGAGAAACATGTGCTGAATGTAGAGGCAAGATAAAGGGATAAAGTGAAGGTATCTCGAACTCGGTGCACAGTGCACACCATGGCAGTGTTATACTGTTATGAAGCATGGACAGCCCTGCCTGTCAAAGTATCGAAACTGGGTTCGACCAAGATGAAGGACGGCGGTGGAAAGAGGGCTTTTCTGTGTCAAGCTGTGTACTCCTGAGAGATCGCCGCTCGCAAAAGATGCGATTGCGATGGTCGAGGTAGGAATAGTCCAGAAGGAGAATGCATTAACTGAAGCGTCAGTGCCACAGTGCCTTAATAATGCCACTGTGCCTGCGACGTCAATGCCAACCCCCTCATATTTTTCTGTAGACAGTAGCCATCGGAGGATTTTCCGGATCCTGATATCGACACGAGTTTTTCCGCAATCAGCAGATCTTCCCGTCCCTCATGGTCCAGCACTCCGTACACGCGAAAGATTTGTCTCCCCACTCCCCAGGGTCCGAACTACGACGAGGGGTAGGATGCATAAATGGGTGTGGAGATGGATTCGCCAGTCCCTGATACTCCACCCCAGCTGATCCCAGGGGGCTTATTGTGATATGTTAATGAATGTATTTGATATGAAAGATAAGTGTGCCCGATCATCCCTTTTGTTGGACTTGAGAGCAGACAAGTGGAGGACTCATGGAAATGTCAATGGAAGCGATGATTGCATATTATTAGTAGCACCAAGGAGGAACGGTGCAAGATCGATACGCGAATGTTCTGAAAATAGTCACATTGTTCGTCATACCACAGAAGCGATACAACCATTGGGCAAATAATAAGAGAAGATGGACTGGGCAGTGCGAGATGGGGGGGGGAGTATTCGGGGCTGGTAGAGTGCATATTATTACTGCATTGAGGGTGGAGGTGGCAACAAATCCAGTCCGTAAACGACTCTTAGTGTCTCCAACAGACAGCAGTCAGCGCTCAACAGGCCGCCCGTCCCCTTCGCATATTCCCGACTCATATTCCCACCCCATCCTCCACCCCCATTCCCATCCCCATCCCAGCTCCGGCAAGTTCTTACTATCCATCGTATCCTCTCTCTTTCTCCATCTTTTCCCTATCGCATCCACCCGAGACATCTTAGCCCATCTGAAGGCTCGACGTCCATCCGGACTGCCATCCGAGTCACGCTGCGAAAGATCATGTCGCCAACTCCTCCGATCTCTAGAGATCAATTGTGGCTACCCCGTCACTAATCCCTCCAACGGATGGATCTTTGCTGCATCAAAAACCAGAATCAACCGCAGGTGCGACCAAAATGCGGTGGTTCTACCGATTAGCGTTCCGCGTCCCCTCATCACTGCTCATCGCAGTCGTCCTCCAGTCCCTCCTCCCGCTGTCGCTCGCTTCATCGCTGGAAAGAAGAAACTCGACCGTTATTCCCGCCCCGTACTCGTTCACTCCCGCCCAAAATTGGGATGGGAATGATGGGCCATGGAACTCCTACTGGCTGCGCGTTGGATCGCCCTCTCAATATGTTCGCGTCATGATCTCGACCGCCAGCCAACAAACCTGGGTGGTAGCACAGGAAGGGTGTTTATGGGACATTTTCCCGGAATGCGGGGACTGGCGGGGACAGGTGTTCAATTACAGTAAATCAAGCACATGGGACGAAATCGGACAATATTCTCTGTGGATCGAACAGAATTTGGGGTACAATGGAGGAGCCATGTACGGGTATGATACGGTGGCGCTGGGGGTTGATGGGGAGGGGGGACCGGCGATGACGAACCAGACGGTGGGCGTGTTCGCAGGAGAGGACTTTTATATGGGACATTTTGGACTACATCCGAAGCCGACCAACTTTTCGGCGTATGATGATCGAAGTGCGAGTTATATGAGCACGTTGAAAGATCAGGGCGTCATTCCAAGCTTGTCCTATGGCTACACAGGTGGAGCACAATACCGTAAGTGCGGACTAAACCTCTATTCACGGGTCCCGCTGACCGCATGTAGGGTTCCGCAGTGTCCTCTCAAGCCTCACCCTCGGTGGCTACGACACCTCCCGCTTCATCGCCAACCCCCTCTCCATCCCCTTCGCCCCTGACAACGAGCGCGAACTCGTCGTCGCGATTCAGGCCATCTCCATGACTGATAGCACCAACCCCCGGCTCTCCCTCCTCCCGACCCCGATCTACTCCCTCATCGACAGCACCGTGTCGCAAATCTGGCTGCCCCTCTCCGCCTGCCGCATGTTTGAATCGGCATTCGGCCTCACCTACGACAATGCCACCGACCTCTACCTCGTCCCGTCCGAACTCCGCGATAAACTCCTCGCTCAAAACGCAAACATCACCTTCACAGTTGCCGGAGGCAAATCGGGCGGCCCCGCCGTCGATATTGTGTTCCCATACGCCGCTTTTGACAAAACGGCCAAATCACCATACCGGGGCATGACGAGCCAGAGTTACTACTTCCCGCTACGCCGCGCACAGAACGAAACACAGTACACGTTGGGCCGTACATTCCTTCAAGAATCATATCTCATTGTTGATCATGAGCGCATGAACTTCAGCGTCTCCGCAGTCAACTGGACCGACGGCAGTCCCGCTCACCTCGTCCCGATCTTTCCCGACGGATTCGAGCACCCCTCCCCATCTAAATCCTCTTCCCTCACCGGCGGCACCATCGCCGGCATCGCCATCGGCATCACCGCGTTAGTCGGCCTCCTAATCTTCGCCTTCCTCTTCTACCGCCGCCGCCAGCGCGCATCCAAGCACCCCCTCCCGCGCGCCCCCAGCGCCACCCCCACCAAACTCTCCACCACCTCCACCGACAACGACGACCCCCCCGCCACCACCGACCTCGTCATCCCCAAAGCCGAACTCGACGCCACCTCCGCCTCCGCCACCCGGCGCGCCGAAAAATCCCGCGCTGACTTCTACGCCCCGTCCGACCTGCAATCCCCCCGTCCCCACGGCTCCGACCCGCACACCCCCATCTCCGACGGCACCATGTCCGGCGCCGGCACGCTCATCGGCTCGGACGCCGGCATGGTGCTCGTCGAAGCGGACGGTAAGGAGCGCGCCATCTACGAGATGCCCGGCGACCTGCCCACGCTCAACGAGGCCGACGGACGCGGGCTGTCGGAGAAAGAAGCGATGATGGCGCGCGAGCGAGTGTATAACGGCGTGGATCCGAACCCCGCGAGCGCGGAGGGCGACACCGCGACGCTGCGGAGCCCAACGAGTGGGGACGTGAGCCCGACGAGCCCGACGCAGCGGAGCGTGGGGAGCGGGCGGAGCGGGCGGAGTGGGAGGAGTGGGAGGAGTAGGCGGGGAGAGAGGCGGCTGAGGGCCGTAGAGCCGGGGGAGGTGATGCCGGCGCGGCGAGGGACGGAGGGAAATCATGGGCATGCGGGAGGGCAGTCGCCGGTGAGTCCGGTGGATAGTAGCCAGGCGGGGGGGACGCAGGGGAGTCGGACGCAGGGGGAGGGGAGGGAGGAGCTGATGAGTCTGTTGAGTCCGTTGGAGGGGACAATGGGGTTGGGGGGGCTGGGGTTGGGGACGGTGGTGGCGAGGCCGCCGCAGCGGAGGAAGTTTAGTTGGGAGGAGCCGGTAGATGGGGAGGTGGGGAGGGGGAGTGGAGGTGGGGAGACGCGGACGGGAGGGGATGAGGGGGGTTGGATATGACCCCTTTCTTGGATGTTGGGTTGATTTGCGGCGTTCTTTGGGATGGATGACTGGATGACTGGATAGGGATCAAGCGGGTTTGGGTCGATACCGGTCTCTCCTTTGCTTGGACAGGGGATCTGGAAGACCGCTTTGGATTGGTCTTGCCGTGTCCTTGTCCATATTATCTTGCCGATATTATCGTGCCGTGTCCTTGTTGATATATCTCGACATATATGGCTATATATAGCACGTTCTCTCATATTTACTGACGGTGTCAACATCAAAGATTTAATAATGGCATTTGGCTGGCTGTTCCTGACTGCTAAATATTAAGATGCAAAAAGTATGGTAGTTAACATTAACTTAGATGTAAGAATCATATAGTTACCAGCTTACTACCCTGTATGATCATATCAAACCAGATTGATATCTAATCTATTTCTATGGTTCTACCAATAACTATAGATAACTTTTCCAGACGATCCCAAGGTGTTTACGAACATCTACGTCGTGAATCATGACCCTCCTGCTCCCCGACTCTCCTCCTCGACCACTCGATTCTTCTTGGGTTCCCGATAACCATTCGCCTTCGGAGGCATATATTCAACGAGAACTCTCAGCCCAATTACCATTACAAACAGGAAGGCCCAGGCAAAATACCCCCAAAGGATTTGACGCCGCACGCCGAGTGCAAAGATGCTGGAAAACGCGGCCGGGGCAACCGCCCGGATTCCCGCCACTATCATCAAGGCGAGCGCGTTCAGCGTCCCTAAACTCCGCGTGGACGGGGAGATGGAATTCAGTGCGAGCTGGACGCCGGCTAGTACATAGTTAGACACCATCCACGTAACGCAGCAATATCATGCATAAGAAAGGGGAATACATACTAAACGTCATACTAAACCCCGAGCCAATAATCATCACAATAAACACCACGATCCAAAATGCAGTCTCATACCCCATCCGCCGTAACACACTCGCCCCAGGAAACCCCAGATACAGAAACGGCGCCCACGACGAGGCCAGCTTCAGCACGCCGATCGTCCCCAGGCGTCTGTTCAGGGGCGGAAACACGATCAGGATCCACAGCGCCTGGCTGACGCCGCTGACGGCGAGCAGCATGGAGATCTGAACGGGGCGGAACCCGAAGCCGCCGAGGTGAGGCGGGGTGAACCAGAAGACGGGGCAGATGGCGGTGTAGGCGAGGGCGCAGAGCGAGACGAGGGAGTAGACGGAGAGGACGGGGGTCACGCCAGGGAAGCGGAGGATTTGGAGAGTGGTGAGAGTGTCGGGCTGTTGAGGTTCGTTGCTGGCTTGGGATGGCGTGGAGCCATTGGATTGCGCTGGTGCATTTGTGTTGACGGTGGGTTGGGCACTTGAGTTCGTGGACCCGTTCTCTTCAATCAGAGGCTTCTTTTGCCTCGGTGGAAGGGTTTCTTTAACGAACAGCAGCGACGTAAGCGTCGCGGATAATCCGAAAATCCCAGTGAAAATCGTCGGGAGCGCATATGGATACGTCTCGAGGAACGTTCCCCTAAACAGGCTCGGAAACTGATCCGCTGGATTTGCCAATGCCCCACCGATGAGCGGCCCCAGGAAGATGCCTAAATTCCCCGAGAACGCGAACCAACTGAACGCCCTCGCTTGGGTCTTCGGAGTGCTGTTCTCGGTGATCATCGTGCGCACCGTGACGATCGTCCCGGAGAACACTCCCGCGATGCATCGGAAGACGATCATTTGAGTCACGGATTGAGAGAATCCGAAAAGTGAGGCTGCGAGGGACATGCCGAACGCGGCGCAGACAAGAGTCGGTTTGCGGCCCACGCGGTCGGAGAGCCAGCCCCAAAGGAGCATGAAACTCATTTGGGTGAGGGAGAAAAGAGATTCCTATGAGGCGTTAGCCGTTTCGGCTCCGGAAGGTGAAAATCCTTGCGATTTGTGATGGACTGAGCACCGTTGTTTTAGGTACGCATTATGAATACTTCAAACTTACAATCAATCCACTCCAAAAGCCCACGTCTACTTCCCTAACCGTCCCCGTATCGAAGATCATCTGGCTCACGAACGGAAAGATGACGAAGAACGTGAGGGGGTCGATCATCCTCACATAACAGAGGACGATGATCTGCCCGTATGGCAGCGGCGTATCATCCTCATCGTCCTGACCTTGATCCACCGTACGAGCACCAGACTTTGGTTGAAGTTCGCCATGGTCTTCGAAAGCCTCTGCATTGGCTTGAGTCGTAGGTCCTTCTTCCGATGCTGCAAGCAGAGGCGTTACCTCATCTACGGCCGACACTCGACGCCGCTTGGCCGTTGCGTTCTTCGATTGGGAGGCCATTATGAAACTGGTATTTCAATTGAGAAGAAAAACCACGAATCGCTGCTACTTGGACTTCCTCTTGGGAACCAGGCTCCACTCGGAACAATTGAACGTAAAAATCAATTCATCGCCGCGGCAGGATCAATTGCAAGGATTTAACATAGGGAAAAAATCGAGATAGTCTGACTCATTTTGTGTAAACAGTCATTTACTATGTAGGAGGTCTTCTCCCTCAAAAAATACAGGCCTGCCTTTCCCGGTCATAGATTTAATAGAGAATGGGAGATTGCACAATTGCACTACGAGCGTATGCTTCCTGGGGCGTGGTGAGTGGAGGCTTCAGTCGCTGATGCAATAGCTACCACGCTAACCAACTCTGGAAACTCTGCAGCTGCAGGAAACCTCGGCCACTTCCACCAATTGTCGCGTCTGACCTTTCTAGCTCCTCCCTCTTCGATGAGTTCGACGCCGATACATATCATGGGACGGTCCGCTGCGCTGTGATACTGACTAGAATGTACGGAATACTCCATCCTACTTCAACATCTCCTATTCTATTCATCAAACACGAACCTCCATCCATTCCAAAGGATGACAGGAGTTTCACGGGTCCCTCTGACAGATCCAACTACCGGCATCTCGTCCGTCAACAAGGATTGGACGTGTGGCTTGACCAGGCTGTATATTCTCGTGTTGCCCGTGTCTAGCTTGGACCATCTCTCATTGGAATGAAGTTGCGTTATCGATAAGCAAATTTGAGCTTGAGCCGGTCATCCTACATTGGCAGGACTATATTCTCCTTGCTCGTCAACTAGTGTCACCAGTTTCGAAGTCAATGTTTCGTTTTCAAGTCAATCACAGCATACATATGCTTCTTTTTCAAAGTCAAAATTCAGCTATTACGACTCCAGTCCAAGATCTGACTTGTTCGGTTAGGATGCAATATTACCCCTACTGCAGGTATATCGTCAGAAAGCAGTGCTGATTACTGGAAGACGTCTCCCAGTCTTCCGATAACTTTTTCTGTGCGGCGGCATCGAATCTAATTCTATTCGAAAAAGAAGACCGTCTTGCTACCTAGAAATCCTCGACTTGCATTCGCGGAGACTTAGCAGATCTGAATCTTGACCCGTGAGGAGAAATGTCGACCGAGCTAATAAGGTCGGTGGGACAATCATGAGTCTTGCACTGCGATGACCGACAAGAACACATTGGCGCTGCCTGCTGTGCTCTCTAGAGAACTAATCACGCGTGCTACTATCGCTGTGTCTCAGAGTATATCCGTAGATGCAATACATATTAGCCAAACAGGAAATCATAACTATCCAAAGGACGAGTTAAGATATATGTATAACTAAACTACAGCAGTTCAACGTTACTTGTACTTTGCATCGTGTTGGCATGACCGGTGCGTGACGGCAGCATGCGGAGGGGTAAGCACCTAAAACCCCGCTGTATTTTATCTCCGGGCCAATCTCCGAGTCGTGATATAAAAACAATACCTCTCCAGCATTGTATCAATCATTTTGAATATCCAGACTTCGTCAAGATATTGTCCGGTGAAAAGAATCAACATAATCGACGCAAAAGCTAGGTTCCCACCATGTCAAATCCATCCTCTCATCCCGTCTTCGCCCCCGGTTCGACCGCGCTCATCACCGGCGCCGCGTCTGGCATCGGCCTTGCCATCGCCAAGCTCTGCAAGAGCCATGGGATGAATGTCTATCTAATCGACCGGAACGCGGAGCTTCTTGTAAACGCCAAGACGGAACTGACGGGCGGGAACTTTGGGGACCGCTCGGTTATGGTAGCGACATATGATGTGTCGAAACTGAGTGACTGGGATAGCTTGAAGCGGGATGCGGCGGAGTTGTTTGGGAGTATTGAGCTTTTGGTGCTCAACGCCGGAACGGTTGCGAAGGGGGGTTGGGAGGATAATGAGTATTTCTCCAAAGTGAGTTCTCCTAATCGTAGTTTGCCACAACATTTTCGTTCGGTTTTTTTCTTCCTTGGGCGGCAATGGCTGATTGCAGTACCATGGTGGCGTAGATCCTGCAAACTAATCTCTTCGGCGTCATAAACGGGATCAATACCTTCCTCCCTGTCGTGAAGCAGGCGTCAGCGAAGAAGCCAACCGCCATCGTTATCACAGGAAGCAAGCAGGGCATCACCAACCCCCCGGGAAACCCAGCTTACAATGCGTCTAAAGCGGCCGTCAAGTCGCTGGCGGAGCAGCTCGGCTATGATCTACGCGACTCGAAGACAAGCGTCCACCTGCTGGTCCCTGGATGGACGTTCACAGGGCTGGTAAGTTGATTAACCGCCCTTTATCTGAAGAAGACGTGCTTTGCTAACATGAGCTTGCCTCATAGTCTGGTGGTGGTCCAGACAGTACGGTTGAAAAGCCCACAGGGGCATGGCGTCCCGATCAAGTAGCGGACTATATGTTCAAGAAAATGGCGGAGGACAAGTTCTATATCCTTTGTCCTGATGATGATGTCAATGAAGAAACGGACAAAAAGCGGATAGCGTGGAGTGCATGGGATATCATTTCCGGCCGGCCGCCACTGACGAGATGGAGACCGGAATGGAAGAAAGAGGCAGAGGAGTCGATGGCAAAGATGGATTTGTGATTATGGCTTGAAAACTCGTCTGGCTATGGACTCCATGTAAACAGTTGGGAAAACCACAATAGAAACGAGAGAAAGGAAAGAAGTTTTGTGTACAGAATATAGTGCTCTTACTGTTTCATTGAAACGCGGTGGCACTAAGCGCCCTTCCAGGGTGAGATGCGCCATGTTTCATGAGTATCATCCACATCAGCGCGTAGATGTGGAAAAACAATAGAAGCCAGGAACGGCGATACTATAATAGTATTTTTGATTGGTTAAACATTTTCCCTGCAGCCATAGAGCGAATGAGATGAGAGCACTATGGTATCAGTTTAAGGAAGTTTTGGATCCTGAACGTAATATCGCTCCCTTGACCATAATGCCGTAAATTTATAGGGGCGCTAGACACGTTCAAGATGTCAGCGAGGCTGAAACAGAGCGTCTTTTCTAGTCCATGATGCATGTCTTTTCTTATATATTGGGGCTCTCCTAAAATTTCCATGGACTCTAGATAAGCTCACCTCTTCTCAGAGCTATATATCTTCTAGATGGCATGTATCGAGAACACACTGCGAGGTAACCATTATGGCTCTTCCAAAGTGGATTTTGGGAGCCAGAATACATGAACTAACCTTCGCGGTCCTATCAATAATATCAATCCTTCAGACGGTTGCGGCAATACCATTTTCACCCTCGTTCTCCATGCGGCGAGTGCATCCAAGGCTCCTCGAGGCTGGAAGGGTTGCCCAAGTAAGACAACTACATCACAAACCCGTCTTCATCATCTAATGATCCTTAGATCATGCTCTGCTCATCAATCCGATCATCGCCGCCCTGTGTCCAGCTATCTTGTCCATTGTCAACATGCTGCAACTTCAGCGACCGGACGCGGTCGACGCTATTCCCCGGTGACACAACCCCATTCAGCTTTGGGCCGCAGCTGCCACTCAATTGCGGACTGTTCGCATTAGAGGACTGCAATAATGGAAACATATCATCTGAAAACGCTGCGTTAGGGTTCGCGGAGGTTGTGGACTTGGACTTGGGGTGGAAAGGTGGACCGCGGAGCTTTTATTGTGCACCACTGTTCGAACTTGAAGAAAGATGAAGGGGTTAAGGGTGTCTCGAAGCGGCATTTACGCTCAACTTCATCATGTAAACAGGTAGATGTACGAGTACAAAGCGCATAAATAGACTTTTGGAAGGTGGTGAATTATTATGCCATTCTCCAGCCAATAGGCAGCTATCACCGGCTTTTCCAACCCATATCTCAGACAAATGAGATCGCCATATTGATGAATGAAGCAATGAACTCGGTATGATATGCCTCCATACCTCAACGTGATGAATGTAGATGAGGTTGACCATGAGGTCTAATTAGCTTTCCCCCGGAGGCCGGATGTGGATGTGGCCGTCCAATCGGCTCGACGTGGGGGAGTGGAGATATTTACATCCGATCTTCGGTCTTAGTACCATAGTCGTTCTCCAACTTCAACTTCCAACAAATGTAATCGCAGCTATTCCGGACCGAGTAACAGTTTCTTGAATTTGCGACCCACAGTAATAGCTGCAACCGACTGGTTGGTTATCGCATGCGAATATCCATCAAGGAATACTCATATGTTCCTAGATGTCTGACATGCGACCTGTCTCATATTTAACTCTGTATCCGAGCTTATGCTAGGATTTTTCTTTGTTCATGACTTTCAGATTATCTATCAAAGTTGTCATCGTTCGAAATACGCCCTTCTACATCTTGGCCTAACTATGTAGGTGTTCCACCGACGGTTGCCGTGCCGTCGAGCTAGCCGCAGATCCAGCTGCGCCGAATCTTCTGTTCGATGGGTGGGATTACTGAACAGAGGGGAGACCTGTAGAGCCGATACAGAGCACCCTCGGTTGACATATCATGATTCCCGTTTTCGCCTGTTTAGTGTCTTTTCTAGTCAGTTAGCTGCTATTATTGACAGCGTTGTACTCCGTACTTCGAAACGATTGCTTGCGAGTACGGTAAATGCATAACGTTACGCCTCCTCTTTGAAAGTTCATCCGCGGTATTCAGTTCTAGTGCCCTTTTACATTACTTATCAATGGTTTCTCATCCGCTGCATTTAGAGTTGATATAAAATATCCCTCTCCACCTTAGACACCTTATCAAACGGTTTATTTGCTTGAGAAACGAAATCAAACAATCCCTACACTCCATTGCGCATTACATATCAAGCCACAATCTATATTTCCTTGGAAAGATCATCTTAATGCACGACCATCTAGCACTCGAACTCCCCTTATCGGATTCCTCATCGGAAGAAGAAGCATCTCCCCAGGAGGGTAAAGACGTCGAGGCCAATGCCTCTCGGAAGGGGCCGTCTACCCCGACGTTGGAAGCCATACGTCCAATAGGAGAAGCAGATCAAGGAGGACATGATCTCGAAAAGGCGGCAACAACTCGCTCAAACGGCCATGGCCAACCTGTGGCGAGGACAGTAACAGCTCTAGACTGGACAGGACCAGATGATCCCGAAAACCCTCACAACTGGAGTTTACTGCTTCGGTCATACCACGCATTTCCACCGGCATTATTTGCATTTGTGACGTAAGTGTATTCTCGACTTCCATTGGCTTTACCCCCTAACAATTCCTAGAACATTCGGCACATCCGTCTATACTCCTGCCATTGCCGAGATCATCGAGGTCTTCAACATCAGTAGGACCGTCGCAATCTTGCCTCTAACCTTCTATACCCTTGGCCTTGCCTTCGGACCGATGATCTCCGCGCCAATCTCCGAGACGTTTGGGAGGCGGATTGTATATCGTGTAACTCTTCCAGTCTCGATGCTCTTCACTCTGGGAGCCGGTTTCTCACAAACTTTCGTTGCGTTTTGTGTCTGTCGGTTCTTTGCCGGCACTGCAGGGTCTGCTGTGTTGGCTGTTGGAGCAGGTAAGAGGCCAGCACTGAGCGGGAAGATCGACAACTAATTGATATAGGGACCAATGCAGATCTATGGCCTCCGCATATCCGCGCTGTAGCTACGAGTCTCTTTATTACCTGTCCATTCCTAGGACCATCCCTCGGGTACGTTCCTTCAGTACTCTTCTCAGATATATTCCATGATGCTGACACCATGCGTGACAGCCCGATTATCGGTGGCTTTGTGGCTCAGTACAAAGACTGGCGCTGGACGCAATGGACCACACTCTTTTTCGGAGTCGTCGCCTACACTCTCTCCATACCAATGAAGGAGACCTACAAAAAATCCATCCTCAGAACAAGGGCCAAGAAGTTGAACATTCCTGGTCCGACACGGGGGCTCCCACCGGGGCTTGAAGGTGTGAAATTCATCCTTACAACGACCGTCCTCCAGCCATTGCACATGCTGCTGATGGAACCGATCGTCTCGCTCTTATCCATCTATAATGCGTTCGCGTTCGCAGTCCTGTTCAGCTTCTTCGCGGCCTTCCCGCTCATTTTCCCCTTAGTGTACGGGTTCTCAATCTCGCAGGTCGGCCTCTCGTTCCTCGGTATTGGCGTGGGAGTTGTGTTTGGTTGCATAACCTGCATTATATTCGACCAGACCATTTACCAGAAGTTACACGTGAAATCGGTTGCGGAAGGAAGACATACCGTGGCTCCAGAGCATAGACTATATGCGGCCATGATAGGAAGCATTGCCATTCCGATCGGGTTGTTCTGGTTGGGTTGGACAGCTCGGCCGGAAGTCCATTGGATAAGTCCCATCCTCGCATCCATTCCGTTTGCCTGGGGTAATGTGTCCATATTCGTAAGTCCCTGTGTTGAGATCCATTCTCTAGTATCTAATTGGTTGTAGATTACATCGGGTCTATACCTCATCGACATCTACGGTCCCCTCAATGGTGCTTCAGCCATGGCAGCGAACGGCATCCTTCGATACAGTGCTGGTTCCGTGTTCCCGTTGTTCATCGTACAAAGTCAGTCTAGTTTTGCTACCTCAAAAGTTCTTTTGACTAACCTTTGTCAAAGTGTACACGAGTCTTGGTATTGGTTGGGCCACCAGTTTGCTAGGGTTCATTTCGGTGGCGATGATGCCAATTCCTTGGATATTCTTCAAATACGGATCACGGATCCGCGTGAGATCTAAATATGAAATTCAAAAGTTTGGATGAACTGCTGAGAAGATCGAACATGCAGAGCTATGTTATTATACCCTTTTAGACGATAGACGAGTATACATGGAGAGAATAGAAGACATCGTTTTCGTCAATCATATCGCACAGTTTAGCAGTTCCAAGTTCGCCTCGGGTAGCGTTACCGACGTAAGAGGAACCCACCCGAAAGTCCTTTCCTTTCAATTCTCTCCCTTCTAGGATCCCTGAAAATCGTCTCAAGCGTCAAAAAATATTTCCGCCTGATCCCCTAAAGATACAACGCCGACCCCGAAGCTCCATTCCCGACATACCCCTGAACTCGATCATTTCGGCCCCTCAATCCCAAGATGATCAACCCTCGCCTCCACCATCCTCTGCCCTTCCATCTCCGCTCTCTGCTTAATATTTCTTCGTCCCTCCTTCGCCTCCGCAGCAGCCGCCGCATTCATGTTGGCAAACCCAACACCCCGTGCGTGGCCGACTGAGTGATTCTCCTCTGTGCTACGGTCTGTGGTGGATCTGTCCTTATTGGGGGTGGATTTGGTTTTTTTTTTCGTTTTTGATGAGAAAGCGCCGGAAAGAGCGGCGAAGATGTTGAGGTTGACAGAAGCCTGTGAATGCTTAGTTAGTGGTTGCCTTTAATCTAGTGCTGGTCACTGTCTTTAGTGCCCTTTGACATCGAAGTGAAAGGGGTACATTGGGAAGTGCAGTGCGGAGAAACAAGGAGGACTTGTGATGGAAATAAGGACTGGAATTGCACTCTTCCTTCGCCGTCTGAGTACCTAGTCCTGGACTGGCCATCGGCGAGCAGCCGGTAACGCTCTGCTCCCATACTCTCGAACTACTGTAGCCCTTTTGAAAAAATTGATTCCGAAAACCCAAAACATATGAAAGGATAGAAATGCCTACCTGCGCGTTCGCACTTGAGTAATGCTCTTCTTGTTCTATATGCTGCCCCAGCTCTTCTTGGGACCGCGCTGCAACCTGCTGGGAGGTTGCGTCTCTCTTTGTGGTTTCTTTCCCACTGGCTGTCATTGTCAACTTCTTTTGATTTCCAGACACTGTACTTCAGTTTCGAACAAATCAGATAGGTTTAAATTCCAAATATTTCATTACGAAGATCCTTTTGGTTTAACAGGGACTGTCGGGTGGCCAACTTATGGATTTTCAGTTGCTTCAGTCCAAATGATGTCATCGCTCAGGGGACGTTCTATGCCACGTGACTTGCAGCATGCTGAGCTTTTTGACAACTTCGAATCATTTTTGGTTTTATTTCCGGTTGCTCAAAAGGCCACAACTATTGCCGGTAACTGATATCATTTCCGGAGTAAGAAATACCATCGCGTATAGTACTACCCTCTCCGCCTCCAATCCCTTCTGGGGCTCCCTTTTCTCCCATTCCGATAGACATACTCCTCCAACCTGCAGATTGCGGTTTCGCGAATTCATTCGTTTCCTCCAAACCGCGTGCTGGAACTGCTTTATCCATGACGGCTGGTCCTGCCTGTATCTTTGAAGAGAAGAATTTCTGCAGGATGCACAATGATCGGTTCGGTGTCGAGACGTCCCTTTGACCCTCCACCTGTGACAATCCCGCCAATGATAACCGAGGCTTCGTCCCTGCCACCTGAGGAGTCTCCTAAGGAGGTGTTTGTGATTTCGTAGCTGCCCTTGAACTTCACGAATTTTCGGAGTTCTGTTTCGGTCTGCGTTCAGGAGTATTCGATATTTGAACGCCGGAAGAGCAACGCTAGCTAGGTGCTCTTTGACACACTTTCGTCAACGATTCTCCGTTTGCGCTCCCCATCCTCGCCAACTGCAGGAAGAAAAGGGGCCACGAAGTAGTCTAGTTTTTCACACAACCTCTCGACAATAGGGATTTCGAGCGAAGGATTTATTTCTCTTGCTAACTTCGCGCTTTGGGCTCTCCAGGAAATTAGGTCGTCTTTGGGGACTAGTTAGGCTATCATAGTTAGCACAATTTGCGCAGGCCTGTTCTCTGACACGTATTTTCAGGGTTGGAATTCATCTTCCTCTCTATTTGGGCAAATGGGCCATCGTACCTGGCAGGGAATCCGAATTGAGGACGGTCCCTGTGGAAATATTGTGCCAGGCTTACCCCGAAATCTCCCCACGAAGAAGACTCCTTCGATGCTTCAGTGTAAAATCGACCAGTGGGATTCTGAAGAGCGGCATCCATTGAGGTGGGCAAGCGCAAACTGATTTATTATCTATGTACCAGTAAACCAAATTCCTGATCGCTTGAAAGAGAAGGTTGTATTCTTTGAATCACGTCATTGTCGTATATGACGTCCATTTCGTTCCGTGCGCACAAATTCAGGATGATATGGTCGAGTTCATCAATCCTCTGCTGGGATTTAAGAGCCTGGTCCTGCAATTCTTTCTTTTCTTGGCCCTTCACTTTGGCGGCGTCTTTCAGTTGAATATTGTTGAGTTCCAGCTGCGATCGTACTCCTGCCTAACCTTTGACTAGTTTGGTGGTCTTCGATGGTGCATTAGTACCTTTTCCATGGGTTCTGCTCGTTATCGAGTTTGTGTTGAGTGAGGAGGGCATTTGGAGGGTTGGTTGAGGTGCGTGCATATGGATGGTACGTCCTATGGCTTGTATCAACTGGTGGAATGCTCGACTGTATTCCCTATTTAGAGGGTTCTGGTTGTCTACGATGCCGTTGCTCGTCTCATCAATCTCCCCCTTTCCTCTTTGGTGGGTCAGTAATAATTTTAGATAGGATCGAATTGGGGACGCGGCAAGTCGTCGGGTATCTTTGGCGGCAAGCTGTTGATGCATTCAGAGGGTTTTTTGAAGTTCTACATATCGGTACGATATAACCCAAGAGCGATTTAGATGGCGTTAAGGCCTTGATGGCCAGCGCAAGTCGTGAGTGATAAAGGACGTTGTTGAAAGAACACCGAGTGAATTGTGTCAACGGAACATGATCAAATCGGAAACCACAGGTTTTCCGTTGTGTCCTTAGGTGTTCACTGCGGTCGTATTCGCCCATCCACCTATAAGTAAGAAGTACTAACTAGTAAGTTATTACTACGTGCATGTGCCTTTTCATGGCCTCATCACATTCGATTTTCATTTGTCTCACCTTAACAACGGGCTCTTGACCTGCCCCTTTCATACAAAGATGAACACCACTTCTGATATCTGAACCTATAAGCCAATTCCAACTCTCAGAGTACTCACATCTGCTGCGTCATCACTCGTCCCTCATATCTCACACTGTTGACGTGGGCCATCCACACCAATTACATCACCTAGTAAGTGGCGTCTAATTCGAACTCCGCTAATTACCACCAGCACCCATCCACTGATCACTCATTAAGCCCCGCTCCATACTCCTCTCTTCTCAGAAACAATTCATCACTCATGCCGTTTAGATAGAGTCGTCACGATGGTACTGGTACTTCCACCAACTGGGACGCAGAAGCTAGTGATACTGTGATAGGCATCAACTTTGGGACCACGTATTCTGGGTAAATATCACTATCAACAGCTTTGGTTTAGCTATACCTAACAATTCATCCTTAGTGTCGCATATGTCTTCACGAGCAAGCCTGATGAGATTTTCTCTATCACTAGCTGGCCTAGATATGCAGGTCGACTTGAGCCCAAAGTCACCACACTCATCCGGTATACTAAGGATGATGACTACAGCTGGGGGTACGAAGCCCCAGTGTTGAGAACAATGACGATCAAGGGATAAAACTTGTGCTCGACGAGAAGTAGGAGGAGTTGATTTCTGCCCTAGACAAGCCGAGGCAGCCTCTTGAAAGTCTGGGAAAGTCGCCAGTCGATGTTACTAACGACTACATCCGTGCCATCTGCCAGCATGCACTTGGTGTCATTGAAACAAAATACTCCAAAGCGTACATTGACACGATCGAGAAAGAATACGTGCTCAGTGTACCGGGAATCTGGAGCGAGAAGGCGCAAAACAATACCCTGATGGCTGCGACAAATGCAGGAATCTATCCAGTGAGACTTGTCAAAGAACTGGAGACTGCTGCACTCTACACGATCCACTCCCAAAAAAGCATTGGCTTGGTTGCCGGCGATGTTATAATTGATTGCGACTGCGACGGAGGAACGGCGGATCTGATTTCCTACGAGACCTTCAACATCAACCCGCTTGAGTTGAAAGAACTAGTTCCTTGCACAGGCGACTTGTATGGCTCAATTATGCACAACCATGCGTTCGAAGATTGGCTCCTCCATCAACTCGGCGATACATCGATCTCTCAAATTAAAGGAACCACGGACTATCCTCGAGGAATGAAGCTATTTGAAGAGACTATCAAGCGCACCTTTGTTTCGGAGCAGGATGAGGGCCAATACATCTCGTTTCCTAGCGCCACGCTGGGAAATAGTAGCAGTACCAGAATCAAGAGAAATTTGTTTGAAATCACAGGCGCCGATCTCAAATCCATTCTCACACCCATTGTGAGCGGAGTTTGTCAACTGGTCTTTGAGCAACCGAGCTCCGTCATCCTCTGTCGACAACTTCAAAGCACATCTGAATCGACCATTGGTTCCAAGATCAAGGCGGTTTTCCTTGTCGGAGACTTTGGAACTTCTACGGTTCTACTTTCCTGAAGAACCAGCTACAGGCTACCGTGGGAGATGTCCAGGTTATCCAGCTAGAGAAACCGTGGGCTGCTATCACCAATGGTTGCGCGATGGACTAGTAGCCAAAGCAAGTTCGTGTGGTTTCTAGTGTGGTGTAGAGGCATTATGGTGTTAAATGCAGTTCACGGTACGATTCCAGCACTGAGAATTTGACTGATTGCCGGTGGGACAAGTGGGATGAGGTATGGAGGATTAGGTTAGTGAGTTGGCACATTCACAAGGTAATAAAACAACCATAGTTTAAGGAGGTGCGGTCAAGTTAACAGGGCATGCAGGGAAATGAGTTTCCTCGACACAAAGTGATCCGTCTCGACTTTCGGCGGAAGATCATCGACCTGCTCGCTGACCTTATCTTCACAGAAAGACTATATGGGTGCTTCGAAGAAGTCACGCCAAGACTTTGGGATCAAGGTATACTAATCCTTCTTGCTATGGAATTTTCTGTTAGTGACCTAACCCGTATACAGATCTCGTGGTTCTGAACTGCTCCTTCAACGCTGATCTCACCCATATTCCCCTGAAAAAGCTCAGAGTGAAAAGACGGAAAAGCGATCGTGCGCAGTATCATACCCTCAGCTACCAGCTTGTCATCTACATCACCTTTGGGCTGATGCAGTTCTCTCGAGATTGACGGTATGCAATACGGATCGGTTTCTGCTGAGCACTAGGTCTCCAGCAACAACGCCAGGGGCATCTGCTTTATGCAGCAGACAACCGACGACAGGATGGACATGAATATTCCTAGGATAGTCCTCTAAACCATTACCCAGATTGCAAACCTGTAGCGACAGGTTCTAGAATGGAAAATGGAACGTAGACAGGATGTGATAGGCGGGAGAACAAACACAACCACTACAAGTGTATACTTAAAAACGGAGACCGACTGAGTATTTTCCCCGAATTCAAGCAACTGTTGCACAATTTCGACCATGAACCATCTCGTGAACAAACGTTGCCATTCAACCCTGGACACTGTGTGGGTTGAACGCCCACAACGCACTAGCCAGAACCTTATACAGATCCGAATGCGAGCACATGGAGAATAGGTTCTCCTCGTGAATGCTGATAACGAGTGGACCCGCCCAAGGACGGAGTAATCCTCCCATGAGCTGCAGACACGATTCGTAGGCGACCGGCATGTATTGTGGATCCAGAAAAAGTTGAAGGGTTGATATGTGCTAAGTGTCCAACGAATGCTTCACCAAACGCTCGATCTGTAATAGTTGGCGTCGGGATATGATGTTTGATTCGGTGCTCGACTGATGGGTTGATACTCAGGGACTCAAAAGAGTTAATGCGTAGAGAACGGTATGTCACCATATCGAGTGAAGAAGGAAATAACAGGATGATCGTCCGACAATATTAATATCGCGAAGAATCAGCGCGAAGTTGGGGTGGTTGTGTTTTCACTTGCAGCTGCAGTGTTCGGTTGAAACTTGAAGCAGAGGATATTGATGTCCCCACAGTAATTGATGCCTGATTAACAGGGTCAGGGTCTTGCCCTATAAGGCAGGAATAATCATCATCTTCATGCCTCAGGCATTTAATCCATTTGCTGTATCGCGCCTTCCTCAACAATGCAATGCCAATTATGGATTTTGTCGACTTCTGCTGGATGATGATGCCCCTTTTTATTCTTTCCGGCTGCAATATCCGAAATGATGCATTATTGCTCCTAGTTCATCGCTCGCGTGTCGGTGACAACGCTCCTTGACCGCCCTGAATCGCTGGTTGATAGGCAAAAGAGGGGCAAGGAGCAGGGCGGACAGCGGTAAGGCTACCACGCCATTGGAGGCGCCACTGGAGACAGCACACTTCCTGTGCATCTATCCCACCACCCCCCCATCATTGTAGAGAACTTCTCCACTGTCACATTCCGTTCATATACCGACGAGATCATCGTTAAGAGGAGGATTAGTGTCTTTCTCGATATTTCGGACTTTATTAACCATTGCTACCATATTTGCGCCTCAGCCAGAGCAGCAATATCGACTGAACTGCCAGTGTCATCCCTCCAACTTTCCAAGCGCCGAGCGACCCTTAGCCCACCACATCCATCACGCACCACCTTGGGCTGACCTCATTCTTATTTAACAACCTGTTCTGGCCAGTTTCTCCTCCGATATCTATCATATATTCCGCATCCACTTGTGACGAACACCTCCCGCGCTTCCGATCTCTCCTTGACCAGACGTTCGCTTCCATCTTGACCGGTGAAGTTGCGGCGCCAATAGTGGGGTATCGCTGTCAGCAGTAACGTGTACTTGCTTGCAAATATGTCAGACCTTCAAGGCAGGAAGGTATTCAAGGTGTTCAACCAGGAATTCATCGTGGATGAGAGATACACGGTGACCAAGGAGTTGGGTCAGGGCGCCTACGGCATTGTCTGGTATGCGCGATTTTCTCTCCAACGGATATGCCGAAGTCATGGAGCTTTTTCACAAAGAGCCTTTTTGAAGTCATGCCCGACGTTGATCAGTGTCGAGCACGTTCTAAACCACGAAGCTGACAAGATTATGTTACTGTGATGTAGTGCCGCAACGAATAACCAGACCGGAGAAGGTGTCGCGATCAAGAAGGTCACCAATGTCTTCAGCAAGCGCATTCTCGCCAAGCGAGCGCTGCGAGAGATCAAGCTGCTTCAGCACTTCAGAGGTGAGCTCCCTGCCCAACGAGCGTTATCAATGAAATCTAACGTTCTTCAGGCCATCGTAACGTAAGTTTCCAAATCGCTCTGCCTCCCATTAAGCGCTCCAAGCCCCCCTCGAGTCTTGAAGACGTTGCTCACACCACGACTTCAGATAACCTGTCTATATGACATGGACATTCCTCGACCAGACAACTTCAACGAGTGCTATCTATACGAAGGTCGAGACTCTTACCCATCCCATGTCTACTACGGACAAAACTAACATAATCCCAGAACTCATGGAATGCGACCTCGCAGCCATCATCCGCTCCGGCCAACCCCTCACCGATGCCCATTTCCAATCCTTCATCTACCAGATCCTCTGCGGTCTCAAATACATCCACAGCGCCAACGTGCTGCATCGTGACCTGAAACCTGGTAATTTGCTCGTGAATGCCGATTGCGAGTTGAAGATCTGTGATTTTGGATTGGCTCGCGGGTTCTCCATCGATCCTGAGGAGAATGCTGGATATATGACGGAGTACGTGGCGACAAGATGGTACCGCGCGCCGGAGATCATGTTGAGTTTCCAGAGCTACACGAAAGCGAGTGAGTGCCAGCCTCTCATCCACGATCATATCAACTTCCCGCAAACCATACTAATTCCTCCTAGTCGACGTGTGGTCTGTCGGCTGCATTCTCGCCGAACTCCTCGGCGGCAAGCCCTTCTTCAAAGGCCGCGACTACGTCGACCAACTCAACCAAATTCTGCACTACCTCGGCACGCCCTCCGAAGAGACGCTCGCCCGCATTGGCAGCCCCCGCGCCCAGGACTACGTCCGCAACCTGCCCTTCATGCAAAAAGTCTCCTTCCAAGCGCTCTTCCGCAACGCCAACCCCGACGCCCTCGACCTCCTCGACGCTATGCTGGCGTTCGACCCTTCCCGCCGCGTCTCAGTTGAAGCGGCCCTAGAGCATCGATACCTGCACATCTGGCACGACGCCTCCGACGAGCCCATGTGCCCCGAGCCCTTCGACTTCCACTTCGAGGTCGTCGACGACATCGGCGAGATGAAGCGCATGATCCTGCACGAGGTCGCCCGCTTCCGCGGCCAGGTCCGCAGCCAGGTCCCCGGCGGCGTCGCGATCCCCGGGCAGGGCCAGGTGCCGGGCGCGCCGTCGCAGAGCGGGCAGGTGCCGATCCCGGAGAATATGGATCGCAGTCGGTTCGAGGATCCGAGGCCGCAGGAGGCGGCGCAGGGGGGCGGGATGGAGGGTTTGGAGGCGGATTTGCAGAGGGGGATGGATGCGGGGCGGGCGATGGACGCGGCGCGGATGAGGGCATGAATGAGGGTAAGCTAGGGGTGGATATTTACGGGAGATAAGCGCGCGGATGTTCGGAATTTATACACCACAGAGCTACAACGTAATGGATCTAGTCCTAGTTTGAAAAGATTGGAAGCGGTGGTCGGGGATTTCCCGAGGCGGTTCTTATCGTCGATCGGGATAGGAGGCATGGTAAAAGTTGGCTGGCCGGTTTAATTTTTGGTTGGATAGTTGGGGGAACGGGGCTCGTTTTGGATAATGGAAACGAAATGATGATGGCAAGGAGGAAGGATGCCGGGTCGCTGGCCGCTTCAGCATTTCATAGCAGAGGATAGATCTAGTCCCTTTTACGCCCATTTTCATTGAAGTACCTGAAATATTATTGGTCGAGATCTATTGAGCCGGGGGATGTAGTAGTATGCCTGGCGCGTCTCCTATCGCAATATAAAAGTTTTGGAGCGTTCATTAGTACCCAGAACGGCCTCAAACGCCGATTATACTACCCATCATGTTCTTACTCTAATATATAATCCCAGCACCACGCATGCAGAGCCATCTACCCACCCACGCCCATCTTACCACCGCAACATGCACTCCCAGCAACCCTATCGACCCAAGCATGCCCCACGACACCAGCCCTAGCGTCAAATCCAGCGTAGCCACAGCCAACAGCGGATACGCGATCCTCGGATCCACCGAGTACGGCGCGCACGGCGAGGTGAGCGAGACGTACTTGAACAGGAAGAACGCAATCTTGACGCTCAAGCTCAGCGTCTGCAGCACCGGTGACAGGCGCGACGGCGGGAATTCAAAGAGGGGCGTCGTACGCGGTGGGGCGGGGAGCATGAGTCGTGCGCTCTGCGTCGACGACTGGCGAGCCATGTCGGCGCCGCTCGCACCCGGAGACAGGGACCGGGACCGAGATTGGGAACGCGAGGGTGATTTAGAGAGCAGGCGCGGCCGCACCACGACGCTGCCGAGGCTGCCGCTGCGTTCCATCGCCTGGGGTGAGGGGCATTCAGGGGAGACGAGCGGGCTCGAGGCGCGACGTCGCGTCGGAGAGCGAGGGGCCGGGTGGAAGGCGGTCGTCGCGCTTTGGGGTTTTCGTGGTCCGCGGAGCGGGGAACCAGCGGCAGGTGAGTCCGCGGAGGAGATGCGGGAGCGCACGTCGTCGAACGGGCCGGTGGGGAAGGATTGGTGATCTTCGAACTCGGAGCTGGCGCCGATGCCGTGGAGGATTTCTTCGGTGCCCGGTCGTGCACTCGGGTCTAGGGAGAGCAGGCGGCGGAGGAACTTGTAGAGCTTGTCGGGGAGGTCGGCGCGGAGGCGCTGGGAGTCATTGAAGCCGGGCCATAGGGTGATCTCCTCGCGGAGGCGGTCGACGTTCTCGTTTTCTTCGTGCATGTTGTCGGCGTTACGGTAGGGTGATCGGGCGAAACACATGAAGTACACGATCATGCCGAGGGAGAAGATGTCGGATTTGGTCGTGAAGTTTCCGAAATCGCCGGTGGATGGATCGCGGCGGAGGACTTCTGGTGCGCAATATGAGATCGTGCCAGTCGCTCCGCTGGACTTCCGGGCTACATTGACGGCTTGAACCTCCCCGAAATCGCTGACTAAGACTCGTATTCGTGAACCGGTTTTGTGCAATAAGCAATTGCTAGGTTTCAGATCTCGATGAATGTAGCCGTTTGCATGGAGATGGTGGAGACCTGCGGTGATATCTTTGAAGAATGAGAACACTTCATCAAAGTGCATCCTTCGAGGTCCGTTCAGGTCATGGGGTGGCTCTGGCTGGCCTTTTGACCGTCTCCGCATCCTTTCCTTCAACTGTTGTGTGGTAACTTGAGTTTTTGCAGGATCCAGGATGTAATGAAGCAGATCACCACCGTTACAGTACTGCTGAAGGATGAATGCGCATGGGACGCTGGGTCCAAATGTAGTGAGTTTGTAATCCTCCAGCCACACATGTCGATAGGAGACGAGGTTCTGATGGGAAAGGTTTTGGAGAAGCTGTACTTCCACCAGAACCTTCTCCAGCCATTCGTGATCGTCTCCAACTGGAACTCGTTTGCAGGCGAAGTGGCCGAGATGAACGCCATCCAGGACGTGACGTACCAGGAGCACCACTCCCTTCCCTCCACGGCCTAGCTCGCCTTCCTCGACGAAGAACGTTTTGAAATAGTTCTGACTGAACGCAGTGGAAGAGATATGATGTGGACCAGGAGGACTCTGCGGTGCGCTTCCCACGAATTCTGAGCCCTCCGGTGGGACGAGATGATGTTGCCCTTGACCGACATCGTTATTCCAGCTTCTAAGCGTCCGCTTCCTGTCTTCGGGGACACCCGAAGGGGTCCCGGTGATTCCACGGTGAGGGGATGGCGGCCTCGACGTCTCTCCAGAGTAGGAACCGCTATGATGGAGCATGCGAAAGTACGCGGGGTTCATGAATTGTGCCTCCGACCCAGGACCGGGCGTCGGTGGATGGACATCTTCCTCTTCATTATCATCGACGTCGTATCCCTCTCCTCGAAGTGGCCGATGACAATAGGGACAATCGGCAAGCTCTACAGCGCTTGAATTGGAGGCATCTTGCAGCGAGAGCTGCTTCGATCGTTGATCGTATACCACCACTGATGATCCATGACGTCTGTGAAGGTGAGTATCAGAACAGTGAGGAGACGTCGAGGCACTTACAACACGACTTCGCTTGACTCCGCGGGGAAGTAGGGGATCAGGGAGAGATGATTTCTCTGCGGTGTTTCATTCGCCATTTGATGCCGACTGGGCAAGAGCCCGTCTGGCTAAGATGTAGGTCATTCAGTGCGTGGATGGATACATTTCCCGATGTTTACACATTCAGCAGAGTGCAGTTTTAGGTGCATCAGATGACGGAGGTTGATCAGACAAGGACATGGCGACATGGCGGAAAGGGAGGTTCAGGCCACAAGGCGGACAGAAATGAACTGGTCAACAAATGGAATATGCACGTGACGTTCCGTGAATCCCATAATCTTGTAGCCTTGCAGCCTGGCAACCCGATTGGATGACAAAATGTCTCTATGACTGGAGTCGCCACCCACCAGCAATTCACGTCACTGGGAAAATAAGAATAGATATCCCACTCTTCCCCCTCCTCTCTGAAACCGCCCTTGACTTTCTGTAAGTACCGATTTTGGACAGGACAAGGCTATTCTCAGCCCTGCTACCGGGTAGAGACCTTCCTATCATCTTTCTTTCTCCTTGTCTAGACACTCCAAAGTCGATATATACCAGAACACTCGGGAAAATGGCTTCCACTACTAGCCAGGAGAGTCGACCGGCCTCCCATCCTTTTACTTGCAACACCTGTCAGGTCGCTTTCAGGACAAGTGAGGCGCAGAGAGGCCATATGCAAAGCGACTGGCAGTACGTATATGCAATGAAAGTTCCTATGTTTCGAGGACGCTACTAACATGCCCCAAGTCGTTACAACTTGAAGCGTAGAATAGCGTCGTTGCCTCCATTATCGTCCGAAATATTTGCGGAAAAGGTCCTCGCCAACAAAGCATCGCAAGCGGCGGTCGCTGCCAAGGCGGCGTTCACGAGAGATTGCGCTGCATGCCAGAAGACGTACTACAGCGACAACGCATACAAGAACCACTTAGCGAGCCAGAAGCACCGGCAGAATGAATTCCGCATGCGCCCGGGTAGCGTGGGTGACTCGATGATGAGCTCGGAGTTTTCCATTCCGGACAATACCGACTCCGCATCCGTGCAGACGACATCGACAGTGAGGGAAGACCAGGTGGATCCAGCGGCCGAGGACGAGTTCACAGAAGTGGTGGACACTCTAAAAGGAACCAATCTGGGAGAGAAGAGCGGAGATGCACTGCCACGACGACCAAGCCGACCACATCACTCCGCAGGGCCAGAAGAGGATCGCCCGGAGCATCCAATCTCGCCGGCGACGGTGCTGCATACGAAGTCGAATATTCTAGGCTCATCCCCAGCGAAAGCCGATCCGCTCCTCAACTGCCTCTTCTGCAATCTGTACTCACCTACAGTGGATTTGAACATCCTTCATATGCAGAAGTACCATGGCATGTTCATTCCCGAAAAGGATTACCTGGTCGATCTTCCCGGCTTGATCCTTTATCTTCGGGAGAAAATCAATGTCGCCAATGAATGTCTTTACTGCGGTACGCTGAAGCGCACCGCCGAAGCCTGCCAGACACACATGCTAGACAAAGGACACTGCATGATCGCATTTGGCACCGAAGACGAGCAATTGGAAATCAGCGACTTCTACGACTTCACCACCACCTATTCCGACGACGAAGACGAAGACACTGGCGAAGAAGATGAGGCGGCCAGCCACGCATCCTGGGAAACCTCGTCCACCCTCTCCTCTGTCCCCACCGAAGAGATCACGTCCGTGGCCATCGACCAGACCCACCGCTACTCCACCCTCGACCAACATCATCACCACACGCACGACGATCCCCGTCCGCATAGGAACCTCGACGGCTTCCATTCCCGTGCCCACGCCGGCCACGTTCCTAAAGCTGTGTTCTTCGACGATGTCGAGATGCATCTTGGCAATGGCAAGAGCGTTGGCCACCGTTCTTGGCAGCGCGTCTGGCGACAGCGGCTTGGCGGGCGCAACCGTCCTGCCGAGTCCGCTCAAGGAGCCTTGGCAGACGCGGAGGGTGACGTCAGCATGGGCGACGAGGGTGAGGCGGCCGACGATAGCCGTGATTCGGGCGCCTTGACGAGGCGGGAGCGTCGGGAGGAGCTGTTCCATCGTGGGAGGATGGGACACCCTTCGGACGCGTTGACGAGGGCGAATGACGGGCCTGGGATGACGGGAGTGACGGGGCAGAAGAAGAGGGAGGTGGTGGAAGAGGAGAAGAGGTCGAGACGGACGGAGCAGAAGGAGAGGAGTAAGTATCTGGCCATCAAGGAAAGGAAAGGGAATATGCAGAAGCATTTCAGGGTATGTTTCGAGTGCCAAGATCCTTGTTTGCAATTTGCTAATTATGATACAGGATCCTCTACTGCAGTGATTGAATGGGGAAATGCTCAAGTCGTTGACCGTGTTCGACTCGAGTTATGGGTGCAGACTCATAATGTTTATGTGTAGATGCATGTAGAGGTCAATGAATTGCGTACCGAGTCAATTCCATTCGAGTCATTTGATCATCTCGTTCGAGTAGTCATAATTCCAAATGGGTATCCTAAAAGCAGGCGTTCCAGCCTATTCGCACCCCCTCACCCAAACCCCAACGCCTTGCTAAGTTCCATAATATACAACCCCGATCGCCTCAAGCGACATCACACATACTCCAGCCATTTCCCCACCGTTTGAAACGCTAGCTGCTCATACTTCTGCACATCCTGAGGATCCGCCCCCATCTTCAATAGCAACCGACACATATCCATATTCCCCGCCGAAATCGCATGCGCCAGCAAACTCATCCCCTCCCGATCCCGATCCATCGCGCCGACCTCCCCCCTCCGCAACAGCCCCAACACCTGCTTCAGATCCCCATCCGCAATCGCCTGTAACACTGGCGCATCCGACCTTACCACATTAAACGCCGACACCACCGCATCAAAGTCCACGCAATCGACAGTGTCGTTCGACTCCGAATACTGCCTCCCGTGTCCCCACTTCATCAGTGCGATCGCAATTCCGGGGATGTGCAGCCCGGAATTCGGCACGAAGCAGAGACTGATGCGGCCCGCGTCGTCGGTGCCGAGCGGCCAGGGGAGCGTGGAGTGTATGCCTTCGATGAGCACGTAGATCACGCCGTCGCGGGTGCTCAGCCGCCACTCACCATGCAGCTCTGGGGACTGAGAAACGTTCAATTTCAGTTGCTTGAACCCTCGGGCAAGCGTTTTTTTCGATGGCGCAGGTTCGATGTCTTGGACTTGCGGGAGCCTCTGCTTCGGAAGACGCTGCCTCATCGCGATCATCCCGGCGTCCGTTCCGGAATTGTCGGTCGATTCCAGCGATTCGGACGCCGCGGCGGACACGCGTGAGAAGAGCCGGTTGATGGTGCGGAGGAGCATGTCCTGTGCTTTTTTCGGAATCTCGAATTTCTCGAGGTAGCGAGGGTAGTAGATGGAGTTAGTATCAAGATTAGAGAGGACCCGGCGCATCGTAAGGAGCAGAGCTGAAAATGAGTGGAGGAATGCCGCAGCGTCGATGGTCGCGGTGTTAGCAGCAGCAGCGGAGTTGGAGGTATCAGCAGTGAGCTTTGGTTGGGGTTCTTTAACCACGAGGTCTGGGTCTTGCGCGAAGTCAGGGGGTTCCATGGAGTTGACTCGCGTAGGCGCCTGCGACAGCGTCTCATTCGGACGTAATGGAATCTCCAGAACGGCTTCCTTCACCTCCTGGAGCTCGTCTTTCAGAGCATCTAGACTTCCACGCATGTGCTCACTCTGCCTCCGCTCCCTCTCCGCTGCTCGCTCCTCAATTGATTCAATTGTCTTGTGCAACTCTTTCAACTCAGCTGCCGTGCTCTGCTTCACATCCTGCGCAACATCTACTGCGGCCTCGATCCGTCGATGGATTTCGACATCGATCGTCCTCCCTAGGGTGGACAGCAAACCATTCACCCGTCCAATATGTCCGTCAATCTCAGCCGACAGCCGAGATATCTCCCCTTCGTCGAGCACATAGCCCAGCTTCTTCGACAACGCGACCTTGCTCTTGCCTAACTTAGGACCTGACTTGCTCGACACGGATCCGAGAAACTTCTCCAAGCTCATCAAATCCACCTTGCACGCAATCAACTCATCGTTCAGCCTTCCAAACGTCGCCCTGGCACCAGGCTGGATTCCCAGCGGTGAGCCTTGGAAGGTTTGAGCCAGCGCGCGGACATCGGTAAGGAGTTTCTCCAGTCGATCGAGTTTCGTTCGTAGTATTGGGATCAGCTTTGAAGATCGATGGATGGTCGCGAGGAACTTATACAGGCCGGCGAAGATTCGACCAGAGGCGTCCAGGACCTGGAGGATTGATGCGGGACCGGCGAGAGCTTCGAGGCCGCCGGCAGTCATAGTGAAGAAAGGGTGAAGGATAAAAGACTTGCATTTGAATTGGAGATGAGACACGGCTAAGCGAAGGCAGTGACTAGGAGTCTTATAATCTTGGGGGTTGTTCAAGCCTTGCACAGCCTCTCTGGTCGAACACCGCCATCGTCATGCAGGTATCGGACTTATCTGCGTCCAGCCTCCAGGAGTCTGATTATTACATACCAGGACCGCCAGGCCATGTGAACACCATCTATGTGCAATATCTTAATACCCAATAAGTGATAGTTATGCAACAAGCGGTTTTGAGGTTAAAAGCTGGCGGCCGAGATAGCGAATCATCTTGAGACGGTCAGTGAACAAACACAGATGACGACACGGCCACATTGAGTATGCGTAAGTGGAATTTCTAAGCAAGGCTGAAGCTTGACAGACAAGTTATCGTATGCCTCTAAAGAGGCGATAGCATCTGGGCGTTGTCTGCTGCGAATTTCTTCCGAGAAGAATATTGTCGGTTGAATGCCAGTCGGTGCCTGTATAGTAATCAAAAGCCTTTGACAGCACAGCCCCTAACCTTGAACACCAACTGAATGCGAGAACTGAATTATGAATCCAAAAGACTGTACTCTTCCTGGGTATCTAAAACGAAAGGTTCATTACGCTACATGAAAAGAATGGCCGTCCCATCTCGTCTCGTCAGCCGGTATCGTCCTCACAAATTCCCAATGACAACCATAAACCGCAACTTCCCCTCCCTCCTCCTCTTCTCTGCCCCTTGCCCAAACGACCCCTCCTCCTCCCCACTCACCGCGCCCTCCCCACCCCCAATCAACCCTTCATCCAACATCAACGTGCTGCTCTTCCATCCCCAGCTCTGGCTAAAGTTGAAGCGATCGGGCGCCGACTCGTAGACGGAGAGGAGTCGACCGCCTTTGGACGGCGAGTAGATCTTGAAGTACGTGCGGATTGTGGGGCGCATGTCGGTGTATGGTGGGACGGTTGCGACGAAGGTGGGTTGGCGGGAGGAATTGTTGCGGGAGATGGAGGCGCGGGCGAGGGTGGGCGAGGGACTTTGAGAGTTGGGCTGGATGGTGGTTGCGGAGAGGCCTTGTGGTAGGGGAAGCTGCGGAGCGGTGTTGGCGGAGCGAGGGTAGTTGGAACTAGCATCGGCATCGTTATCGGAGTCGGAATCGGAGGGAATGTCGAACACAGGAGTGTAGTGTTGTAGGACTGACGACTGGCGAGCTCGGTAAGAGTTATGTGTGTTGCCTCCTGGTCGATAATTGGAGAACCAGTTATATGATCGAGAGGTGTTGGCATCCACGTCGCCGCCACTTCCACTGGTGTCTTCTTCAGCGGCATTGTCTGTCGCTAATCCACCCAGAGGTCGATCTCGGTCTCGGTCTCGCGCTACTCGTCGTCTATCACCGCGAAGGAGCATTTCTCGCTCTAGCTGTCCAATTCGCTCGTCCACGCTTGCGGGTATGCTGTTGGAGAGATTGGCCGCTAGACCTGGGCCGGACAGCGCTTCCTCGACTTCACGTTCCTTCGCACGGTGGAGATAGACTCCCAGTTGCGGGTGCTTGGAACTTCGGACTTTTTGGATATAGATGTTCCACAAGCTGCCCGCGTAAAAAACTGTCCTCGAGTAAACCCGCTTCTTCTCTTTGAGGAGGCGCGGGTTTGGGAACTCGACTGCGAATCGGAATGGTGGGCAATGCGAGTAAGCAATTGGCTTTGGTTGGGTTGTTCCGCCTGCACTGTCCGACGGTTGTGGTCGCGTTGCGTTGCTTGATGACCTGGCTAATCCCTCAGTGATATTTCCGGGTGATGATGCAAAGTCAGTGGCCCATGGAGCATCCTCTGGCTGTATCGTCACAGAAATCTGGGAAGCATGATTGGAAAGGGCTGCGGATGTTTGTATGACCGGCTCGGCATTGCCTCCCATGACGATGTTGCAGTCAGCCGAAGGAATCCAAAACTTTCGGGGTCGCGCAGTTGAGTCCCACGAGCCAGACCCCATCTCTTCCGACTTGGTTTGCGAGGGAGTTTCGTCCACTTTACGCTTGCCTTGTGCGACGGACGAGCCATTTGCATCGTCCGTCCTTTGAGATGACACTGTTGGGGGTTTGGTCGGCTCAATCTCCGCTGGAATGCTAAGTCCTAGGTCCATGTCAAGATCGCGAGCATTCACAACTTTCTGCCGAAGCTCCATGGCCATCCAGAGCGCGTTGGTAATCACGTCTTCTGGTAGGAGCGGGAGTCCAAAAACGTCTCGGGCCCGGCGGATATGCTGCAACTGCTCGAACTCTAGGTGGACGTAATGAATGCCTTCATCAAGAAGGACAAGAAGGGGCTCGACCTCAGGATGCGTGTAGAGTGCCAGCCATTTGTCCATCCCCTCTGGACTCTGGCCTAACGATGAAATCGAGTTCTTTCGGTAGACAGGATCGAACCGGATAGCCATCAAACCGAGCGTTTCCGGAGCTCGAGATTTGTTCTTAATCTTGTCTCCCAGCCCTACCTCCGCTGCTTTTTGCTTTAATCTGCGATCAAGCAACCGTTTTGCAAGAACCCAGCGGTCCCATTCGCCGTAGACAAAACAGCCATCTCCGCCAACAATTTCCCTGACAATATCTCCGGGGATGCCATCCCAGTATCTAAGGTGCATCTCCCAGCCATCTCTGCAAAGCATGGCTTTCGCCGAAGCCAGAATCCGCTCCCCAGACCTTCCGTAGTAATTCTCCGTGACCAGTTTTATCAGCGGCGCAAGGCTCTCAACATTCATCTGCCGTAAAATCGCGTCGATGGCAGATTCGGCGAGATCTGGCATCTCTAGCCAACAGCCGGTTGCAAAGAGCCCGATCGCTTCTGCTTCTTCCTCATTCGATATATCGCATCCGTATAGTCTCTTAAGGGCAAGCTCAAAGGCAACTTGGGTGATATTGGAGTCCATATCTTCAGGGTGCAATGTCACTTCCTTTAACGAACTTTCGATCCATGGTTCGGATAACGCCGTTGCAAAAAAAGGTGCGCGGTCGAGGAGAAGTCGATGTAGGTTGTACTTGGTCCCGAATGCTATGACAGTGATGTCCGAATGCCGTCCACCGAGGAGCCCGCGTGTGTAGAGATGGTCTGGTAAGGAGGCCGGCTCGTAGTTTGCTAAGGGATTCAGCATTAGCTGGACGTAGGCAAATGCGATAGTAGATATATATTGGCTCACTTCTACCAAGTAAGTTCAAGTTCCCGGCACCATATTGATATGAGCTCGTTCGACTCGATGGGTTCAGCGGAACATCCGCCGCCATTGACTTTGCCGGCGTTATTGGAGTAATTTCCTCCCTTGCATCAAACGCTCTCTGATGGTCCACCGGGGTCGTGGGATCATCCACATCCTTCTCCGCTGCGGATATTCGAGCTGTACCGCTCGACATCGCTATTGAAGGGCTCGTCGACCGTTCCACATCTCTTCCGAACGCGTCAAGCGGCCTATTTGCCCGGATACTAGATGACCCTTCTCCAGGACTCGGTTCTGCATTGCTCTCGAAGAGAGAAGGGGGAAACGTCGAGGTGGAGGAGTTGAAGATCGAAGTATGAGGCGTCGTATAAGTGTTTCTTCGGGGGGTATTGCTTGGACCGCCTGCGCCTATGGGAGTCGATGGAGCATGATCAGGTGGTGCTTCATGCTGCCAGATGGAATCAAAGGGGACCGATACGCCATGTGTTTGAGAAGGGTCTTGATCGAGCGGAGAGCTATCCATCGGGGGAGAGCTGCTTGGTCGGCTGCTGTGGTTTGCTCTGTGGCACCATGTAAGAATGACCTATACCGAGCCCGCAGCTCACGATACACGCGCTTCAAATAATATTCACTAGCAAAAGGTTATACTAAGGTAGGAACTTCAAGCAATAAGATAATTATTCTAGACTGGAGCCACGTTGGACCGAGGGATGGTTGGAACTGGGAAAGAGAGGTCAAGAACCTGAGGTCACCGCATGCGGGGAGAACAAAGGGACCGCCACCATCTCTTGGGGGTCAACAGGAGGGCGAGATATAGAGGGCCTTGCCCATTAATAGAAACCTATGTAGTAGTAAATATAATATGTCATGGATTCGATACTGTCATTATATTCGAACCCTATTCTACTTCACCTAAATGCCAAACACGAAATCAATTCATTTCGTCCCGTATTGTTCACAATGCCTGGCTTCATATTGTCGGAGGCCCCCGTATTGTACCCCAAACCCCGACCACCAGAGGCCTGACATGACGCTTTTGATATCCTGTCGCCCCCACAGGTCATAAAATACCCGGTAGATTTAGATGAGCCCAGTCGGGATAGCGAACATTTTGCCCCCAGTACCCGTACCAGTACAGCCAGGCCAGAATGAAGTCCAAGTCCCACCATTCTTCGACACAGCGACAACCGCAGCCATCACAATCGCTGTGCTCAGTAGAGAGCCCCAGCGTTTGAACGAACTCAAATTCCGATGCTTGCTCCACCTTCGCAAGCGTCAATAGCATAGGGAGATACAGGTGGTGCCGGTACCGTCCCATTTTCTCTCGCGGTGATGCCAGCCACCATTTATCGCGCTTAGGGACCAGGGGTCACCATTGATATCGACGTCAACCAAGCTATCTCTGGTGTAATACTCGACGTCTCGGCTCTGAATGAGCCATGGTCCGACTCCGCGGTGGTGGTAACATGGCCTCAGCCTGGATAAGAACCGGCACCCCCGGCATATGTAGGGTTGGCAGCGGCTGCGGGAACCGAGGGTAGCGAGGTCTGCGAAGGCGAACAGTGATATAGGGGTGAAACACTTCACCGTGAGAGACCGAGGAAAGAGTGGACGGTCGAGGTCCTGGATGAATAGCAGGGAGTCCCGGAACAAGCGACAGAGTATTGACCGAGTGAGTTTCTTTCAAGGAAGAAAATCGAGCAGAAGGTGACGCGATAAATAAAGGTCAAGTGGGCCCAAACATATCTGATATGCGTCCCAGTCATCGTTATCAACCCCCTTTTAACACCTGCGCTTCCCAGTTCCCCAAAGCACACATCGGAGGAGTGCGGGATATTTATTCTACTAGGAACGTATTGATTGGACATAACAAGACTGGATAGGGGATATTAGCCGTCGTGAAGTATCTTTTGGATATGAAGGGAGAAACCGAGCGGACACAAGAAGAAACTCGTATCCATATATGGATATATTGACCGGGATTTACCACACTCGCAATCAAGTCGAGTTCGGTAACCTGCCATCGAAAGCGGCAGACTCCCAACAAATCCTCAATCGATGCTTTCCTTTCGATTTCAGTCGGAGTCTTGAGGATGTGCAACGGGGGCCTTTCAGTCGCGTATACTGGGACATGGATCTCATGTGCTGGTCAGTGTATCCATAATCCATTTCCGCGTTGAGGCATGGCTAAAGTGCTAAAACGAAAGAAATGATGTATTAAACCAATCCAACCCAACATTAGTGGTTGGATACTGTTGAGACAAGAAAGAGAGAGGGATGAAACAAATCTGCTGATAGGGGATTACGTCAGCCAGCACTTCAAAGTCCAAGCATTCTGAGTTCAAGATCCCGCATGGCCGTCTTGTATAAGTTTACCTCTAACCTACCTTAACCTCTTATTTCTTTTTGCATATCCAGGTCATTGGATTAACACTATTCTCTTCCTGTTAACAACTTGATCCTTCGAAATCGCATGGTGGTGGAGTACTTGAAACCTGGCACCGTCACCTACGAGCAACGCATCCAACCGTACGATAGAAGGAAGAGCATTGTGCTAAACGACACATTTCCCGCTCCATTGCCCTTATGGTCTCCCATATTCGGATGTCCATTTCTTCAAGTCCCAGAGTTTCTGCGGCGTTCTTTCATGGTTCCATTTCTATCAATGGCGCTTTTCCAATCTAGCTATGTCGAGACAAAGAGACCCAACATGCCTCGAATGGTACCTGACCTCAACCCGTCCATCCCGTCCCATAACTCTCTCACATCTTCTATATGATTAGTCACATAGTGACCACATGCCTTGAACCCCATCCAAACAACTTCAATCCCCAGGACCTCCAAATTGACTTCCTAAACTCACCCTCCTAGATCCTCCTCCGGTTCCCAAGTCATCCAGCAAAACCGCGATCCCATCCGCCCCTCCGCCGCCAGCAATTCAGATCCGTGGCCAAGCGGCGTGCATCAGCCCTCCGCCACCGACGCCGACGCAAGGGCGTGAAAGTGCGGCCGCGGCGGGTGAATCAGGACGGCGGACGCGAGCAGATGATGGGGGTCCGCACGCTACGGTTGGAACTGGCGATTCAGATGCAGCGGGTGGCGGCACGGTTGGAGAAGATTGCGATTCGGTGGGGTTAGGGCGGGAGGATGGTGGAGAAGATCGCGATTCGGCGGAGTTAGGACGGGAGGAGAATGAAGGAGGAGGGGATATTCTTGTTCACATATTGGAGGGACCCTTTTTTTAAAGTAATGCAATTGGTACCGGGAATCTATGCAACAATAGGTACCTCCCCTGTGCTATCTATCCACTATGAAAAAACGCAACACGCGTGATTGTACCGAATACCCAATGGTCTAGTAGACCTCCAACACGTACCTCCCATCATCCTTCAGCCGCTCAATTTCCCTCCTCGAATCCACCTTCTTCGTCCCCGCCGCCTTCGCCTCCTCCTCCACCGCCGCCTGCAACACCTCCGTCACATCTGGCACCGGCCACGTCGGCCCGCACAGGTAGAAGCTCCCCTCCTTCTGCAGATACGCCTCGCGAATCTCCGCCATCGTCTCCCGCATGCGGTCCTGGATGTAGATTTTATGCGGCTGGTCGCGCGAGAAGGCCTTGCCGATCAACGTGATCACCCCGGCCGCCTGGTACGCCTCCCACTCCTCGCCGTACAGGTACTCCTCCCGCTGCGTGCGCGACCCCATGTACAGCAGCACCGGCCCAATCGGCTGGCCTTCCGAGCGCTGGAGCGCCCGCTCCTGCACGAACGCGCGGAACGGCGCGAGCCCCGTGCCCAGTCCTGCCATGATGATTGGCGCCGTGCTCGAGGCCGGGAGCTTCATCACCGACGGCTTCACCGACACCACGACGGGCGCACCCACCGGCAGCGCGTTGAGGAAGCGGGTCGCCTGCCCGAAGCGGTCGCGGCCGGCGGGGTCGACCCAGCCGACGGTGACGATGAGCAGAGCCACAGAGGTCGGGGTGACGCGCTGGGATGAGGCGATGGAGTACTCGCGGCGCTTCATGGGCGGGACAATACGGGCTAGATCGGGAAGGGGCGGGTGCGCGGATGGGAATTCCTGGAAGGTGTCGGCGAAGGTGATAGTGTCGACTTCAGCGCGACGCTTGAATTCGGCGGCGCCATCGGCGGTGCTGAGGGCGAGGAGAGAAGCTCTCTCGTTGGGGTCGGTGGCGAAGTCGGAGAGAGCTTCGTAGAATCGCTTGGGAGGGCGGCCGAAGATGTCGATGTTTTGGCGGAGTGCTTGGTAGGCGGTGCGGACTTCGTAGTGGCTGGGGTCTTCCCGCGTGGGTACCTCCACGAGATCGTCGTGGTCCAGGTTGTACCATTTCATGAATGCTGATACCTCGTCGGCGTCGTTCTCAGCGTGGATGCCGAGGGCCTCGCCGATAGCGTAGGTGAGACCGCTAGTGCCCAGGTCGAATTCGATGTGGAAGATGTTACGGTCATACCTGTCAGGAGTGAGACGACGTCGCTCCTTGACAGTGACAACGTGCGTCTTCATCGCGAGATCCGGACGGAGGGTCTTCTGAGTGCCATAGGCTTCCTTGAACAGGAGACCTTGAGCAGCCGTATGCCAGGACTTAATCGCGGTTGGCCCCTCCACTTCTTCAACCTTGAACGGAACGAAGCTGTTGATGGTGATATCCGCAGGTTTTGCAGGAGTCTCGGGATCCAATTCGACAGCGGACCATTCTTCGGGCACGAGGAAGTCCCGGACGACTTTTGACACATCCTCCTCGAGCGGCGTGGTATCATTACCAAGATTCTGCAGAACCGACGAGTATAGGTCTGGTCGGAGAACCTTGATCACGGCAAGCAGGACGACTTGAGTCTCCATGTCCTTGTTCTCTGCAACGGCTGCGGAAGCGGCGGAGTCGATGATGCAGATATGGCTGGTTTTTGCCGCGATGGCCTTTCGGGTGGCTTCGGGTACCTTCTTCTCCACATCTTCGTCTTTGACACCAGGCAACCAAATCAGGATAGTTCCTTGGTGCTTCAGGTTGCGGACAAAGTCAAAGTCCTTCAGAAGTTTATCACTGCCCACAAAGATGCTGTCGGCGGATGTGGTGGAGCATGGTGCTTCAATCTCGGATGTCGAGCTTCGGATATCAGTGCGAACTACACCACCTTGGGCCAAGTGATCGAAAGCCGTCCTTGTTGAAATGATGCTGGAAGAATCCTGCGCCAATAGCTCCCCTAATAAGCTCGGGAGGCTGGCCGTTGCAGACCTATCCGAATCCAAGAACGAGTATTGTTTGGCTGATTCATCGACAAGCTCAATGTTGTACTCGTCGGCAGCGATTTTCGAAGGATCGATACCTGCGGACTGCTCGAATATGGCCATCTTCTGGATCAGCTCATTCAGACGAGCGGCGGTCCAAGTCTGAGAGACGTATTTCAAGTCGACCACGTCGATACCGTCGCTATGTCCGAAGAAGTTGACCGTGGCCAAAACATCGTTGAAGAGCATGGAATGCTCGTTTAAAGTGTCCATATCGCTTTCGTCCGACACCTGTCCCAGAATCGCAATCCTCTTTGCGGTTTTTGGCAATACCTCGAGGAAAGCCTCTTCAATGAACGGTCGGTACACCCTAACGTTGATAACGCCGACCTTCTGGCCAGATCGGGAGAGCTTGGTCGCCACCTGTCGGGCGATGGAGGCTTCCGCGCTTCCGAACGTCACCAGGACGGATTCCGCGGACTCGTGCCCGAAGAATTCAAATGGCTTATATTCGGTTCCCAATTCATCGTTGAAGGCCTTCAGAACCCGGAGAACTTTGCCATCGTTATCTAAGTGGGTGGATTCCGCGTTGCTGTATGCCTTCTTGATCGCCTGATAGTTGGTGTAAACGCCATGCTGGTCCAGGATATCGACCACGCGAGTTGTCTCACGAGCCATTGCGACGCCGTCGAACATGTGGATCGTCGGAAGGACATCGGCGAGAAGGGTCGCCAAGAGAGCCATGTGCTGCGTCTCATAGACGGAGGTGCTGCTGACAAGACCCAGTCCCAACTCCTCGGCGAGGCGCAACCCGGGTGTGTAGTCGGCAAACAGCTTGGTGGTCTTCCCTGCCGCCAGCTCCACAGCAGCGACATGTGCCACGAGAGGGTTCGCGAGGGAGTAGAGGAGCGACAGCTGATCCAGGGAGGGTCGGAGCAATTCCAACGTTGCGGACGAGGCTACGATAGTCTGCGGGATATGCCTCTTGCTCAAGTCAAAGTCGTTCGAGAACATATATCCCAGAGCAATTGAGCCTGCCCCGGCCCGCGCTTGCAACTGCTGCAAGCCTGGCACAAGGTCAAACGCATTCTTTTCGTTGTCCTCGTTCCATGACTTGATGGCGATGTCTAGGTCGAATGACTCGGGGGAGTATGTGAAGATCTTGTCGGAGAGCGTGTAGGCGACATGCTGAGCGAGCGTCTGGGCGGTAACATACGTCGGTCCACCGATGGTTGAGAGCGGGATGGTCCGTCCGAACGGGAGACTAGTTGACGACTGCGGCGAAGGAGTCTTCAGGACTTTGGCTAACGTCTCCGGCGAATGCAGAGGCGATGGGCCGGTGGACTGGGTATCTTGCAAATGCATCTTGAGAACTATCGATATGCCGATCCCGCGCTCCGATGTGCGGAATGTTCGACTTTGACAATTGAACAAAGGACCAGAGAGGATATACTCTCAAATCGGAGAGTCAATCGCTATGAAAATGAAAAAATATGATGACTTAAGAGTAATCGAGAGGAATTTACAGAGCAGAAGACGAAGCAATTGCCTCCGTACGAGAAATTGGCGTATGCATGATCAGCGACCTCGGGGACTGGCAACTTTTCTGCGCGAGTCTGGATTCTGGATGGCGTGAATAGATTAGTGGAAAGCACGCAATCCAATCTGATAATGACAGGGGCGGTTATGACAAGGGACCAGGTATGGAGATAGCCGGAGTTAGCATCTATCACGTGTTGCATACCTCACGTGCAAGGGTCCATCCTGACTCCTGTCACACCATGGCATCCATGCGTCGATTTCACCAGTTCGTCTTCCTCAACGATGCACACGCTGTCTAGGCCAAACAAGAAGCATGTAACTCATGGAATGTGAAATGGAATATGGAATGAATAGCCAAGGTCTGACTTGTGGTATCTTCCAACGTGCTAGACTATGACAGGATTTGTCCACCATTCTCAATTTCTCCTCGTATGGCAGTGCTGTGATAGGTGCTGTCTTCCATGCGTCAGGAGCACGGTATTCATCTGCGCTTCCCTTTATATGCACTGGAATCTGAGCAATCTGGGGACCCGCAATCCATGGTTCTGGTGGTGGCCATCCCGTTCACGATGCTCCAGTTGCACATTGTGCTGGTGGTTCTCCGAAGCTCGATTCTCTTCGAAGGACTGGTTAGGAGAATAGAAAAAGTTGGTAATTTAGAAGAGATTTGGCTTGGGTATCTGGCGTGGATTGCTTTGGCTGTATATAATGATCCGAGTTGGTGTTGTGCTACATATGTGGGAAGGAAAGCGAAATATCCACGAAATTGCGATTTATATATGAAAGAAACCGTGATTGGGTCAGAAATGAGTTTGTTACCGGTTGACTCCCAATTGACAGTGACATAAAACTATGACTGGATTTTCCGATTGACAATTAATAAGAGTCCTGACGGTGCCATATTGAACGTTTCCTGGTGAATACCTTAATAATACCTGATGGTGGCTTCCGGACAGAGCAGCTTCTAGCACGTAGACTTCTGCTTAACCGCAAACATTGTACTTCCTCGTAAAGCAAATATGGCGGGCCAAAATGTCCTTAACACTTTTTTCCGAACTTGAAAGCATGCCGAGCTCGAGGGCTGCCACTTGTTATCGGATGGACGACGTTGTCATGAGTGTGGCTTGGTAGATCATGAAGTCCGACATTGTGGCTGTGCCATGCATCAATCAATGGAATCAATCGGGTCTCCTCTCGTCCGCTTTCATCTCGCTGAGTGATTTAGCGAATACCCGTTCCCCTCATCATGGACAACAGCTTATAGGACCTACCATTCCCCTTATTCTCGTTCATGCATCATAGGGTTCTTTTCTGCCTCTCCTTCGCACGATGGCTGTCTTCGCCGATCTGTCCGACGACTCAGATGTCGTAGAAGGAAGTCCTGAGCCTCGATATGGTTACGGGAGAAGGATGCAGTCTTCAGCAGATGCCTCCTCCCGAGCTCCGGACGCCTCGTCCTCTGAGGTGGCCGAGTCGGTCAGAAGCAATCCCAACATCAATGGCTTCTCCGAAGCACTTGCATGTTATCCGTGAGCAATAGCCCTACCGCAGTGGTAGTGATGGATGCTTGCATCAGAAGGGTGACGAGGCCCGCCAACTAACTGCTCTATGATTTCTCTCTCGACAGGTTTGTCTCCCAGCTCGCCACGTTTGTCGACCTCAACACCCTGGACGCGCTCTCCCGAACGTGCCGCCAATTCCGCGTCAACCTTTTGCAGTTCCGCCCGCAGTTGATGGCGCAGTCGCTGCGCTGCGTGAATGAGGACGACACCATCGGATCGCGGCTCGCCGAGCGCATCATCCAATCGCGCAACGCGTGGTTCGGTCGCTCAGTCGAGTTCAACAATCGTCCCGACTCCCCGCACGCGCGACTTACCAGCGGGAAGGTCGGGCAGTGCGCCATCGATCAGGTGGGAGAATGTCGACGATGTGGAATCATCGTGTGTCGAGTATGACTCCCCCGACGTACTTACGGAATCACGACCCCTTTCCGCAAGTTTCATCCCTTGATATCTACCAACCCGGCGTGGGCATCGCTCATCATGCCCCTCGCTCCCGTCTGCATGACCGGGATCCAGCACTCACTCATTCCTAGAATTGCACAACCAAACCACCGTTGAACAAATCCCTCCCGGAACGCCACCGCCGCATCTGCAAGCGCTGCATCAAAGCGCCGCTCCATCGCCACATGACCCTCGAGAAACCCTGGCACACCGCCGACGCCCTGGCCGATCTATTCACCCAGACGCCCGACCCGAACGACTCCGCCAGCTCTTCCTCCTCCCGCCCCTCCTCCCTCCGCACCAACTCCACCATCCCCACCCCCTCCTCCTCCCCACCCGATCCCGACACCCTCTACCTCTCCTCCCGCCCATCCACCGCGCCGCCCAAATCCCCCAACCCACCCCCACCGCCGACCGCGAAATCCTCTCCACCATCCCCGCTCTCCCGTGTATTCACCTACTCCGCATTCCTCCGCACCCCATGCACCTGCGCGGACGCCGTGTTCCTCTGCCACGCATGCGGCATCGCCCTGCGGCAATCCGACAGCACGTACATCCGCGCGTGGAAATGGCGGACCCACTACACGACGTTCCTGGGCGGTCTGGGGACGGGGATCGGCGAGGGACACGAGGGCGTGGAGTGTGGGCGGGGCGGCGACTGTCTCGGGGCGCGGGTTGTGGAGAAGGAGGTGGAGTTGAGCGCGGAGGAGGAGGCGGCAGAGTTGGCGGGGTTGGTGACCGAGGGGACGGTTGCGGCGGACGGGTTGGGCGCGGGGAATGGGGAAGATGGGGCGGCGTTGAGTCGGACGCCTACGGGGAGGAGTTGGGAGGGGTCGAGTTATCATGCGCAGGAGATCGAGGGGGTGGGCGGGACGGTGAAGAAGAAGGTGAAGAAGTTGGTGAGGGTTGGGTTGGTGGTGAGGGAGCATGAGGCCGTGCGAGAGCATGAGGGGGATCGGCCGGACGAGAAGAAGAGGGATATGTTGGCGGAGGAGCGGGGTGGGGAGGTGAGGAGTTGGTGCGGTTGGTGTGATCGGGTGATTTTGGGGAGGCGGGATCGGCCCCAGTGGTTCGAGTTCGACGATTGATATGAAATTTTAAGGCCTTGGGTATTTCACGAGATGCATTGATAGGCGAAGGGTACGTCAAACGTTGCATACGAATTGTTCCGCCGAACAAGTTTCGACACAAAACGGAATGATATTCCTCAGCTGGGAAAAAAACGGTCAAAACTAACCGCTGCAGTTTGCGAAAACAACCTAGTATGAACTCTCAATTATCGATAATAACGCATTTCTATATACACGTCGATGTGGAATCCGACAGTATTAACCACTATTGCACCATCCGGGGTGATATTGATGGTCCTTCCCCTTTGATACCTCTATAGTCTAAAGCAATTGGCATAATACGTCACCGACGCCGGCCAGTCCGAAAACACCTTGCTCACCCCCACCTGCCTCGCCAGCACATCCAGCACCGTATACAGATCCCCATCCTTCTTCATCGCCGGTATCACTGTGCTGTAATAATACTCATCAGCCTCCCACGTCGCCACCGGGCCCGACCGGTCAAAGCTCCACGTGATGATCTCCATCCCCAGCCGCTTCGACTCCTTCGCGTAGCTCGACGGCACGATTTTGCCCTCCGCATCCAGCGCCAGAAGTCCCGCAATCGACGGCGCGATGATGTTCACCCCATTCTCACGGTACGTTGTCAGGTTTGCGACCGCGGCGTCGAAGCCCGCGGGGTCGATGGTTGGCTCGGTCAGGTAGACGGCCTGCTTGCCGTAGTTGGGCTCGTGTTGGATCCAGTAGTACACGTCGTCGACGAGGAAGCTCTGCGGGTAGACGCGCTTAGGGTCGATGCCGGCCGCTTTGTACTCGTCGATCAGCTGTTGCGCGTAGGCGGCTTGCGTGTAGTCGGGGGTGCCGAACGGCATCGGCACGCCCGGGGTCTTGAGTTCCGGGGTGAATTTCAGGCCAAGGCTGTCGGTGAATTCGATATATTCTTTATGGGAGGCGACGGTGCCGCAGGTGGCGTAGACGTCGGTGCGGAAGTCGGGAGTGCCGTCGATGTACTCAGCGACGGTGGTGGCATTGACGTTTTGGCCTTCCATTTTGCCGCAGAGGGACTTGAATTCCGCAAGGGTGATATCGCTGGTGCAGCATTTCGCGGAGGCGGACGTACTACCGGATGCAGGGGTGAAAGGTGTGGTGCATTTCGCTGCTAGAGGGGTGGCGAGGATATTCGTGGTGTAGTGCAAGTCGCACTGTGGTTGAGTCAACTTTGATGTTTGAGGAACAAGTTCCCCGGCAAACATACCTGGTCATGCCGGCAGACAAGCTGTTTATCCTGAGTGAACGCGACGTCGCATTCGAGGACTCCCGCACCTTGCCGGGCAGCAGCGGTCCACGCTTCGAAGGTCTCCTCTGGGAATTGAAGGGAGGCACCACGATGGGCAATCGTGAATTCCGTAGCAGAGAACGGGCCTTCAGAGCATGACTGGAGCTTCTCTTTTAGAGGACCATTATCCATATCATTGACCAAGTAATATGGTCTATCGCCCACTTGGACGTTCAGCTTGTTCGACCCATGGTGCCCATTCCAATTATGTCCCCCTCTTCCCCAAGGCGACGCAGACGCGAATCCGATAGAGAGAGAAGCAATGAGAACAGACCTCATCTTGGGAAACTCAAGGACTCAACCGAATTGACTAGATACAAGGACAAGAATGAAGATGCCGAGATAAGATCCAGAGCAACGGGAGCTGTAGCTTTAAACCTACGGTACCTACTACGTAGTTCCCAGGATGAGGGGATGGGTCCGTATCCGTGTTCCCTGCATTCATATGATTGCGTACATAGTAGAAGCGAGTTATCCCATACCTCGTGGGTAGATTTACACACTAAGCACCTTACCGACCTATTAGCAAGTTATCTTGCATATCCCCAGCCGATCACAACGAATCCTAGGACGATCCAAGGCACACGTGAGTAAAAACACGGGAGAGCCGGCATACCATATCGCCTCTAGGAGTTGCCTGGGACGGGTATCCTTGGATGCTTAGCTGGATCCTTAGCTGGATGCTTAGTTGGATGCTTAGTTGGATGCTTCGTTGGATGCGTGGAGGGATGAATGGGTGTTAACTGTTGGTCGTTAGCAGTCAAGATGAGCCGATGAGGTTCTCCCGAAATTGGATCGGCAGGGTAAGGAGGTACCGCGTTAGTAGGCCTGAGAGCCTGGGGCACGAGGTGGTCTTCTATCCATTGATTGGTTGGAGATTGTAGGTCATCACGTGATCTTGATGATACATCGTATGTGATTAGCTCGTAATGCCAGACGTTAGATTACGACTCTCTTGCTTACATCAGCACCTTAGCCCCTTCGAGTACTCTAAGGCAGATATAAGACAAGTCTTCATATAACGTCTGGGGAAAATGTGTTTCGATTCCTTTCACGGCTGCGGGCAGCGGACGAACAAGCCATAGATCGGATCTTCTCGTGCCGGGAACTCTTTGTCCAGGCCTTGTTGACTCGATTCTTAGTGGACCGAGCTGGCAGGGTGTGGGACAGGCGGAGAGACAGGCGGAGGAAATATTCACTGGATCGGACGGCGAAAACTAGTATGGGGTTGATGCAGATAATAATGAGGATGGCAATGATCCCCAGGAAACAGATGAGGAAGCTTTCGTCACTTTAGAGCCTCTGGATTTTGACAAATAAACTTTATTTATTGTTGCATACAAATCGTTGCACCTTTAATACAAAAGTAGCCAGACGGGCTGAAGCCCTGAACCCTTACTGCGAATTTATTCCTTAGTAAGCTTCTAGGGCTTGGCACGTCTGGTATTACGAGATAAACTGATAGATATCACACATGCCCACACTCAGATAGTTCTCTTTTCTTCTGTAAGCTTTACTGCTTTAGAATAATGAAAGTGGTTATTGCAGACCATCGCACTCTAAACCATCTCACCGGTGTACGAAAAGGCGCGTAAATGCCGAAAAATGAACGCTAACGCAGAAACTCGCTATATTTGCCAATATGCTCCTAAAGAAACTTGATTTGGAATTTCGCTCATGATAACGGTAGGGCACCTTGGAGCCGGACGTTGCGAACATCCGACATCATCTCCTGTGAAGGGACCATCGTTCTATGACTCCGAGGATGCTTTTGAACACTCCCCTCAGCCTCCCTCATTCGATTCGCTTCATTGGGACGGATCCGATAGATCCGACGGCTGTCCGCGACGTAAGCCTTGAGCTATAGAAAGCTGAGTAGGTAGAAAAGGCAGAACAGGATAAGTAGGATACTTGAAACCCTTCGGGAGTGCCGGTGACCGATGGATTCTATCCCAACTTCGGAGATTCCAGAATGCCTAGGGACTGAAGATGGAGAAGCTGCATGCGTTGGCCCTTTCACCGTTTCGTATTTTTATGTTCCCAGTCTCATAGCTTCATCGATGAACGGATGAATGGATGAACAGGTGAATGTGCCCGCCTTTCCTCGCGTCGCCCTTACCTTGCCTTGCCACTCCCATACCACCGTGTCCAGGCCCGATCCGGGGGACCCGAACGCTGAAGGAATGCAGTCAAGCCCAACAATGAGGTACGAGGATTCAGGGACCAACTCGACGGATGGACCTCATGATGTCGTTCCAAGATTCGTGTCATGGTGGCGAGGCGGGGATGCGGGCCGTAGACGCGGGCATCGGGATCATCGTGGCCGAGCGGATCAATGGGCTCCATGACCGAGGGTCAGATGCTGCAGGCACAATTCTAACTCGCGCTCGCCATTAAGACATAAGTGAGATGGCTCGACCGCTCTACTGAACTCGAGCTGGAGTATGGAGGCCACTCTAATAAACCTTAAAAGAAAACTAGAGGCGAGTTTTAATAAATGACGGGATATAACTCATAGAAAAATAACCTAATAAAAGAAGCATACGGTACAGCGTTGGACAGTGAATACTAGAACGGTGATGAGGACTGGTATGCCAGGATTCATAGAAGAGAGGGCGCAAGCGAAACAAGCAGCAGCGAATTGGAATAAGAAGAGGATCGGTGAGCGAAAATGAAATCGGGGGAAAGGGAGCTAGCAATTCATCGGCAGTAGGCAGGATTTAGAGGGATTAGGGCTGGACACGAATATTCGATTACGAATATTCGTACGAATATTCGTAGTCGAATACGAATAAAATTTAGAATTTCCGCTTACTAATATTCGTACGAATAATATTCGCATTATTCGTAATTATTCGTAATTATTCGTAAATCTCTGAAGCTATTTCCATGTATCTCGCAGCATCATAAGACGCCTCATAGTCTCTGCACTCATTGAGCTCCTCCGCACTCCTAAGAGATCTCTTCCCCCACTGAACAGTCTTTCGACTGATACCCCAGATGCTGGTATAGCCAAATAATCTCTGGCAGCTGCAGCCATACGTGGGTACTCATGGTAATGAGACCTCCACCAAGAGAGCAACCAGTCCTTCTCTTT